TGACGAGTAATAACAGATACATGGGCGAATTTTTGCTCACTTATAATTCCTTCCAAGACCAAAAGTTGTTGTGTGAGACTGTGAGAGGATATCTGACAATTCATAAAAATTCATGTGTTAAAATTATATTTGGAATGTGTTTAACCAGCTCTATCGCATTATGTGATAATGACTGGCACCAATATTGTCCTTTAATAAAAGCTAGTATATATTGGTACTATAATTATGTAAGCTGCAAATTACATACATGAGGTTATTGTACCGAATGAATAACCTTCTAAAGGTTAAGCATAGTCTGTCCCTGGCTTCATTAGTGTTATATTGCAACGGTTATTTTTTCTTGCCGTAAAACGTTTACCACCAAAATGTTATTTTATGCTATAACTATTAGTACATAAGAGACTATTAATATAGCAGACAAGTATAGTTGTTGATAGTATGATTCGAATTGCCAAATCTAAGTTATAATCACCTAATCACATGTTACATTGGTTTAGATATATATATTTTTTAATGAGAGAGTGAGTGTATGTGAGAGAGAGGGGGTTTAATATCCACTCGACACAAACTAGGTAAATTAGGGACTGACATATGGTTCAATTTTATTCAATAATTCGCATTGGCGTAGGGGTTTCTAGCAGTGGGAGGAAACAGAAGGACCCGGAGAAAACCCACGAGGTTGATCCTACTCCTTGTCACGTACAGGCGGGGAATGACAGACCTTATGACCCAACGCGCACGCCTTAACCACTCAGCCACCCATCCCCCTGTTTACTTTGGAAAATATATTTTTGCTTAAAGGTCATATCCTAATTTATGTTGGAGTTGAATATTTCAACTGAAAATTGAATTCAATATTAAGTGTGATATATAATGTTCTACAATTCTCTTTTTATCATCCATTCATTCCTCGCATTATTGTAGAACAGAATGCTACTGATAATATTAGAAGTGGGGGCGGGGTTCTCCTCATTCAAGAATGTTTTTTACTTTTAAAATTAGTGTTCATAATGGAATCTTGTTTTATGTCTCCAACAGAACTTGTTAGGTACGAACTAGTTTCCGTTACGAGAGAAAGAGGGAGAGAAATGGGGTTTACCGTGCACTCGACACAAACTAGGTCATTTCGGGACTAACACATGGTTCAATTTTATTTCAATAATTCGCTTGCGCGTAGGTGTCTTTAGCAATGGGAGAAAACCGGAGGACCAGGAGAAAATCCACTAGGTTGGACAGGCGACTCTACTCCTTGTGTTTCATTTACGACATTCACATACCTGCAGTTAGTTTGTATACTACCAATGATATACCCGATGTGGGTGTTGGCAAAATGTTTGAAGTTCTATCTATCTAAAGGTTCTGCTAGTTTAAAATCTCTGAATGGAAAGAAGTTTAAAAACCAGATTCCTCACTGGTGGGGCTGGGTGCCGACATCTATTATCATATAGTCCTAAACCCTACGGAATACTTTTTTTATATAAGTTAATCGAGATGGTTGAGCAAAAGCTGACAATTCATTGACTGTAAAAGGGAATTACCCAAACAAGAACTGTAATGGGAAACATAATAGATCAAAAAGAGATTAATGAAATACTGGCACTCACCTGTTTTTTTCCAAAATAAATTCCAATAAAATCAATTTCCAGAAATGTTATTCCAAAACATCATCTTTATATTTCCATTTGAAATGCCTACTGTGAATTTAACTTAATATCACGGTCTCCACTATCGGGGTTTGATGGAACTACGGTGCACATCCTTGTTTAGCTGTTGGTTTATGGTTGAACGACTGACAGACGACACGCCAAAATACTCCACTCCTACGTCATCCATCATTACTATAAAATATTTTGATATTATCTTAGTATAATTTTCTGGATCTGGTTTTCAAAATTTGAACTCATCTTATTGAAAGATAATCTATATTGGTAGAATATTTATTTATGAACTGCTTGAGTATTTTGATTGAATTATTTTATTCACTTGATCTAAAATATTTTATGATATTTAAACTTATTATTATGCGAGATTACCATATCTTACAAATAAATAAAATGTTGGTTTATTTGAAACTAATTTTAATTTTCATATCGGAGTTTTAAAATAAACAATAGCTGAAGTGATACACAATTTCAAATTTATAACTATATATCATTTGAATATTTAAATCTGTATCTGTTTTCACAATTTCCTAAATCCAATTTTGATCGTTTTTGAATTGATCTGTATCACCATTAATTCAAAACTATATTCTGATTTCAAGAATGTCGACCATCTAAAGGAAAACACTTCATGGATACCAACGGCCATCAATTCGCGATAAAGGACGAATGTTAAGAGCTTACTATAAAAGGAATTCTCAATAGGGATGAAATATCATACAGCTATGAAAATGATCCATAAATTATTTCCATTATCCGCCAAGCTAATTGAACAATTTACACCACTTCTTTATGATGTAATAATGTTTATAAGATACACATGGAGACCAGATTAGCGTGAAGTTCTAGTTCTTGTGACAAGACATGAATCTTATAGTATATTCTTACATCTGGTAGCCACGTGTCACTTATTATAATTACTATTAGTAATTACTGATAAGATTAATATCGCTTTACACAGTTACAGTCTATTAACCGTATTTATTTTACTTTTCTTAATAGATACAGCATGTAAGCACTCTTGTATTTACTAGGCACAAAATCATAAACCACATAATAAAATGTAGACAAATATTCACACTGCATGCCTTTAGGTATAGTGATACCCAAAGGTACATTATTCTACAGACTTAACAAAATGGATATATATTTGTCGAATAGTTCAAAGTCGACCAATTATAGTATATCGTACAGTGGCGTGGTGGGACGGACGCAGCATCCGGGGCGAGATATTGTAACGGCGACACGTTGGGGTTTTACTAATAGTATAGCTACCGTAGAAAGCGCCAAGCCAAACGACCGTAATTCAGAAAGTCGTGAATAAACCAACTGAAGGGTTTGTGGAGCATTAAATTGGAATCCCACGAACTTTTATGTGAATTTGAACTCGTTTTGCAGTTACTCCCAGTCTCCCTTATTGATATCAGTAGAAGCATGTTTTTGGGATCTAAGGTGCCAATTAACATGGGGGTTTAACAATTTATTTTGGCTGGACAGCCTGCTTTTCATCAAGTTCCAACTGCCAGGGGTTCTTTTACGTGCACGCCATCGTGTACACGAGACCTCGGGTTTTTTTGTTTTTACCCTACCCGAATCACCAGACGCTGTCTTTAGCCAGGTCCGCCGTCCTGACCACTGACCAGGGGAAACCAGGATGGAAAATCCCGCAGAACTTTCTCAGCCAACACCGGGACCGAACCCCAAACCTCCTGGTTGGTAATCCAGCGCACTATTGAACATGGCTTCCTCTGGAGAGCAAACCTTTTTGTTTTCTTTTTTTTTTACTATTTCCCTTTGACAACTTGTATTGTGCACCACGGTGCCCCTTAAAAGCTGCAAAAAGAATCAAATACTATAGTCAATAAGCCCCCGACAATTTTTGTGATTATGAACTTTTTTGCTGTTTAATTTGTTTGTAATTCTATATCTAGCTATCAGTTGAAACATCCTTTCGTGGTGTAGGAAGTGAAACCCTAGCATTTTGCTTCTATTCTATTCGCGTATTCGACTCCCCTTGGAAAGTTTCCCTAAAAGTTTGGCCCTATGTTGGAAAATAAACCCAACCATGTATTGACCATAGAATGATAAATAGTTGGGTCATTAGTAAGCTTTGTAATGGGTGCTAAACCCGTGCTGAGTTGTCAACGGGTACATAACCTTTATGGCCATTGAAAGATCCGTGTAAAGTTTCCAAAAAAAGCATTTTCCCACAAAACATTTGTCATTTAACACTTATCATTTGACGTTTTACATTTAACTCTTGCCTTAGAGGTATTTTGACTTTATCATTACCGGTATACTTTGGAGGATACTGAGAAGAAATAAAAACTCTCGTCGGTTATAGTCTCAAGGCCAATGCGTCTTTGGTAGTTAGTATTAGTATATGAAACACTATCAATTACTGACCTTGGTATATTAGCCCCGGCTTTCTTTATTATATCATCAATTACTTTCATCAAATTATAGATGTGTCTTTTATGTCTCAAAGGTATGAAATGTTATGCCTCGGTGACTAGATTCTGTACAGAATTGATATATTTCTATCGCCGATGTATCAAATATCATACCTCCACTAAACAGATCAGGAGATTTGCCAGTAGAAATTAATGGCAATGCCTGGCCCATATGTTTGTATTTAGCAAGACAGTAAACATTAGGTTCAAGTATTGTATTAACATGATTACTGTTCCTTCTATATAATCTAATTATCGTTATTTTCTATAATTACACAACATATCTACTCTTACTATACGTGCAATCTCCTTATACAGTTGCAACCGTATCCATACTATTATACACATCTTCATTGGTCAATGGCAGTACCTTGATGAGCGAGACCAATCAGGAACCAGTACCCCTAATGAAATGGTAGTATACGGTTTCGCTAGATGTCGTCCTTAAATACCGAAGGAATATCTGAAAACCCCCATAACTGGCTTACACCTCGTAAGTATCTGTATGTGGTTTTATCGAGTATAAATGTGGTGTGCTTGAGATTTATATTGTCGTTTATTACTGGATAGTTTAAAGTTGTGGTGACGTTTGGTACCTTGCTAATATTCTCCTTTATTTTTGATGCTGTTCATTTAATCAAATATACACTTTCACGAATTAAATTATTCAAATATATTTAATTTACCTGTATTTCGAAATTTTAAAATGTGAAATTTTAGTGTGTACATCGTGAAAAGAGAGAAGTGTCAAATAGTTTGCAAGTGATGGAAGCCAGGCATAAGATAAGGAGATGCGGTTTTTATAGGTCTAGTATAATGTTTTCATTTTCATCTACCTTATTGCGTAATAGTTGTTATATATTTTCATTTTCTATTCTAGCCCCAGTTAGGTCGTTGTTAGGGATAGTTAACAGGAAGCTTTTGTAAACGTCATTTTTTGTGGAAGGTTTTGATAAAACCACCTTTCATCATGTCTTTCGATATCAATGATCCCGACTTCGAGTATTTGGCTGTAGACCGTAAGAAGTTGCTAAAGGAACAGACTCAAGCTTTTGATGGCAAAAAAGCTTGTTGGGTTCCCGATGAAAAAGAAATGTTTGTACCCGCTGAGATCCAGAGCACTAAAGGGGATGATATCACTGTTAAAGTGACAAAAACAAGCGAGGTATGTATACATTTTTATTTACATATAAATTGAATGAAAGTCTATTAAGAGTAAAACTCTCCCGGTCACTTGGCACTAAGGCATACTATTATATCGAATTTCAACTGTCAAGGGTTCTTTTAAGTGCACGTCAATGTGTACACGGGATCTAGATTTCTGTCCCATACGAACGGTTACACAATGTCCCTTGCCAGGCCCACAGTCCTGTATCACTAACGAAGGGGAGCCACGCTGGACTTTCTCGGCCAACACTGGGATCGGACATAGGACCTCAAGGTTATCGAGCCAACGTCTTAATCAGTGAGCTACCGCGGCTCCTTATACTGACCATACAAATATTAAGCGATTTCATATTCGAGCAGGGGGTCACGGTGGCTAAGTGGGTAAGACGCTGGCTCGCTAGCCTGGAGGTCGGGTGTTTGATCCCTGCATTGGCCGAGAAAGTTCATCCAGATTTTTCGGCGTGGTTCCCCCTTGTCAGTGATGCAGGACGGAGGGCCTGACAAGGACAGCTGTCTAGTCATTCGGATGAGACGAAAAACCGAGGTCCCGTGTACACATTGGCGTGCACAGTTGGAATTCGATATAAGAGTAGGCCGTAGTGCCGCTGTCCGGGCAAAATTTCCCTCATAGCACATTGTATGGCGTATGCCCGTCTTCATTAGCTCCAGTTCGGAGCAAAACAGTAGGACGTTAAACCCCATTTCATTTCATTTCATGTACGAGCATATTATTGTTAAATATATTATTGCTGATCTGCCTCTTGATGCGTATGGGTAAACTCTTCCTCCATGTCTATCATAACACAATACTAAAGGTATTAGCTGTTGATGTACTGTAATGATTGTTATATGGTTCCTTTACAGACAAGAACCGTGAAAAAGGATCTTATCCAGCAGATGAATCCACCTAAATATGAGAAGATCGAAGATATGGCCAATATGACCTACCTGAACGAGGCTTCAGTTTTACATAACCTTAAAGCTCGTTATACGGCCGGTCTAATTTATGTAAGTATTTATATGCAATACTCGGCGGTGTCTTTTTCAAATTATGTGTAGGATAAAACAAGAGACTGGGGTTATGCAGGGGAAAGAAAGACTGAAGAAAATAACCCGAGAAAAAGAAAACCACGAGGCCTGCAGACCGAGGTTTTTCTGTCGAGGGTTTTTTTCTGAAGTCTTTCTTCCCCAGCACAACCGAAGTCGAGGACTTTATCTTGCTTATAAACCGTCTATGTTTACATGTACACAAAATGAGAATATCCCAGAATTCCAGTAAGAAAAACCTACCCGGGAAGAATAACCCATTACAGGTTTAAAGAAAAACTTTCAGAAGAATAACCCCAAATTCCCTTGTATCCAAAGCCGCCCGGCTTTCAGACAGAAAGTTATTCTGGGCATAGAACATACGCCAAATCTCAAAGAGATTTACCGTTATAGGTTGATAATATTGTATAAAGAATCCTTACAAACAAAATTATCAGTCAACTCTTCGACAGTTTCCATTTGATCAAATTCGCAGTAGATAATATTAAGCACAGTAACGTTACACACAGGCAGTGACACATGGAAGATTTCAGCAGGGAGTGGCTGGGTGATGCAAAAGATTTTATTATATTTAGATTAATATTAAAGCTGTTAAATGGGTTCATTTGGTTAAATGCACGCATAACAGACTTACTTTGGTTTATTAAGCCAGTCATTGCGCATCTTCTTATAATTTTTATCTGTTGGAGCAATATATCGGTGGGTATTATTACCCTTGAAGTTCGAAATTCAGCTTGCTGGCGCCAATAAGATTTAAAATGCGCCAATTTCTCCCTTGTAATTAATTTGTTAGAAAGACGAACATTTTTCTAGCTCATGGTAGGGTGACCCATGTACTCACAGACATACAGTCCACCGCTGATAGTTCGAGACTACCACTGAAGCGTGCACATTCGCCGTGCCGAGACCAACTTACTGACAGTGTGATACTATAAATAGCCATGGCACGTGCAATTCTCTACAAATCTATTAACTATTACAGCCGTAAAAAATTTATTGTTGACGATTTTGAATAGCAGTAAGATTAAGCTTCTTGGTTATTACACCAGATTTAGAAATTACGTTCGTTTCATTTTTTAAATCGCTTTATCATTAACTTTACCGTTAAGAGCGGCATCTTTTGGTTTAGTACAAATAATATCTCTGAATCACTCGGGTTAGACAGGAACATGATACTAGCAGTAGTTTCATTTTACTTTTACAAGCTTCTTAAAACGATTGTTGAGCTACCTAACGTGCTTATTTCTAAATTCAATTTCTTGTTCTAGCTTTCTGTTATGTTTCGTAAAAAAGTAGTCTTGATTATCCCGACCTGTCAATCAGACGTAGAATGGTCGATAGACTGGTTAAGCGAGACTTATTTCAAAACAAGGGCACGTAACCTATCTTTTACTTAAAAGTGTCTGGATGTTATGGACGACTCTTGGAACCAGTTTTCAGTCTATTATTTATACATGATTAATGGTCATAGCTTATTAAGTACAACATGATCGTTTATTTAGTGACTATAATTGTGTGAAACTGATTTGAGGCTTGGCATATATATAAATATTGTGGCGTAATTGTCGAGATATATGGAGATAGTTATTTATGGTGGGTCACCCTACTCATGGTCATACTTCGCTGTTTCGATAACATCTGCATGGATAAATAAATAATACTTAAATCTTTCAAATAGATATCTATTTTTTTGAATAAACGGCATCCTTTACAATTTGATCAAGGTATAAGATTTTTAGATATGCATTCCATTTCTTTGCAGACTTACTCTGGCCTGTTCTGTGTAGCTGTGAATCCCTACCGACGTCTACCTATTTACACCATGAGTGTTATCTCTAAATATAGAGGTAAACGAAAGATGGAAATGCCTCCCCATTTATTTGCCATTGCTGATAACGCCTACCAATCTATGGTACAAGAACGTGAAAACCAATCTGTTTTAATTACGTAAGTACAAATTAAAAGGTTCAGTTATTTGGTCACAGTGGATTATGCTATAGATGAACCAATTTCACCAGGCTTGTTTACGAAGAATATAAATAGTTTTCATTATCAACCAGCGTCTAACTTTCGCTTGTGAATTTTCATGATTTTCCTAAAAATGACAATGGAAAATTCATCATTGCATTAAGATATTTTTCGATACTTCTTATTTAGCAATGTTTCCTTGATTATTAATGATATATATTTTCCATTCCAGTGGTGAATCTGGTGCCGGTAAGACTGAAAATACCAAGAAAGTAATTATGTACTTCGCCCAAGTCGCGGCCATGACCCATAAAGATAGTGGTGGTGAGGTGGAAGAAGAAAAGAAGGACAGTAAGAAGGTATATATTTTGTTCTTTAAGTGAGTTTATATTATATAATCCAGTCAAAAATGTAATTCAACTTTTTCTAAAACCTTGCTACACAATACTTCACTGTTTCTTTGATATTAAATGTAATACTTCTCCGTTCGACAGTAGAATCTCGTAGCATATACTGTACCTTTCTTCTACCAAATTTGAATTATACTTGGATCAATTATTTTTTTTCTAAGTAAAATTATGATGTCCTTAAACAAAACATTTCTTTTTGAAAATTAGAGATATAGTCTCATAATTATGGTAGTTTTTCTATCTTTTGAAATTCAGGGTACATTGGAAGACCAAATTGTACAATGTAATCCAGTACTTGAGGCCTACGGTAACGCCAAGACAACCCGTAACAACAACTCTTCTAGATTCGTAAGTTACTTTTGTATTCATAGGTTTTTGTAATTTATCTCATACGAAGAATCAATTATAGATTTCATTTTCATTTGAATTAATATTTTAGCTAATCTTCATCTTTGCTTCTTTATTTATTCTAGGGTAAATTTATCCGTATCCATTTTGGTACTCAGGGAAAAATCTTCATCTTTGCTTCTTTATTTATTCTAGGGTAAATTTATCCGTATCCATTTTGGTACTCAGGGTAAAATCTCTGGAGCTGATATTGAACAATGTGAGTATATTATATTTTTTAGCTTCAAACCTAGAATAATTTTATCTTTTTCTCGAGATATTTATCAGCTGTTTATTTCTTCATGAATTGTTTTTAAATAGATTTGTTGGAGAAATCTCGAGTCACCTTCCAGCAACCTGCTGAAAGAAACTATCATATTTTCTACCAGCTTCTGTCTAATGCTATTCCAGAATATAACGGTAAGGTTACATGTTCCTGTTTATTTATTTATTTATTTATTTTTAAAAATCCTTATAAATATCAAATATGAAGCACCCAGTGGATAATAATCCTTTTTGTTTTGAATAACAATAATTCGATTTCATTTTCAAAATGACAAAAAAAATTTAAAAGAAAAACTTTATTTGTCTTAACAGAGAAACTATTGGTGAACCCAGACCCAGCTTTATACTCATTTATAAACCAGGGATGTCTGACTGTTGATAATATTGATGATGTTCAGGAAATGAAAGATACTGATGTAAGTATCTTTTAATTAAAATAGATTATAATATTAATTTGAATGGTTTCAGAGAAATCAATTAAAAATTGAAAAACGAATTTAACGGCAGATGAATAACCATTTAAAGAACAATAGCAAACGACAAACGTGTTACTTATATTTGTAGACTGCTTTCGATGTTTTGGGTTTTTCCACTGAAGAGAAACACAGTTTCTTTAAATGTACTGGTGCTATCCTCCATTTTGGTGAAATGAAATTCAAACAAAGAGGAGAACAAGCTGAATCTGACGGCAATGCTGGTAAATATGTTTTTGGTTATCTTGGTGGAAATAAGTTTTTGAAAAAGTGTTTAAATAATAAGTAATATTTGTCGTTTTAGAGTGAATAACATATTTTATTTCATCGAGAAGCAAACGTTTTCTTGCTTAGAGATGAAATAAAATATGTTATTCACGACAAAACGACAAATGTTCTAATTATTTTATGATTTTACAATCATTTTCGGTAAAAACAACTAGCCAGTGGAATAACACTTTTATTTCACTGATAAAACGCGGTATTCCACTACTGATCATAAAATAATATCCATTTATATCGACTCATGACTATGATATTAAAAATACTCAAAATATGATATAGTTCCCGTGATCCCGGTGAGCTTGTATAGTATATTACACTACATATAACTCACTAAACTAAACATTTTACAGAGGCAGAGAAAGTAGCTTTCTTATTGGGAATCAACTCTGGTGATTTGATGAAAGGTTTCCTTAAACCTAAGATCAAAGTGGGTTCAGAATATGTCACCCAGGGTAGAACCAAAGATCAAGTCGTCAACTCTGTTGGTGCCTTGGCTAAATCGCTCTATGATCGTATGTTCAAGTGGATGGTTGTTCGAGTCAACAAAACTCTGGATACTAAAGCTAAAAGACAGTTCTTTATTGGTGTACTGGATATTGCTGGATTTGAGATTTTCGACGTAAGGGAAATTTTTCTTGTTTAATTTTAAAAAGCTTAGAATTTAAAAAAAAAACGTACTTCAAAATAAACCTTTTATATTTTGACATCAGTGATACAAATACAGGGTCTAATTTCAGTTCAACAGTTTTGAACAGTTGTGTATCAACTACACCAATGAACGTCTACAACAGTTCTTCAACCATCACATGTTTGTACTGGAACAAGAAGAATACAAGAAGGAGGCGATTGAATGGGAATTCATTGATTTTGGGATGGATTTACAAGCTTGTGTTGATCTTATTGAAAAGGTAAGTTTCTCACACATACAAAATAATTTGCCTTTTACCTGTACATTGCATGCTTCGGATAACGAAGTTAATACACCAAATACAGCTCCTATTCCTCTTTACCTAACCGATATTTTGGCTGTGTACAGACCCAGACTGTTCCTTACTGTTTTAGCATTTCCTTCAATTGTGTACCGTTTGTTTGTATCTCATTTCCAGCCTATGGGTATCTTGTCCATCCTAGAAGAAGAATGCATGTTCCCAAAAGCCGACGATAAGTCCTTCATGGATAAATTATACAGCAATCATTTGGGCAAATCACCAAACTTTGGTAAACCAGTTGGTAAGAAAGTGAAAGGTGAAGCTCACTTTGAACTTCATCATTATGCTGGTACTGTACCATACAGCATTACTTCCTGGTTAGAAAAGAACAAGGATCCCTTGAACGAAACCATCGTAGAACTCTTGATGCACTCCAAGGAAGCACTTGTAGCTTCTTTGTTTGCTCCTGCAGGTAAGTCGATGCAAAGTATACGGTGTTGTTTGTTCCTTTTCTTTTGTGGTAACTTTTAAATAGAAGATGACATTTGGATAAGTGATATATAGGATGATAGCATGTTATAATATTTATTCACGTTGAAAATATAGCTTTAGCCGTTATATAACATAATGTAAGTGGTCATACAAAATCATGAGATCGGTGCCTTCCTGTAAATGGTCGATGCGTGAATTTTTGATAAATGTCTAAAATTATATTATTACTGTTACAGAGGCTGCTGCCGGGGGTGGTCCTGCCAAAAAGAAGAAGAGTTCTGCTTTCCAGACTATTTCTGCTACTCATAGGGTAAGTTTTCTAACGAATACTTATACACAAGAAACAAGGAAAATGGTTATTTTGATTTAGATTAATATAGAGACATTATTATTCATTTATATTTACTTCAGCTCAATTACATAATTGTACGAATTTTTAAAAATATTTCAGGAATCTTTGAACAAACTGATGAAGAACTTGTACACAACGCATCCTCATTTCGTACGATGTATTATTCCCAATGAATTCAAACAGCCAGGGGAGATTGATGCCCATTTAGTACTCCACCAGCTCCAGTGCAATGGTGTATTGGAAGGTATCCGTATTTGCAGAAAGGGATTTCCCAACAGAATAATCCATTCTGAGTTCAAACAAAGATACTCCATCCTTGCTCCTAATGCCATTCCTGATGGTTTCGTGGAGGGAAAAACTGTTGCAACAAAGATTCTTCTGGCTTTAGAATTGGATACTAACGAATATAAACTGGGTACAACTAAAGTCTTCTTCAAGGCTGGTGTTTTGGGTTATCTTGAAGATCTCCGTGATGAGCGTTTGAGTAATATCATCTCTATGTTCCAAGCTCATGTCCGAGGTTATCTCGTAAAAAAATCATACAAGAAACTTTGTGATAGAAGGTAAGTGACCAACAATTATCCTGGAATCGATGTACATCTGGCTTTTCATATGTAAAGTTATGTAAATGCGGTACCGTAAGTATATTTTATTTGTGAAATGAAAACAAAAAAATAAATATGTGATTTTAAACGCATTGATTTTATTTCATAGAGTTGGTCTCTCGGTCATCCAAAGAAACATCAGAAAATGGTTGGGTATGCGCAACTGGCTCTGGTGGAAGATGTACACCAAGGTCAAGCCTCTTTTGAACGTTGCCCGTGCTGAAGATGAGATGAAGCAAAAAGAAGAATTGTTTGAAAAAACCAAAATCGAATTAGAGAAAACCGAAAAGGTTAAAAAGGAGCTTGAGGAACAGAATACGTCTTTATTACAACAGAAAAACGATATGTTCCTTCAACTCCAAGCTGAACAAGATAACGTTGCTGACTGCCAGGAAAAAATAGAAAAGCTTATTCTTCAGAAGATTGACTATGAAGCCCAACTTAAAGAATTTGAAGAGCGCATCCTGGACGAGGAAGATGCTGTTGGTGGTCTTCAGGAAAAGAAAAAGGAACTTGAAAAGGCCAATGAAAATTTGAAGAAAGATATTGAAGATCTCGAAACCTCTCTTGCTAAATCTGAACAAGAAAAAATAACCAAAGATAACCAGATTAAAACTCTGAATGATCAAATTGCTCAACAAGATGAAATAATCGGTAAACTCAATAAAGATAAGAAAAATATGGATGAAGCTAACAAAAAATTGACTGAAAGTCTACAAGCTGAAGAAGATAAAGTCAACCATCTTAGTAAACTGAAGACTAAACTTGAACAAACTCTTGATGAGGTAGAGTATTTATTTCTTATTAATTACTGAGCGATCCAGGTATCACTTCATGTAAAAAAATGATCCAGAATAACTAAACCTGAATTACCACAACCCGTAAAAAAGTTTATAGATTACTATAGCCACTATAGTGTATAATATGTGGTATTGCTTTTGTTATTTTCAGTTGGAAAACAACCTAGAACGTGAAAAGAAAACGCGTGGTGATGTTGATAAAGTAAAGAGAAAGTTAGAACAAGATCTGAAGATGAATCAAGAAACAGTTGAAGAATTAGAAAGAATTAAAAGAGAATTAGAAGAAGGAACAAGAAAAAAAGATGCTGAAATCAGTTCTCTAAATTCCAGAGTTGAAGATGAACAATCCATTGTTTCCCAACTTCAGAAGAAAATCAAGGAACTTCAGGTTAATACATGTACTCTTAGTTAAAACAGTGTGAATATATTTTGAATATCTAGTGGCAATTTAGTTGGCCTCGTTGTTTATGAAGACGGTTAACATGTAAAGTCTTTAATGAAGGGTATGTTATTATCGATATTTTACTCTAAACTTTTGATCGCAATAATGTTTGGTTTGACTTTTTAATCCCAACTTTAGGCTACTATTGAAGAACTCGAGGAAGAACTTTCCGCCGAAAGACAATCAAGATCGAAGGTAAGGATTGTAGCATAAAATACCGTAGTTGTTGATAAATGTGTAGACTAATCAGTATAGACTGACTAAAGTTAACGTATTAGATACAAATAACTGCAATAGCAATTGAGGTGCGACTTCAGATTATTACTAGACAGAAGATGTCACGGTTTTCTCGAAAGTGAAAGTGTATTCTACAAACTACAGTACATGACGTACAATTAAAACCTCGCCAATGTTCGTCTTTAAAGTGCGTTTATATTCGGTTACTTTTCTTTGTAGGTTGAAAAACAGCGTAACGAATTATCACGTGAGATTGAAGATATCAGTGACAGACTGGATGAAGCCGGTGGTGCTACTTCTGCTCAGATTGAAATCAACAAGAAACGTGAACAGGAATTATTGAAACTTAGAAGAGATCTTGAAGAGAGTCAGCTACAACATGATGCTCAAGTTGCTAGTCTAAGAAAGAAACAACAAGATGCTGTTAATGAATTATCTGACCAGGTTGATCAACTACAGAAAGTCAAAACAAAGTGAGTATTGTATCTTCTAATCCGTATCAAGAAAGATATCTAGAAAACGAGTAGCTATTATCAAATCAAGTCTTCGCATCCAACATATTTTGGAATAATTTATTTCAATTTGGACAATTATTTATTTTTCAGGGTCGAGAAAGAGAAGCAACAATTAAAGTCTGAGGTTGATGATATGGCTGCCCAACTTCAACATGCCGGCAAAAATAAGGTACATATATATGCCATTAGACAATATAACATTTTACGCATACTACTGATACATTTTGTTTTAGTGTCTACCATATTCAGACCATTGCCGATCATGTAACATTATCCATAGACCAGAGGCATGCCTTATATGTATGTATCTGAATTTCGTTAAAATTGTTTTTAATGGAAACTGTCGCAAAGGAATCCAAAACAATATTTTAGATGATTCAATAATTGAAAACCTTTAATATCGGTTCTAGGGTATGTCAGAAAAGATGACGAAACAGGTAGAATCCCAGATGTCAGAACTGAATGCCAAGATCGAAGAAGGGGTCCGAACTATCAGCCAACTCCAATCCGAAAAGACCAGAGCCCAACAGCAAAATACAGAAATTACTCGACAACTTGAGGAAGCTGAACATAACGTAAGCCAGCTTACCAAAGAAAAGGCAAACCTACAATCTCAACTCGAAGAATCTAAGAGATCCTTAGAAGACGAGACCAGGTTGAGACAGAAACTCCAGAGTGAAATACGTAATCTAACATCAGATTTCGATTCTCTTCGAGATCAGCTGGAAGAAGAACAAGACGCTAAAAGTAACCTCCAGAGACTGTTGTCGAAAGCCAACGCAGAAGCTCAACAATGGAAAACGAAATATGAGAGTGAGGGACTCGCACGAGCTGAAGAGCTTGAGGAATCTAGGTAAATAAAATGTATTAAGTGTACAATACATAGACGCACTGATAAAATAAATTTAATAATCTATAACATTAGTTACAAACAAATGAACCAATAAAAAGAGATTAAATTTATGTATTCCAGACGTAAACTTCAAGCAAAACTTGCTGATGCCGAACAAAATGTTGAAGCTGCCAATATTAAAATAAATAACTTGGAAAAAACTAAATTTAGAATGCAGGCTGAGATGGAAGATCTTGTTATCGAAGTTGACAGGGTGAGTAATCACATTTGTACAAAGAGAACTTAAAGTAAACTGTCATATTGTGTCTATCTTCTGGAAAAGAGAAAAATATCATTCATAAGAAATGCTGAAATTAAACGAGTAAAAGATTACAAAAAAAATGTGTTTTATTTCAAGGCCAACAATAACGCCAATATACTGGAGAAGAAACAACGATCTTTTGATAAGACTACATCTGAATGGCAATCAAAATTCGCAGATATTCAGCAAGAGTTGGAAAATGCACAGAAAGAAACACGCAGTATGTCAGCTGAACTTTTCCGAGTAAAGGCCAAGGAATCTGAAGCAGAGGATCGCGTTCAAGCTCTGCAAAGAGAAAATAAAAACTTGGCTGGTATGTAAAACTTTCTAGTAATAACAATGTTATGGTAAATTTTATATTAAAAACGCCGTCTTTTGTAGTAATTCAGACGGTTGCTAATCAAAAATTATATTTACTTTTACATTTACGTAGATGAAATCCGCGAATTGACTGATCAACTAAGTGAAGGAGGAAGAAATATTCACGATGTTGAGAAAGCCAAACGACGAGTTGAAATGGAAAAGGAGGAACTTCAAACTGCTTTAGAGGAAGCTGAAGCTACCCTTGAACAAGAAGAAGCTAAAGTCATGAGAGCTCAACTAGAAATCTCCCAGGTCCGTCAAGAAATCGACAGACGTGTCCATGAAAAAGAAGAGGAGTTTGAAAATACCAGGTAAAGCACACCGACATTCGGTGTAGATAAATAAATTTCTTTAATTTTCAAAGCTGGCATGGTATAAAAATGTATCTTTTATTGCTGATAATTTTACCGTCATCTATTATAGACGAAACCATCAACGTGCTATTGAATCTATGCAAGCATCTCTAGAGGCTGAAGTCAAGGGTAAAGCCGAAGGCATGAAAATTAGGAAAAAACTAGAACATGATATTAACGAATTGGAAGTAGCTCTTGATGGCGCCAACCGAAGCAGGGCAGAGCTGGAGAAGACTATTAAAAAATACCAACAACAAGTCACCGTGAGTACCCTAACGATATAAAAATAATATATTGACTTCTTATAAACAGTGCACACGGTAGAATATGATCAGAAAGTAAAACCAACAGAAAGAATGTCATGACTTTGCCATTTTGAATTTTAACTATAAATTATTTTTCTCTTCTCTTAAAGGAAATCCAAGCTCAGTGTGAAGATGAACAACGTCAACGAGAAGAAGCCAGGGAAGCCTACAACCTGGCTGAACGACGATGTGCTGTCATAAGTGGTGAAGTTGAAGAAATCAGAACAGCTCTTGAACAGGTAATATTGAATATCAAACAATATTTTAAAAGTAAATTTAATAAAAGTTATTTTTAGAAAAACGTAAATACATCTTGAAAAGAATTGTATTGCAACGATAAATAGACCATTTCCACGACTAAAGACATGTTCGTTTTGTATTATTAAACATACATTATGCAAGAGCTAAATCTGCCTATTGCAGGTCTTTCTTTAGGCCTGAAATGTTATCTAAATTATTAATTAGACATTAATTAACTTATCCATTCCCTAATCAACTCTCGATGTCATCGCTAGCCTGTGATGTTTATTGGATTAGGTTCCGATTTGCTGTTCGACTTCCATTTACGATTTAATCATGAAATTGATAATCGAGACTATGTTTTTTTATCGTATCGACTTTAGTAATGAGGATCGAGGCTAGGCCGAAAATTCAATCGCTAAAATCTCGGTTCAGAGTGGATCAATTTTACTGAAATTTTCAGCAAATTCCCTTTACATTATCCAGTTTTTATACGCCCACATTTTCAATTTGTTTGTGGACACTACAGGTCACAATTTTTATCCGAAATATAGGTCTATCTCCCAAAGATCTCGGTTCCTTTCGATATTGGCATGCAGCCACCAAATGGAATGAGTTACCTATTGACATTAAATCATCTTCAAGTCTCAACATATTCAAAACTAAATTGATGAAAACTTTTCTTTTTCAAATCTGCCATTAGTATTGAACAACCAGCACACGTTTTTAGCACTCTAGATGTCACAATTTTGATCCGATTTTGATAAAACTTGAAATACTTGTTCATAACCCAAAGATCTTGATTCCTTTCGATATTCGCGCATATCGGATCGTAACTTCCTGAATTATGGCCCCTGATTGTACGAAAAATCGCGTTTTTAGCTTGTGATCCCTCTAGAGGTCACAATTTTTATCCGATTTAAAAAACCGTTTTAGTATATCTCCGTTACACCCTAATTATATGGTTGAGTTCGAATTTCTTGAAATCGGCCAAAACTGCCGGACAAAGTGGCCGCCCCTTGTACGCAAATAGTGTCAAATATGGTATATCAAGGTTGTGGACCCTCTAGAGGTCACAATTTTCATCCGATTTTGATGAAACTTGGAATGCATGTTTATATCCCAAAGATCTTGGATCCTGTCGATATTCGCGCATATCGGATCGTAACTTCCTGAATTATAGCCCCTGATTGTACGAAAAATCACGCTTTTAGCTTGTGGTCCCTCTACATGTAGAGATCACAATTTTTATCCAATTTTTAAAAAAACGTTTTAGTATATCACCGTTGCACCCTAATGATGGTTGAGTTCGAATTTCGTGAAAATCGAACCAAAACTACCGGACAAATTGGCCACCCCTCGTACGCAAATAGTGTATATAATATGGTATATCAAGGTTGTGGTCCCACTAGAGGCCACAATTTTGATCTGATTTTGATGAAACTTGAAATACATGTTTATAACCCAAAGATCTTGGTTTCTGTTGATATTCGCGCATATCAGATCGTAACTTCCTGAATTATGGCCCTTGATTGTACGAAAAATTGCGTTTTTAGCTTGTGGTCCCTCTATAGGTCACAATTTTTTTATCCGATTGAAAAAAAACATTTGATGACGGCTGAGTTAGAATTTCGTGAAAATCGGACCAAAACTGCCGGACAAAATGGCCGCCCCTCGTACGCAAATAGTGTAAATATATGGTATATGAAGGTTGTGGACCCTCTAGAAGTCACAATGTTGATCCGATTTTGATGAAACTTGATGAATGTATCTTTAAAACACAGATATAATTGTACTTTTAGTCTGAACGTGCAAGAAAGGCGGCTGAAAACGAACTTATGGATGCTAACATCAGAATAAATGAACTCTCCGCCGAATGCAACTCTATCAGTGGACAGAAGAGGAAGTTGGAAGGGGATATTACAGCCATGCAATCTGATTTAGATGAAATGAGTTCAGAAATTCGAGCCTCGGAAGAACGTGGTAGAAAAGCTGTATCTGACGCTGCTAGGCTGTCCGAAGAACTCCGAAACGAACAGGAACACGGCATGCAGATTGAAAAGGCTCGAAAAAGCATGGAAAGTACAATCAAAGATCTCCAAGTGAGACTTGAAGAGGCCGAAGCTCAAGGTTTGAAGGGAGGTAAGCGACTTGTCCAGAAACTTGAACAAAGATTAAGTGAACTCCAGACTGAACTAGAAACTGAACAACGCCGCCACAGTGAAACAGAGAAGACCATGCGAAAGAACGATAGGCGACTTAAGGAACTCATCTTCCAAGCCGATGAAGACAAAAAAGTCAAAGATCGTCTGCAAGAATTGATTGAGAAGCTACAAGATAAGACCAAAACTTTCAAGAGACAAATTGAAGAAGCCGTAAGTAGTTTTGGAGATTTCACATATCTAAACATAAATTTCTATAATTTTAAACCAACGCCCATAGAAACCCATAATGTATTGAAACTGCAAATAAAACAGTGACAAGATTACTGATACAGACAGGGCCCTCACGTCGAGGGGGGGGGGGCATATGTCCGGGGGCGACAAGAAATATTCAAAGGCGGACCCTTTGATTATTTATGGACAAGCCGCCTTGGAGGCTGAGAGAGCAAAACAACGGGCTCCCTTCCCTTAGACCTGTGTAAACCAGTTCATATTTCAGCAAGGAGAGAGAAATGGGGTTTAACGTCCACTCGACACAAACTAGGTATTTTCGGTACTAACATCTTGTTTAATTTTATTTCAATAATTCGCTTGCGCGTAGGGGTCTTTAGCAGTGGGAGGAAACTGGAGGACCCGGAGAAACCCCACGAGGTTGGACAGGCGACCCTACTCCTTGTAACGTACAACCGGGGATTCGAAACCACGCAAGTTGACTCAATGACAGGTCTTCATGCTAACCATTCGGCCATCCAACCCCATATTTCAACAAATATAGAGGGTAGAATTATGATTTTTCCAAGATATATTATAGGGTTTTTCGATCAAATAGAGAGTTGAAGGGGAAATAAACATATTTTTTTTTACATATAAGTTGATTTAATAAATAATTATTTAGATAAAGTGTTAAAAGTATAAAAATTGTATTTTAAAATTTCTTTAATCATAAAAAAAATCAAATCAGTTACCGTTTGCATTGGGTGGGTGGGGGCGTCACGGAAACTTTTGCCCTGGGGCGCCACATAGGCGTGTGAGGGCCCTGGATACAGGTAAGTGTAAAGCAGCTAAATCTCTTTGACCAAAATAAAGTATTGAATTGGGTTGAACTAACGTGTTATTTCGATCAGGAATGCAGTAAGCTCTGTACGATTAAAGATTGTTTCGAAATTTTAAGCCGAGTCGGTTAGTTTACGAACTGAAGTTTCATTTTTATCTGACTATGTCGATAGCGCAACACATAATCGGTTATATCTACACACTTGCTTTGGCTATGGGCGTGTTATTTTCATTGACGATAGATCGTCACCCCACAAAACAAATCGACCTATGAACTGATATTGACGGTTTTATTTTTGATCTAAATCAAAGGTCTAAGGGTTTTATTTTCTTTTACAGGAGGAAATTGCTGCTGTCAACCTAGCCAAATTCCGTAAAGCGCAAACTGAATTGGAAGATGCTGAAGAGAGAGCGGATGCTGCTGAAGCTATCTCTAATAAACTTCGTGCCAAAAACAGGAGTTCTGTCTCCCAGACTCGCTCCAGTTCTGCCACTAGAACGACTGTCAGGTTATCTTAAGGTAATTTAAATTAGATCTATTTGTATTAGAAAGATAAATTGAACGGGTGTGTCTACTTGGATACTCTTCATATTTGTGACATGGTATACGAAACTACAGAAAATCAGCATATTCAAGACAGTCAATTCTTGTAAAACTAGTGGGTTAGAATACTGTATAATATTTACTGACGTATTACAAGTTTGGATTTAATATCCCCATATCGGTGATACATCTAGTCGTTCGGTGGGATGAAAAACTGAGGTCCCATATTGGCAAGAACTCTTGATAGTTGGCATTCGAAATAAAGAGTAGACCGTAGCGCCGCTGTTCGGGCAAAGATTTTCTCATAGCAGCTTATAGCACAATGCATGGCGTATGTCCGTCTTCATCATTAGTCCGCTTGGTGCAGAAAAGAAGGGCGTTAAACCTCATTTCATTTGACTAATTTTGTGACCTTTAGGAAAAGTCGTGGATTTTCGAAAACCTTTGATATTGGATGGGGAACACAATTTATCACTGAGTAGTGATTATTGGTGTTTAAACTTTGGACTATCCTACCAGAAGACTGATATATCTGCATAAAGTGTCTTTATCCTATTCAACTTAATAAAGACTTGACATCCACACCTAGCTAACCAATCCAGAAATTTCTTCTGTTTAATAATATACATGTTTGTATCTGTGTAATCGATTTTTTTTTCAGGTACAGGCTATGTACCGGTATTAAGATAAATGTGCAGGTTGTGATTGAATCCCACCCCCATTCCGTACTCAGGGCAGCATTGTGAACGATCATCTCACAGAAAGTTTCTGGTACCTCCCGATTCCTGTTACTCCACCAAGTCACTTCTTGTGTCTGATGTCAGTTGAAACTGTGATAACAATTTAATGTTTTATAGTTGAAAACGGACTTAACATTTGAATTGACAATAGATTATCTTAAATATAGTAATTTATTTACATGACAAAGTAATTTATATATGTATATTTATTATCATCCATTTTCAACTATATTATCTATAGTAATAAAAAAATACCCTTGTTTCACTTCATTTCTTTGTTATTCATTCAAACGTAGGTTGCTGAACTTATGATCAGGCAACCGGTGTCGCAATTTCACGGGTACCTTATGTTTCTAGTTACAAATTGAAAGTGACCTTGGCCTTTGCAAGTAAGATGGTAGGCATGCATAATATACAACACTAGAAGAATGCCCGGCTTCGCTCGGGGGTCATAACTCCGAAACCGGAAGTGGTAAACTAACGCCACCTGGCCTATGTTACTCCCCGGTCCAAGCTACCCCTATACCCCAAATTTCAGACTCGGCGCAGACCTAGTGTAGCCGCCAACCCCGAACAGACAGACAAATGACAGTCACAAATATTAGTATAGATTATTGCGCCCATTGCCTGCGATATCACTTCGGTGAAAACGGGCGTTAAATAAAGCTATTCCACACTCACCAATGGACCTTAGCAGACTGAATACCGATAAGTAAAATGGGTAAACAAATCAGAAATTCCACACTAATCCAGATTTATAAAGAAATGAAATGAAATGGGGTTTAACATCCTACTACTCTGTACTGACTGGGCTAATGAACATGGAAAGTGTTCTATGAGGGAAATTCTGCCTGGACAGCATCACTATGGCCTACTCTTATTTCCAAATCCAACTGTCAAGGGTTCTTTTACGTGCACACCGAACGATTATACGTTGTCCCTTTTCATGCCCTCCATCCTGAACCGCGGACAAGGAGGAACCAACCTGGAAAATCCAGATGAACTTTTTCAGACAACACATGGATCGAATACTGGACTTTAACATTAGGGAGCCAATGTCTGTCTTACTCACTGAGCCACCGCAGCTCCATAAAAGTAAAGCAGCATAATAACCAATTCTCGGATATTACAACATAGTGTCCTGGGAATGTACCTGGAATCAGGTACCAAGTCAAACGTGATGGGGCCTTGAAAAATCCTGAATATTCTTGTCAATTTGCCAGTATTCAAAGCCAGGACAAGCCCCTAAGTATCTTTCGTGCTGTTGACCAACTAACTTCTAGGATTAGGGGTAGGGCTCAGGATATAATTATGTAGGCTTTAAATGACCTGGATCACAAGACCGCATTTTAAAGGAATCAATTCAATATTTATCCAATGACATCAACTGTAACTTTACACCAGCAAATAGAATTCTGTTTGTCTCTATCACACATATGGAATTTTCTAAACCTTTGATCAAAATTATTCCCAATTCACTATGCAATGAGGAAACATATTTTTGAAAGCAAATTTAAGTATGTTTCAGACATTGCACCTGAAAAATCTGTACATTATGTAGACGTTGCCATAGCCTATGCCTTACTTTGACCAGTTACGACAACGTCAAATTGCTGTTAGGCTGTGGACAGTGATGGGTGGTTAACAATTATGTATCTTGTTAGTTTTAGATTGTCATTTTAATTCAACATAACAATGTACCATATGTGGACATACAAGGATATGTATTGTGATATATTAAGGATCTGAGGCTGCCCGATTAAACACTACTACCACTTAAGATACTACGGGACATATGTTTATAAAATGTTTTGTGTCACTTATGTGTTGGTTATGTGAAGCCCGTTTAGTAACTATACAATGGAAAAGCATTTGAAAATGAACCAAAGCTTTATGGATGTTACTGAGAAGAGAGCAATGTGAAAATGTTGAAGAACACATTTTGCTACAGAATGCTTACTGCTTAAAAGAATGCATATTGGACAAACTTAAGTTACCAGAACTTGTAATAAAAGTGTACCATATGTTAGTCTCAAAATGACCTAGTTTCTATTGCGTGGAGTTAAAACAATTTCTTTCGCCAATTTGCAGTGATTACAAAATTCACACTTTAAAAAACTTTCATGCATTTTCAAAATATTTAAAAAAAAATAAAAACCCAACTGTACATAATTTTGTACATAACAATGGCATTTATTCTTGGTTTTTCTCCATCATTTAACCATATCTGATGATTGACAATTCAGAATATTGTTGTTTTTAAACGTCTTACATACTGTTTATTTAAAAAGCTATATTTTTGGGATGGTTACTGTGACAGGCATATCCAGCTAGTTTTTAACAGTATAAACATTCACGCTTTAAAAGTTCACAATACACATATACATAGAACTGTCCAATTATTTAATGTTATTGAGCTGTCACCAGTGATTGACTAAGGAAGGCTAAATGTCCTTTAGGGCACTTATTAGCATAATGACCCTTTTCACCACACTGAAAAGAAAAATTGATACATATTTCTAAAAACAAGGAAAATACCTCTTATTTAAACTATAATGAATGAATGAATGAAAAATGGTTTAATGGCACGTTAGCACCAACCGGGCTATATTGCGCCAAACATAAGTTAAATCATATCACAAAATTTTATATATTCATAAAAAAAAACAATATTATTTAAACTATAGAATTAAGTAGTCACACACAACACCCTGAGGGGGATCACGTGGCTTAGGGGGTAAGACGCTGGCTCGCTAGCCTGGAGGTCGGGTGTTCGATCCCTGCATTGGCCGAGAAAGTTCATCCAGATTTTCTGCCGTGATTCCCCCTTGTCAGTGATGCACGACGGAGGGCCTGACAAGGACAGCTGTCTAGTCATTCGGATGAGACGAAAAACCGAGGTCCAGTGTATACATTCGCGTGCACGTAAAAGACCCCTTGACAGTTGGAATCTGATATGAGAGTAGGCCGTAGTGCTGCTGTCCGGGCAAAATGTTCCGCATAGCGTATGCCCATCTTCATTAGCCCAGTTCGGAGCAAAACAGTAGGACGTTAAACCCCATTTTATTTCATTTCACAACACCCTGAGGAAGAGTAGCGCAACCTTGCCATTTGACACATCAAATGACTAGAACAAATAGTTACTGTATAGAGAGAGAGAGAGAGAAGGGGTTTAACGTCCACTCGACACAAACTAGATCATTTCGGGACTAACACACGGTTTAATTTTTTTATTTCAATAATTTGCTTGCGCGTAGGGGTCTTTAGCAGTGGGAGGAAACCGGAGGACCCGGAGAAAACCCACGAGGTTGGTTACTGTATAGAATTGTTTTGTCTGTGATATTGCAATTATAAACAGATGGTTGTGACTTTTTACAGTGATGAAAATCTAACATTCATTCAGAACAACTGCTGTGTTATAAACTACACCATTAACTTGGCAGAATTATTTTTCATTGTAAGTGACTCCCCAGAACAACTATGTTAAAGGAACCAACCTTGTAGCATGTTACTTGATCTAGTGGTCGTCTGCCATCCATTAGATGCTGTTCTTGAATCTGTTGTGCCAGCTGAAAATTAAAATTTAAAACATGGATTAACTAACTTCTGACTGTTTCTGCTACAACATATGGTTGAATTTGTTCAGACAAAAGGTTATTTAATGAAAAAAAGTAGTGCCCATTTCATCATGGCACGGCACTTTTGTGACTATACTCCCAACTATAAAAATGTAATTGGAATATTTTTGTGAATTATAACTAATAGTATTACAGAATGATGGTCAACTAACCTGTTGTTGTTCAACTTTAGCTTGAGAAGGCATCTTAATACATTGTAATGCTTTATGACCTTGTTCACCACAGAAATGACATGTTATATTTGTCTTCTTAGTTTGTTGTGTCTGATCTGCGATCGGTAAATCAAATTTAGGACTGCAGAAGAAAAGGGAAGAATAATTAACTGATTTAATTTACCTAACGTAATTCTTATGAACATATGAACATGATAAGTAAATATGGGGTGACTGTCTTATATTGTAAAACAATCGGGTATCTGTAGTCCACTCTTGCAAGCACCATTAAATTCAGTTAAGCTGATCTGAAAGGAAAAATTGTGGCCTCTAGAGAGCGGACCAGTAAAATTACGATAATTTAAGGGCCATAACCGCAGAACGAAAGTAGCGATTTGGCTCAAATTCAATCCCAACTGTCATCTTCTGATAAGAATTATTATCCTGAAGCTTGAAAACTGTCTGTCAAAAATGATGGCCTCTAGAGAGTGGCCAATCAAAATTACACTAATTAAAGGGCCATAACTCCAGAACAACAAAAATAGCAATTGTACCCAAATTCTATCCCAAACGTCGTCTACTCAAAGAAAACACTATACTAAAGTTTGAAAAACATTCGTCAATATTGATTGATTGAAATAGACCAATATTGAATTCTAATTTCTGTTTTTAATTTCAAATTTTATGAAAATACTGAATTAAAGGTTTAGCTCCTTGAAATATAAGGGGCAGAAATATGAACTTACTGTACAAATTTACATTTTGGACCTTCTAAACAAAAACCATTTAAGTAGTTCTGACATAAAACCCTTCTCATATGTCTATTTTTGCAGTTAGGACCTGAAAGAAAAGACATTATTATAGTAAGGAGAGAGAGAGAGAGAAATGGGGTATAACGTCCACTCGACACAAACTAGGTCATTTCGGGACTAACATATGTTTTTTAAAAATTTTATTTCAATAATTCGCTTGCGTGTAGGGGTCTTTAGCAGTGGGAGGAAACCGGAGGACCCAGAGAAAACCCACGAGGTTGGACAGGTGACCCTACTCCTTGTCACGTACAACTGGTGAATCGAAACCCCACCAGTTGACTCAATGACAGGCCGTATGATACAGCGCGCGCGTGCTATATAGTAAGGAAACTTCCATAGTAATCGGAAGTGTTATATAATACATGTAGTAGGTTTCAATTTTAATCATAATCAGATTGGTCCAATAATACTCTTATGTTCTTATACAAATTTATGTAATTCAATCACAGTGTTAATAGTGTTATTCTTTGAGACTTTTTGATACAAATATTTATGTACATTTGAGGGGCACCAAATCCATAAAATAAATATAGATGGACACGTCATAGCTTATGTTAGTAATGAACAATTTTATTAATTTTAAGACCAACATGCATTGTCTTTTGATAAGATTACTATTCACCGTATATGCACTTTAATTCAATATTTAAGTTTTCCTTAAGACTTTTGAAAATTACTTACTTACAGAAGTACGGTAACACAAACATTGTACATCATAAAATCCTGGTCCCATTAAATTTGTGACTTACTTTTATGACAGATAACAGCTTAAATGGGTCCACAGGGCCAAAATGTACCATTCTGACTATGGTAGGTCATGAAGTTACCATAATATCTGCACTTTTTTATAAGTTTAACAGTTACATACCAAAAGCTAAAACATTTTCGTATGATTCATAACAGCACAATGCCCTATATACTTACCATGACGACAAAATCCTCGATCATACCAAGGACAGTCTTTAATCTTTTTCTCTGGATCAATATGAAGGAAAGGACATTCTTTATTACTACACTGACCTGTGATAAATGATTATTACAAGTATTTTATTAAGATATAATTTATGACATATTGGTATTCAGAATACAGATTTAATTATAGTAAATTAGGAAGGGGATGAGTTAGCCAAACCAACATATAGGCATCTGTGCTTCAAGAAAAAAGAAAGATAGGTTGCCAGGCAACGAAACATACGCCCACAGCAGCTAAGTCGTCCGGGCAGTCAAAAAGTGTTGTCGCATATAATTTTTGTCAGTAATGAGAACATTTATAACACATGAAAATCTGATTACAAATAATAACCCATGAAGTACATGTAATTATCAGAAAACATTAGAATTTGTTTCAATTCTTTGTCTCATGACCTTAAACAATTTATATTACCATAAATCGCTGAAAATCAATAGGCTTCTTCATCTCATGACCTTTAACATGCGTATACCTTTTAAAGTCAATCAGATATTAACTTTAGCCTCTACAGTTACCACAAAACAGTTCAAAGTGATCAAGGGCCATAACTCCAGCAGTAATTATCGGCATTCGTTTAAAATCTACAGGCTTCTGCGTTTCATGACCTAAAAAACTGTGTATTTAAATTCAATCAGAAATTGCTGCAAATCAATAGGCTTTGTCGTCTCATGACCTTAAACACTGTGTATAAATTCAAAGCCAATCGGATATTAACTTTAGCAACCAGAGTGTCCACAAACAATTGACAGACAGGGGCAACGACAATATACAACCACATTTCAATGTGGGCGTATAAAAATAAAACAAATAAAAATTATTAATAAACTCCATTAATATTAATTCTTTCTTCTACATCTTCAAACTAGTCAAGAATTCATGTTTCTTGCCAATTACCATAATAATAACATGACCAAAAATTTGATGTTCACTTACCAAATTTGGAGAAAAAATAACATTCAGGCATCTTTGTCATATCATACTCATGTAAAAATTCACAATCATCACCCTTCTTACATAAACCCCTGAGCCAATGTTTACAAACAACTGTTCTGTCTCCTCTAACATGACGGAAAGGACAGGCTGTTCCTTTATTGCAACCTGTTACTAAATAAAAAGTGCAGGTTCCTGATCCAGATTCTGAAAAAAAGAAAAAAAGCAATTTGATCTCTACCATATTCCTGAAGCAATGACCCAAGAAATCCCTCTCTAGCCATTGCTGTATTGAGACTGAAAACTTGAGTCTTTCACGGTCACGGTGCGAGCCCATTCTCATCGTTCAATCAAATCTCTCCTGAGTAAAATGTAGGGAATTTTCATGAATTAACCGGGGTGACCTCCTTCAAAAAAATCCTAGTGTAGTGTTTGTTAGTGCCGATTCCAAGAAAAATTTTACCCTTAGATGCATCAGGAACAAAAATCAATACTCGCATAGGGAAATTTGACCATCGCTGAAACTCGCTATTGTAACGAAAATTGTTTGACTCAAATCTCTGATAAAAATTCTATAAATATGTACCAATTATCACTGTCTACCTTTAAATATTCGGAGATTTGGCGGCCGAATTGTCAGCCAGTGCGCGCTGTATCATAAGGTCTGTCTTTGAGTCAATTGGCATGGTTTCGATTCCCCGGCTGTACGTGACAAGGAGTAGGGTCGCCTGTCCAACCTCGTGGGTTTTCTCCGGGTCCTCCAGTTTCCTCCAACTGCTAAAGACCCCTACGGGTAAGCAGAGGTCGCAGTGGATCAATATCGATTTGCGTAAAAATACGCAGACATTCTAAAATTTTGCGTTTTTGCCCTCTACATTTGCGTGACTTAGAGCCTCTTAAAATACTCAATATAGAAGCATGTAAAGTCGTTTTGTGAACAACCCTATTTTAAGCGTCCTTATTTCATTGATAGGCCTACGGTATTTAGTCTAATGACGACTGGAGGTTAACGGCATGTCTATGGTTGATGGCACAGTCATTTCAATCTTTCACTTCGACAGGACGTAAAGAGAAAACTATCGCTATGAAAGCAAACATTTGATTGGCTGAATGTAAACAGTATATCGTGTTCTAGCCAATCCCAAGTCTTGTATGAAATGCGCTTTATTGCTTCCAATAGGATAGCTACGTAGGAGGCTTACTGCCATGAACTTAGAATGAAATAAGGGGAAATATAAAAAACTACCGAGACAACATGCAGTAGAGGTGTGTAAATGCCGGGTGAAGCACATACGACATAGAATAATCTAATTATTCTCACGTCAGGGGAATTTTCTGCGTGTAAATTATGCAGCGTCTGTCAATATTTGCGTTTATTTTGAAAAAAATGCATGAAATACGCGGATTTTTGCATGACTGCGACGTTTGCGTGCAAGTGAATTATTGAAATAAAATTGAACCATGTGTTAGTCCCGAAATGATCTAGTTTGTGTCGAGTGGACGTTAAAACCCATTTCTATCCATCTCTCTCTTTAAATATTCGATAATAATAATTTTGTTAAGAATATCCAGTTTGTTTAAGACACTATAATACGTAACAGGACAACCCTTCTCATTGATCTGTTGTGTGGTCCAAGAGATGATAGAAAGATCCAACATTCGCAGCGATTACCAAATGTTACATTGTAGCTATTTTGGATCGCCTCATTTGTCACACAATTAGTTTCTCTGCAATATTCTGTAAATGTACTAGTTAATTGAGTGTAATACATTTTGCGCGTTCTGAAGTAATGTAGCTGAGTTTGTCACATGACACTTTACGGTAACATATTTAGAGCTCTGGTTAATCTGGTTGTTGACCGGACAGAAATATGCATTGGGTATGGCTATGTTTGAGTGGGATTAGGTCTCACCAAACAAAACACTGCAAGGACGAAGGAGTATGGACCTCCACAGGCTAAATTAACCTTGTCAAAACCTATTTATATCAATATAAGTCACTAATTTCCACAAATGTTGGTTGTCACTCTCAGTCTCAGAATTTATGTAAAGGAATTTACTAACTAAAAGGAATTAAGGACAATTAAATTAGGTTGTTTTAATATCATATTTTCACATAATTCACTTCCCATTAAAGATTATCGTTATCTCAAATACTGGGCCTACAGTACTAATTGAAAAACACTATACCAATTTTTATTTCTCATATTGTCATTGTGACTTTATGTTGGGAATACCTAAGAAATTGTATCATTTAATTTATCATTTAGCCTAATAATAGGCGTTATTAATAAAAAAAACAAACTAACTATCCATTCCGGGAAATGGCAATACTTGTGCACCAATCTGCTGTTCAAGGGCTATTTCTACATCAAATCGTAGATGGCCTGACGGTGCGACAACCTCTTGCATTTTGAATCTTTTCTTGGGGGATTATTATCCTTTTATTATTAAATACATTTAAAGAATCAATTCGGAAACTACTGTTCGTTGTTTGGTGAATGGTCCTAACCGGAAGTTAACTTGACTTCCTGTTTATCGTTTTTAGATTGATTCCGTTTTAAGATTGCGTTTTCAAGTTTATCCACAATTGTTTGCGAATTATGTCTTTGTGTGGGATATATTTTTACCATATATTTCCATATATTAATTTTCAGATCAATATGAAACAACAGTACTTAGTAACTTTCTTAGTTATGCGTTGAAAACGAAACGATTAAGATTACTGATGTGGTGGAACAAAAATTCTTCTGGGATAGAATTACTCCTCATTATTCTTCTATTCTGTTTGGGTTTTTTTTATACGCAGACATTAAAATTAGTCGTTACACCTTCCGCCCATTGTTCTAGGGGAATGGAATGGGGTTTATCTACTTTTCTGGTGCACCCGGGAAAGCATATTTCATGCCGTTGATTATGTGCCGTGGTAAAGATTGCATATGCATCAGCCTTTTCACCTACCGGTAGTAGGCCTACTGTTGTTTGTACAAGTTCCAAATTCCAATTTTCATTTCGGATTAATGGAAATTGGGGCAGGGGGTCAAATGGGCTTGATCTATTTCATAAGGCCAACTTCAAGTTTGATCTAAGGTTACGAGATGTAAACAGGGCTAGCACTAATCCCAACCGTAACCTTTACCCTAACCTACAAACTTGCCAACAATCACATGCCCTAACATAATTAACATATCAGTGACCTTGATGAAATATTTAGTTGGCCTTAAATAGGGTTAGGGTTGGGGTTAGCACTATATCAATGGGGTATGCCCCCTCCCCGTCTATCTGGATCCAGGGAGCACACTTTAGAATCAGATTCTTTTCTTGGATCATTGGAAATGACATTTCTGGGCCATTTTTTTTTTAAATTTTCTGTGAGAGGCCACCAGTTAGCACTCTTCGGGCCATGCAGCTTCGCCAGAAGTGCCCCCCCCCCCCAATAATTGTTTAAATAATCTTGGTTGATTCCCAGTTCAATTGATATCCCAAGCCTAAATTGTAACCAAACTACTTTCTGATTTTCAGACAGAGCTGGAACTTGAATGTGATTTCACAGATCATATTAAAGGAGCAGTCACACAATTCCCAGTTTCGACTCAATATATTGACAGGTAAAGACAGGTTAATTCAGCCAGATAACCAATACTTCAAGAAAACAAATGCTTTGGTTTAATAGACCATGAGAGTTTTATATGACAGAATAGATCGGAGCATGCCAATGACCATAGATTTATAAATAATAAGCAATACATTACATTGTAACTGATGACCAACTAATGATTAAATAATATGCTGCTCACAAAGATATAGAATGTATGGAGATAATATAGATTTATGTCAGCCATTCATTCTGGATGACTTAAAAAAAAAAAATATATCTAGAGCTTTTCATCATAATCAAACAAAAACCATCCCATATGAAAGTAAAATTGAGAGAGAGAGATGGGGTTTAACGTCCACTCAACACAAACAAGGTCATTTCGGGACTAACATGGTTCAATTTTATTTAAATAATTTGCTTGCGCATAGGGGTCTTTAGCAGTGGGAGGAAACCGGAGGACCCAGAAAAAACCCAGAAGGTTGGGCAGGCAACCCTACTCCTTGTCACATACAGCCAGGGAATCGAAACGACTACAGTTAGTTGACACAATGACAGACCTTATTATATAATGTACAAGCGCTAACCATTCGGCCATCCAACCCCCCAAGTATCATTGAAGTGTCCAACCAAATGCAAGGGTTGCAGGATAATATTGAACAGATGTATGTACATGTATTTTTATTATTATATGTATCAACATATTTGGTCATTTTATAACTGAATCCTAAAGCTATAGACTGTTTTAGAAAAAAAAATCTCCTGTTTATTTGCAAAGGAGAATCTTGGTCTTTGAATTAAGATACTTTCCTCAACTAAAAAATATCAATGATGTAAAAAAATCCAATGTCAATGATTGTTTATATATAACTGAGAAAAGAAAGTCGTTTACATTTCCCCAGAGCACTAATTCAACCGCTTTCAAGTATTCCATCTGCATTTATATCCACAAAATACCTGTAATCATTTCAGGTTATCTACCCATGACAATATTTCTCAGACCCTCTCCAATTTTTCTTTTTGAAAATATGATTTTCCAATGTAATGTACAGGATAAATTTTGCATACACAAAACCTATTTTGCCATCATTAAATAAAGAACAGGCAACTCAACATATAAGCAAGTTATACAATCATTCATATACATTGTTTATATTATTTAAGTATGTAAATAAGACAGATAAACATATACAGTATTGTCTTATTAAAGATGCATTATGTAAAAGCTAAATCTGCTTGTTGCAGGTAATTCTTTTGGTCTTTAATCTTATATAAATTATTAATCAGACATTTATTCACAAAACCAACTCTCTAGAACATCAGATGATCACAATTTTTAATGGATTGAATAACATTTGCCATTTATCAATTTAAACCAAAAATGGACAATCCTGGTAACTTCGCTTAGACTGAAATTTTCAATATATTCATTTTTTATTATCTGTTTTAATACTATTATATTATAGCAAGAACAACCAACTCTTTATCTAAATCTTACATAATGCATCTTTAAGGTATGTTTTATAAATGCATTTAGCCATCAACAGTTTACCAACCAATAATTAAATAACTATTGTAAAAACAAGAAAATAATGCAATAAACATAACCTAATGAGGGTCACATTAATTTCAAAGCACTTTTGTATTTTGTAACTTAACACCCTTCAAAACAAATATAGTCAACTGTGATCAATAGGATGGTGCTAATGTAACAACTATGCAACTGTCTGGTAACAATTGGTTACTTCTATTGTTAAAAATGAAAGTAGTCTTAGTCAACACAGATAAATGTAAGATTCATTTAATACACATTCTGTAAAACAAGAAATATATGAAATAAAGAAACCAATATGTTAAATGTGACCTATCTCCAATCCTATTAATCTAAATAAGCTTACACAATTTTCATCTCAAATATGTTATGCACATTGTTATTTTACCAGAAACCAGTGGTTCTATCAACCATCAAAAAAAACCAACAAAAAAACCCAAAAATTGATGGTTGATTAATCAGACAATTAGCTATCAATATCACTAATAACATAACAATGAGGTCATTATCAGGTGATGGTCTTACTTGAATATATAATATACATATATAATTACAAGAAGATGACAGGATATGGGCAGGTACCTTTAATATCAATTCAAATTTAAGTAGCATGTTGCATTACTTTCTTGCTTTACAGTACCATCAAAAAAACTATAGCTAAAATAGAAACTTGAACTGTGAATGGTGTAGGTATAACAAATTATAGTTGGCATATAATAATTCATAGATTTATACAATGTTATATATATAATTCTTAATTGATTATTATAAATGATACAAAGATGTCATGATTTTCCTTTGGAAGAAGCCACCTGTTTTTTCTTGTTTTCTAATTCTGAAAAGATATTAATAATAAAAGATGAATGAATGAGTCATAAGGAATGTAAAATATGTATAGTAAAACCTAAAAGGCTAACACAAATGACAACTCTATAAAAAGAGAAGCATCCTCAGAAAGCCAATACGGATAGGATTATTACAATTGATAATATTTCTTTTTCTGTGGTAGAGCATGCCATAAAGTCTACAAGTGAGCATTATTCAATATACTCAAATTCTTATATCCATGTGTTTTTCACATGGAGTCGAGCTGATTTTCTGTAGAAGGTACTCTGAAAGGTCAGTTCAGAACACATCTATGCACAATGTCCGAGACAGACATATCGAGTAAAGTTTATGTTGTAAATGAATACAGAACGGAATGTTTAAATTCATTCTACATTCATTTTAAGACATTATCAGATCCGAAACTAAACAAATTCGGACCCAAAAATAGAAAAAATCTATTTTTTTTACTAAGCAAGTTAAAAATATTAACTATATAGTAGTTTCGTCCTGTCTAACACAGCGTCGCTAGCTAAGTATTTGCAAAGAAAAGCTGTAATTTAATTTGTGGTGGACAGATCTTTTGATAGAAAAAAAAATGAAATGAAATGGGGTTTAACATCCTACTGTTCTGCACCGAATTGGGCTAATGAAGATGGGCATATGCCATACAGTGTGATATGAGGACAATTTTGCACGGACAGCGGCACTACGGCCTATTCTTATATCGAATTCCAACTGTCAAGGGATCTTTTACATGCACACCAATGTGTACACAGGACCTTGGTTTTTTGTACCATCTGAACGACTAGACAGCTGTCCTTCTCTGGTCCCTCCGTCCTGCATCACTGACAAGGGGGAACTACGCCAGAAAATCTGGATGAATTTTCTTGGCCAATGCAGGGGCTAGCTAAGCTTGATGAGAATCAAACAACTCGAAACATAGAAGATAAGGCATACAATGTTGGGATATGGAATCTACCTAAGCAACAGAATAACCTATTTTACTGTAAATAACCAAGAAAAGTCAATCTTAGTATTATACTTAAAATTGTTTTACCTTTTCTTTCTTCGTCTCGTTTTTTAGCCTGTTCTTCTCTTTGTTTTCTAATAAGTGCTAAACGAGCTAGATCAGCTTGAGCTTCTGTAGTTTTGCCTTCCATGTGTAGTTGATCATACTTTTTCTTTGCTTCAGTTTTTTCTAATTCTTCTCTACAAAAAAAATAACACTGGACATTTATTCCTATATTATTTTATGGAAATTTATATGCTAAGTGCATATTATAGAGCAATCACATCTACAAATTTTTATTTTCAAATTTAAGCCTTATAGAAAGTGCACCGAACTACACACAACCAAAAACCTCAGGACTGTTTTAGCAAAGACGCACTATCCGTTAAAGAAATATTCACCCACTCGCAACTTTGTTTTCTGGGCTGCAACTTTCCAATTCACTTTGATACTGTATTAGATTATATATTTAAAATGATTACCTTTCACGACGAGATAAAACTGTTTTATGTCCAGTATCAATATCAGTCACTTTTTTAGCTTGTTTTACCGAACGATTAGGATTAGCTACTTCAATAAATCCCTCTACACCCTTTGATTTTTTCTGAAAAAGTACAGATAATTATATAGTCCTATGGTGTTGGCATGATATATCCTTGAATTGATGTATCGCAGTTCACGGTTCGTGTATTGAACCGCGAGATGCTGAATTGATTACTTACAATTCTTTTTTATGTTTTTTTTGTCGCTTCAAGAACTAACCGGCCACTTTAATTATCCATGACACACATTATTCACAGGTAAACAAACACCCTTAATTGTTTTGGTCCTTATTTAGATGGCAATTTTCTTTCCAGGTTTTATTAACTCCAATAAAAATATTAATTATTTATTTATCCTGTTGTTTTCTTGGTAAATATTGACCTGGTTATGAATCGTGATACGAATCGTATTGCAGCACCTGAATCGCAATACATATTGTATCATGACCCAGTCACAATACCCAACACTAGACCGGAGATCTAACCACGAAGAAATGTAAACAAAAGATGCTCTCAAATTGTGTGAATATCAACACGCCTCAATCCCAAAATAAATAATGACACTGACAATTCAAATTTTTCATTTTATAAAGTGTCAAGCAATCCAGTTGTTTATCACCTTACTTAACCTGATCAGAAAATGCTCACTATTGAATTATCCCAGGTATTTATGTAACAAAACGATATACGCACCAAGTTTCATCACTCTCAATCAATTAGAATATTGTGTTCTCTCTGCTTAACCTAGGCGAAAAAATGCTCGCTAAGACATTCAGCTAGTGAACATCTACACCAAATTTGAACATTCTGCCTGAATTAGAAGCCAAGTTATTGTGTTCCAAATGATGTGACAGACAAACATATTTTACTGGTCTCCTTCTTGCCATCAATTCACAGATTTGTCTAAAACTTTTAATGCAATCTAATTTGAACATGCTCGAACAAGCAGTTTAATCATACCACTTCAAATCAAAGATAATTTTTTTACTGACGGGTTCATTTCTTCTTTAAAAGAACAGATTAATTATTTTGGTGGCATACATCCTTACAGTTAACTTATATTACCCTTATTACTATTACTGTGCAAGCCCATTATGTATTTAATAAAACAAATGATTGTACCTCTTCTTCTTCATCACTACTGCTATCTGAACTAGAAGAACTTCCACTGCCATCTTTTTTTCTACTACTGGTGGCACCAGCACCCTCCTCTTCATCACTTTCCCCTTCACCTTGCTGCCGCTAAAATAAATAATTCATTTCTAAATTTATTCAGAAGCATAACAATTTTTATCCATAACACTGAGACATTGTTGTAGCTTGAAACAGTGAGATTTACTAACTTGATTATTCCAACATTTGTATTTGATTGCTGGAGAATGTTGGGTTCTGGATATACAAGGCTCAAACAGATGTATCAGTAACCAAGAATTTATTAAATTTACAAGCTGATCATTGTTTTTTACTGTTTTTATTCGAGAGTATGTCAATTATGCGGTCAATAACATTAATTTATATAAAACAGAAATGAACTGAGTATTGTTTATTGGTACATATACATGTATACCAGAATTATGATCTCGAAGTTCAATTGATCCAAAAGTTCCATATTTTATTGACTCATTTCCTTCTTGTAGTAATATATATCAGAATATGTTATCATTTACCCTCCAGTTTTTTTCTCTTTCTAATTTTTGTTCTTCATTTTTTAATGCCTCTTCATCTGTAAAATGACGTCTTTGTCCCTTTTTACTTTTCTTGCCTCGACTGTCTCTTAACCCACCTGCAATATAATGAAATAATATTACTTGAAAAATCAGAAAATATCTAAACAAAGAAATTAAAGATAGGTTGCCAGCCAACGAAACATATGCCCACAGCAGGTAAGTCGTCCAGGCAGACCACAAGTGTTGTCGGATATTTTTTCTTCTGTCAGTAATGAGAAGATTTACAACACATGAAAATCTGATTACGACTACGAGTAATAACCCATAAAGTAATTATCAGAAAACATTAGAATTTGTTTCGATTGGTTGTCTCCTGACCTTAAACAATTTATATTAACTTTAGCCTCTGGAGCGTCCAGATTTTTCAAAATGACCAAGGGCCTTAACTCTGGCAGTAATTATCGGAAATCGTTGAAAAAGAATAGGATTCTTTGTCTCATGACCTGAAACAGAAGTTTAAAGCCAATCAGATATTAACTTTAGCCTCAAGAACTTCTACAAAATTTTTCAAAGATGTGAAGGACTATAACTCTGGCAGTAATTATCAAAAATAGTTGAAAATCAATAGGCTTCTTCGTCTCATGACCTTAAACATTGTGCATAAATTTAAAGTCAATCAGATATTAACTAGAGCGTCCACAAGATTTTTTTAAAGTGTTCCTGAGCCATAATTATCGGAAATCACTGCAAATCAATAGGATTCATCGTCTCATGACCTTAAACACTGTGTATAAATTTAAAGTCAATCAGATATTAACTTTAGCCTCTAGAGCATCCACAAGATTTTTCAAAGTGATCAAGGTCAATAACTCTTGCAGTAATTATCGGAAATCGCTGCAAATCAATAGGCTTTTTCGTCTCGTGACCTTAAACACCATGTATAAATTTAAAGTCAATCGGATCTTAACTTTAGCCTCTAGAGAGTCCACAAGCAATTGTGGATGCCGGACGGACGGGGGCAATGACAATATACAACCACATTTCAATGTAGGCGGATAAAAAGTAACATTTTTCGTTTTCAAGAAATTAAATATCTTTAATAGTTTTCTTATTACATACACCAGTTCTTAATAAGCTTCGTCGAGATTTTCTGGCCTCATTACCCCTTGTCAGTGGTGCAGGATGGAGGGTATGACAAGGGCAGCTGCCTAGTCATTCGGATGGGTTAAAAAAACCGAGGTCTCGTGTACACAATAGCGTGCAGTTGGAAGATTGCATGTACACATACTATTGCAATCTAAAGAGTTAAATTCCCCAGTAAGAAATGAAATGGGGTTTAACGTCCTACTGTTCTGCTCCAAGTGGGCTAATGAAATTGGGTTCCCCAGTAAGGTGCCTTTTGATTTAAATGTCATTACATTAGGCAATGACATGCCTAAGTCAACAGTCTGTTAAGCTAGTGAATGAGAACAGATAATACAGAACAGGGTTGGTTCTGTATCTAGGGTATAGTGTGCTTATTTTTATGTACAGTGACAGGAGCCAAATCACAATACCCGATAAATGATATATTGTAAAAAAAAATTGTTTTTGGCAGAAACAGATCTTCACCAACATCAGATTAACAGCAGGCCTCCAGTTTTCACCAACATCAGATTATCAAGCCAAGAACTATCAACTAAGGAAGGTTGGATGAAATAGGTGACATAAATATCAATAAGTCCATATGATTAACTTTGTCAGTTAGGGTTGTCACTTTTTTAAGGAGCTAAATCGCTAATATTTGGGACCTAGATTGACACAAATGGGTCACAACTCACAACAAATGTAACAATATAATATGAATGTATAAACTGATTTACATACAATCGCCTCCAGATAAGAAGGGAAGGTGTGGTGGGGTAATGTGGGCCACAGCTCTGACAAGCTTGTCGTGTGACATTTCTTTAAAATGTTATTTACCATTTACCAAGACTTCTACATCCTCTAAGAATGTGCTACTCATCATAAAAAGTTCAGAGATACATTCCACAAAAAAGCTCAGTATTATAAGAAACTTTCTGCATTAAAAGTTTTTTGGGGGTTGAAGATCATATCAGTGCATTTCATGACACATTTACCTTGTAAACAAAATCTCTTCGAAGCATTAAAATAGATTACTACTGTTAGGCTCTAGCATGTAGTTAAAGGGAGAGAACTCCTGGTCTATTTTTATGAAATTCTGACTTATCTAATCCTTGTCACTTAGGGTAATATGGGACATGCAAATTGGGGTGATATGAACCATGGTTCATATTATGCTCTAACCAATAAAAATAAATTATCCACAGAATCTTAATTTCTTGGGAATGATTTGTAGCATAAATCATAAGCTAAAATTATTTTTAGCATTTTTAGTTGGTTTTTTTTACTTGTTTCAGAAGCATTATAACGACTATACGGGGAAGGGGCGGGGGTAATATGGGACATAATTTTTGCTTTCAGCTCATATTACCCCATCCAAGCGGGTTAATATGGGCCATAACCCATTATTTCTTAAGACCTATAGCAAAAAATTAGCAATTCACATTGTCTTTACATTTCATTAATTGAAAAGATGAGTTCCATAGCTTCAATTAGAAAGTTGAATTGTTTCAATATCACACTAACTTCTAACTATACCCAGGAAATATTCCATGGCAAAAAATATGTCCCATAATACCCCCACCCCCATATGGTAGGATTCCCCATGCAACCAAAATTTTCCCTACTGAAAGTTGAAGTCGACACGGCAAATGTGCACGCTTCAAAGGCTCGTCTCGAAGTGATTTCTGGCTAGTCACAAGGTTCGATACGAGTCTATAAATAGCCATCGCACACTAAATTTTGTACACATCTATCAACTATAGTATTACAGCGTAAAAAATCTATTTATTGTTGATGATTCTGAAATGCAGTAATATTTAATTTTTTGGTAATTACAGCAACTTTTGTACACATCTATCGACTATAGTATTACAGCCGTAAAAAATCTATTTATTGTTGATGATTCTGAAATGCAGTAATATTTAATTTTTTGGTTATTACAGCAACTTTAGAAATTACGTTTGTTTTATTTTTTAAATTGCTTTATCATTAACTATACCTTTAAAAGTGGCATCGTTTGGTTTAGTACAAATTAATATCTCTGAAACACTCGGGTTAGGCAAGAACATGATACTAGCAGTAGTTTCATTTTACTTTTACAAGGTTCTTAAAACAATTGTTGAGTTGCCTAACGTGTGTTACTAAATTCAATTTCTTGTTCCAGCCTTCTGTTATGTTTCATAAACCAGCGGCTGCCAAGCAGGACACGCCCACATTTTCGAGAGATGGATAGAGAACAAGCTAACAAGAAAGTGATTTTTCCTACAATCAAGGGCCATAATTCAGGAAATTACAATTCGATATGCGCATATATCGAAAGGAACTGAGATCTTTGTGTTATAAACTTACATTTCAAGTTTCAACAAAATCAGATAAAAATTGTGACCTCTATAGGGTCCACAACCTTGATATACCATATTTTTACGCTATTTGAGAACGAACGGCGGCCATTTTGTCTGTCAATTTGGGGCGATTTTCACAAAATTCAAACTCAACTGTCCTTAGGGTGGAACGGTAATATAATAATACGTTTTTTTAAATCGGATAAAAATTATGACCTCTAATGGGTCCACAAGCTAAAAACATGATTTTTCGTACAATCTGGGGCCATAATTCAGGAAGTTACGGTCCGATATGGGCAAATATTGAAAGGAACCGAGATCTTTGGGTTATAAACTTATATTTCAAGTTTCAACAAAATCGGATAAAAATTGTGACCTCTATAGGGTCCACAACCTTGATATACCATATTTTTATGCTATTTGAGAACGAACGGCGGCCATTTTGTCTGTCAATTTTGGGCGGAATTTCACGAAATTCAAACTCAGTCATCCTTAGGGTGTAACGGTGATATAATAGAACGGTTTTTTAAATCGGATAAAAATTATGACTTCTATAGGGTCCACAAGCTAAAAACGTGATTTTTCATACAATCAGGGGCCATAATTCAGGAAGTTACTGCAAATATCGAAAGGAACTGAGATCTTTGGGTTATAAACTTACATTTCAAGTTTCAACAAAATCGGATAAAAATTGTGACCTCTATAGGGTCCACAAGCTAAAAACGTGATTTTTCGTACAAACAGGGGCCATAATCCATGAAGTTTCGATCCGATACATGCCAATATCGAAAGCAGCCTAGATCTTTTGGGGATAAACCTATATTTCAAGTTTCGTCGAAATCGGATAAGAATTGTGACCTGTAGAGAGTCCACAAACAATTGTGGACGGACGGACAGGGGCGACGGCATACTACGTCCACATGAAAATGTGGGCGTATAAAAAAGTAGACTTGATTATCCCAGCCTTAGACGGAGAATGGTCGGTAGTCTGGTTAAGCAAGACTAATTTCAAAACCAGGGCATGTAACCCATTTTTTACTCAAAAGTGCCCGGATGTTATGGCCGACACTCGTAACCATTTTTCAGTCTACTATTTATTGATGGTTAAATAAACATGACTGTTTATTTAGTGACTATAAATGTGCGAAACTGATTTAAGGCTTGGTATATATATATATATATATATAGATATTGTGGTGTAATTGTCGAGATATTTGGAGATATTTATTTGATTACATGTCATTTCGGTCCCGTGTCATTTGGGACTTGCGACATTTCGGACTCAAAAAAATATGGCCTCGACGTTTCGGACTTGGGCAGGTGACATTTCAGACTTGGGAATAAGTTGAAAGGAAAGGTGACATTTCGGACTCGGGAATAAGTTGAAAGGAAAGGTTGAACACAACTGTCATTGTAATTTATTTTTTTAAAAAAGAATAATATGCTGTAAAATTTATTTCAAAATGACCTACACAAAAAACAAAAGTAAATATTACTCGACATGCACTGCTTTTACAAGCCCCTAGAATGTTTTAACGATAATCCGGAAGCTACACGATGACATGCATTCCTCGACAAGCTTGTCTTAGACAGCAGTACCAATCGATAAATTAGTGCGTACAAAGAAAACTCTTTTCGGAAAATAACAGAAATGGCAACGATCAAAATGGTACGGTAATTAAAGCTGATTAACCGATAATCCCTATATTATTGTAGTATGCGCAAAGAAACCTTACAGTTCTTTAGTGGACGAGGAAACGTGAGTTGTCAATCAGCGATAATGGCGGTGGTGTCTTGATTCGATTATTCCGACTCACGTAAAAGACATTTAGGCTTTCACAATTACAAAAACATTAGCAGTATTACTAAATATACACACATTTTCAACAATATTGTATTATTGTTTAGTTCAATACACGCCGAAGAAACAAAACAAAATAGAACAAGCAGTGTAAAATCAGTGTTAACTTTTTTATTAGCGGTCTCAAGAATGGTCGATCAATTAAATAAAACAAAACAACTATTGGACTCACATAAAACGAAAATAAAAAACAAGCTGTTACAAATATATCACACAAATGTTCAACAGTCTTTAAGTTATTCATCAGAGTTCGAAAAGTCGCCAGACGGAGTCCAAAAAATCGTCTGTGTTGAGTCTGAAATGACGCGGGACCGAAATGACGTGCTACCATTTATTTATGGTGGGGCACCCTACATATGGCTTCACTGTTCGACAGGACTTCATACAAATGGCGCTGAAATGCACTATGGTACCATACACGATTTGTCTTTTATACAAATGCCTTGAAATGGTAAAATGTTTATTTTGTCTTAAATATAATAGAAGCTGTCTAGATCACAACATCAATGTTGATTCAAATTGATAAATAATTCGTGTTTTCAATGGCGTACACTTTGGATGATATTGAGTTCGAGACTTAGCTACTTTAACTCTTGCCTATCAAGTTGATTGCAACATTTAGATCTATTGCAATTCATTATGACCATGATGGCATATGGCCATGTGTTACATTCGTGTGTTTATTATTTCATGTTTTTTGTGGCGGTCTGGACTCGATAGATCTATCAGCACGATATGTTGTAAAATATTTGTACCTTACTTAAAATGTCAAAGCTATTTGTTTATCAATCAATCAATACATTATACCTCTTGGCATCTTGAAATATATATTTGATGCCGATCTGTTATAAACTTTCTGAACTTATGAACTGCCTACTATTGCTTTCAAGCTGACACAGCGCCATCTGTGAAGGGAGGTGTTGTTGATGTAATAAGTTTCTACTGTTATAATAAAGTCAATATTTGATTATTTGATTAAATATACCGTGTATTAGTATATATCATTACAACATTGATGATAATTTGTAACTGAGTTAATACGAAATGATATTTTTTACATGAAATAGACTTGTGAAATTTTCTTATAAACTATGCAAATAACTGCTCCCTAAAATACCACGAGATTTGTTGAGATTCTGTATACTATTTTTATTTCATTATTTACGTTCCACGGACATTTACACACACAGAAGATTCAACTGTTATTTTAAACGATATTTCCTCGTTGGCAGATAATGCCGAAGATAAAAAGAAGTCGGAAGCCACCCCCAGAAGGATGGGAACTCATTGAACCAACGATAGATGAGTTGGATGCTAAAATGCGTGAAGGTACTGTAGCGTACAATGTATAGTTTGAGTTATTATGAAGTCTGACTTAATTTTAGTATTATTATTATGCCATTGGTAGTTCAGGGTAAAGATAGAAATGATTCCAATGCTCAAAATTTGGTCAAAACGGTCATAATTTGGTCAAAACAGCCAAAAAAATAATATTATTTTACAATGTATCCACAATTTCAATAGAGAACTTTGTAACATTAAACATTGGCTATAGTACTATACATGTAGTATTATTTTAGTATTATTGTTCATTTGATGAGGGCTCAGTGATGGTTATCTGAATCTGTACGTCACAGGGCCTGTTACAGCATGTACGCGACGGGAGAGTGAGTATGTTATGTTCTTGATAGAGCTGATTTAAAGCTCTCTTTTGATGGAGCGCACACTATGCTATCATCCAGGTGGTTCCATTCAATAATTGTCTTTGGGAAGAAGGAGTGTTTATAAAGTTCAGTTTTGCATACCACTGTTTTATAACATTTTGAATTGTTTGTTATATGGTTTTCAACTATGTTTTTAATTATAAAGTCAGAATTCTGTTTTGCTTTAATTCGGCGTTTGGGTTTGCTGGGAGTTAAATAGTCATCACAATTGAAAGCTGGGACCAGCCCCCCAACCACCATGTAGAAGAAAGTGAGGCGGATCATATTCCGTCTGTCTTGAAGGGATGGGATCTCTAAGTCCTTTAGCATCCTTCATCTTTAGATTTGTAATCGCCGGAAACAAACCTTGCAGCTTGGCGTTAGACTCTCTCAAGTCTGTTTATATCCCTTTGTAGGTAGGGGTCCCAGTCAACTGAACTGTACTCCAGGGTGGAACGAATTAACGCTTAGTAGGCTGATCTTCTACAAGATTGTGGGCAGTACTTGAGGTTGCGCTTAAGGAATCCCACTGAGGAGTTCGCCTTCTTTATTAGCCTGGTAATGTCGGTGTCCCACTTTAGGTCTTCAGAGAGTGTAACTCCAAGGTATGGGTGTTCTTTTACTTGCTGAAGTATGACATTTTTTAGAGTATAGAAGTTAGTAGACTTACTATTGATGCTCATGACATAGCATTTCTTTGCATTGAATCTCATTCCCCAGGTATTGGCCCAGTCTTCAAGAGCTGCGGGGTCATTTTGAAGGGTTTGGTGGTCCTGTCGAGATTTGATGGTGTAGTAGAGCAGACAGGCATCTGCAAAGAGTCAAACTTGTGATTTCACGGTTTCCGAAAGGTCATTTATGTGGCACAGAAAAAGCAGCGGGCCGAGTACTCAGTACTGTTCCCTGGGGGACTCCTGAGTTACCGGGTCTGAGAATTCTCCTTCAATGACTACTTGCATGTGTCTTGTGGTCAGAAACTGTCTTAACCAGTCGTTTAGAGGGCCATCAACTCCATAGTTTCTAATTTTGTGGAGAAGTTTCTCGTGAGGGACGGTGTCGAAGGCCTTCGAGAAATCTAGGATAACCATGTCGATTTGGTTGTTGGCATCATGTTTCTGGAGGAGATCGTGAACGGTGGTTAGTAGCTGTGTCTCACAGGAGTATCCCGAGCGGAAACCGTGCTGAAGACTGGTCAGTATCTTGTTCCTTTCAAGATGTGTAAGGATGTGCCGGCAAATGATGTAATCTAATAGCTTACAAGTCACGCAAGTCAGGGAAACAGGTCAATAGTTTTCGGGTAGGTGGACGTCCCCTTTCTTAAAGACTGGTGCAATGTTGGCATTAATCCAGTCTGGTGGGAGTTGACCAGTGTTGATTGATAGTTGGAATATCTCACGGAGGCCAGGAGCAAGTTGGCTACTACAGGTCTTCAGAATAGTGTTGGTTATTTTGTCTGGTCCAGTCGCTTTCTGCTCATTCATGTTCTTCAGTAGGTTTTCGACTCCTTTGGTAGTGAATAAGTGATGTTAAGGGAGGGGATCGATGTTATGACTGGTTTCTGTAATTTAGGTAAAGCCGAAGAGTTCGTTACATTGGTGAACACAGATTTGAACTTGTTTACTAGAATTTGTGCTTTATCCTCGCTGCCACTGACTAAGTTGCCCATTTTCTTGAGGGGTGCTATACCAATACTGTCTTGTCGTTTGGATTTGATATACTGCCAGAATGGTTTGGTGTTATTGTTGTCAAGCCCATGCTGGATAGTACTATTGATGTGGTTGATCTCTGCTAGCTTAAACTCGCGCTTGCAGGTTTTCTGGAATGTACGATAGTCTTTCCATTGGTTGTTTTTTTTAGCTTGTTTAAATAACCTGGACTTCCTCTTTGACATCTTACGTAGTTTGCTGTTGAACCATGGTAGTGATTGTCTTTTCTTACAGAATTTGGAGGGGATGTGGGAGTCTGTGATCTTTGAGATAAGAGTTTTTCAAGAATGACCAAAGGGTGGTTACATTCGTGTTACTAGGGTTGATGATGTCCTGGGAGAGCTTTTTGGTGTCCTTGTGTATGAGTTGCCAGTTTGCCTTCGAGTAAATGTAATTCTTCCATGGCTTTGGCTTAATATAATGAGGTAGAATGTTAATGTCTGTGACAATCACTGCATGGTCGCAAATACCAGGAACTGAAGTAGATGATTTAATAACAGATGGGTTGTCTGTGAACACCAAGTCTAAGATATTGTTGTTTCTAGTCTGGTGATCGTGGATCTGTGTAAGGCCATATTCTATCAACAGATTCAGTAAGGATTGTTGTACATCTCTATCCAATGACTTATAACATCTACACTACCGTTATGTACCAGTTAATTTTTTGTAAAAATTATATTTTGTGATACTGATAGGGCTAGGTTTTATCTAAATATTTCACTGATAAGCAGATTAGATATTGCAGAATATTTACTGTGAACAACATCCAGGTTTGCTCAGGTATAGTTGTTTTGCTCAGGTATAGTTTGAGTGGCTGAATGGATTGCACGACATTTCGGTCCCATGTCATTTTGGATTCAACACAGACAACCTTTCAGACTCAGTTGAACGTACTTGACAACTTTTTAAACTCGGATGAATAATTAAGACTTTTGAAAATTTGTGTGATATATTTGTAACAGCGTTTTTTTTTGTCCCCCGCCTTTCGAAGAAAGCAGGGGACTAATAAAATGGGTTCGTCTGTCTGTCCGTCACACTTTTTGGGACACAATAACTCTCTTAATAATTGAGCTATAATGTTCAAACTTGGTAGAGGTGTTTATTAGGTCAATGCCTTGATGGAGTTCAAAGATGAGCATATTCGGCTTAGGGTAAGCAGAGATAATCAATTTGATTGGTTGATGCTTTGGGACACGATAACTTTAGTTCTAATTAAGTGAGAGTGATGAAACTTGGTGTATAGATCAATATACATCAATACCTTGACTAAGTTTGATAATGAGCATTTTCTGCTCAGGGTAAGCAGAGCGATAAGCAATTTGATTGGTCGAGACCTTGGAACACAATTACTCTCCTTCTTATTGAGCTAGAATCTTCAAACTTGGTGTAGGTGTTTATTAGGTCAATGCCTTGATGGAGTACGAAGATGAGCATTTTCTGCTTAGGGTAAGCAGAGATAAGCAATTTGATTGGTTGATGCTTTTGAACACGATAACTTTAGTTCTAATTAAGTAAGACGGATGAAACTTGGTGTATAGTTTCATTACATCAATACCTTGACTAAGTTTGATAATGAGCATTTTCTGCTCAGGGTAAGCAGAGCGATAAGCAATTTGATTGGTCGAGACTTTGGAACACAATAACTCTCATGTTAGAATGTTAACACTTGGCATAGTTGTCTATTAGGTGAATGCCTTGATGGAGTTCGAAGATGAGAATTTTCGGCTTAGGGTAAGCAGAGATAAGCAATTTGATTGGTTGATATACATGAGACACAATAACTTTAGTTCTATAATTAAGTGAGAGTGAGGACACTTGGAGTATAGCTTTATTACATCAATACCTTGACTAAGTTTGATTATGAATATTTTCTGCTGAGGGTAAGCAGAGGGATAAGCAATTTGATTGGTCAAGACTTTGGAACATAACAACTCTGCTTTTAATTGAGGTAGAATGTTTAGACTTATGTAGATGTTCATTAGGTGAATGTCTTGACTGAGTTCAGTGATTAACATTTCGAGCTGAAGCTAAGCAGAGCGAAGCAATTTCATTGGTCAATGCTTTGGGACAAGATAATCTTGATTCTATCTGATAGAGAGTGATGAAACTTAGAGTATAGTTTGATTGCTTGATACTTTTGAAAAAAAAATATATGTGCGATTAATGTGTGTCATCTATTTATTTTGGGGTTTCGGCGGGGGACATGAGCCTCACTGTTGGCTTGTTTTTTTCGTTTTATGTGAGGCCGATAATAAAAAAATTAACAATGCTTGTTCTATTTTTTATTGTTTCTTCAGCGAGTATTGAACTTGACAATAAAATATTGTTGAAAATTTGTCTATATTTAGTAATACTTCATTGTTTTTCTTTTAAAAACAGTAAAGGTTGATTGACCGATCACTGCTAATGTTTTTATAATTGTGAAATTATGTCTTTTACGCGAGTCGAAATATTGACAACTCACGTTTTTCCTCATCCACCAAAGAACCGTAAGGTTTCTTTGCACATACAACAATAACATCAAGATTAATCAGCTTTAATTTTCCCACTTTTTGTGTTTTATAAAAATTTGTAAACAGTGTACATGTATCCTAATTTTAAATATTTATTTTAACAGCCGAGACCGATCCTCATGAGGGAAAAAGAAAAGTGGAAGCTATGTGGCCCATTTTCAGATTGCATCACCAAAAATCACGATACATTTATGATTTGTTTTACAGAAGAAAAGCTATAAGTAGAGGTAGGCACCAAGAGGAAAAATGTATAAAATATTGTATCTGTGTAAAAGATAAATTGGAGAATTGAAATCTACATATTTGTTACTGTGTGATTAATTTTTCATAAGTGAGCATTGGCAATTACTGGTACATTGCCTAATAGTTGTACATGGTAGATTGTTAAAAAACATACAAATAATCTTATTAATAAACATTTTGCTTTCAGAATTGTATGAATACTGCCTGAAAGAAAATATTGCTGACAAAAATCTCATTGCCAAATGGAAGAAACAAGGGTATGAAAATTTATGCTGTTTAAGATGTATTCAGACCAGAGATACAAATTTTGGAACAAATTGTATATGTAGGGTGCCCAAACCAAAACTGGAAACGGTAAGTGTAATAGTAATAATACCTTTGGCTCTAACTAAGGTACAATATCTAAATTGTTTGAATAATGCCTTGACTTGGTTTAAAATTTTAGTTTACTAACTAACTAATCTATGAAAATGCATTAATTAATTACTCAGAAGGGTTTAAATGAATTGTATGTAAATTGATTATTACAGAATATTACAATATTTCCAGAAATTGGTAAGCTACAGACTTGGGACTGATTTTATTTTCTGCAGTTAAGGCATGTTGAAATTGAAAACTGATAAATACTATAATTATTCCCATTCAACATCGATACATGCTCGAAATGGATAGGCAAATTGTATGCTAATTTTCTTTCTCTTATTACAGGGTAAAATTGTGGAGTGTATACATTGTGGATGTAGAGGCTGTTCAGGATGAATTAACAATAGACATTTCAAAAACAAAATTTTCATGAAGGACATCATCCGACACAATATACATTTTTGTAAACTTTTAAATTTTTGTGTGTAAATAATTAAAATTATATCTACTATTATTTTTGTTGCAATTCATTTTCATCAGATCACACCCCTTGTGAAGTTGTGGCTTTTTGAAAATCTCATGTTTTTCATTAGGAGAGACAGAAAAACTCTCTTCCACATATCACAATTAGGTCATGCTCATTTTATGATTAACATATATCAGCATATAAGTACATGTATTTCATAGTTCAAATCATATGGCACTAGAAAAAGCATTCATTATTAATGGCACAGGGACCTGGGTTTATAGCTGGCCACATCTAATTAAAAAGCGCTAATCATGTCTAAAAAATATCGTTTTGATACTTGAGAAATGTGAAAATAGCAACTTAATGGTTATGTAGGTTTTTCAACATTGTGACACATTTTCTTTTAGACATCTGTAATTATTGTAAAAATGTAATAAAAAAACCCCCTACAAATTTTTTTTTAAGGGTGTGTTGGTCATGTTATAATGAGTGCAATTGGAACTTTAAAATATATTTTATTTCACTCAATATTCGAAGAAGCAGGTTATAAATCTATCCCCAGATGATAACCGGACCATATAAATGAATTAACTTATAAAGCTGTGACCAGCAATAACTTTCAATGATATCTATAGAAATAGTATCGGCCTATTTTCAATAAATGGGGTTTAACGTCCTACTCCTATTTTAAAGGCATTATTGTAAAATTGTTGGTGCCCATTAGGGGACATGTCTTGGTTCAACAATACTCCCAGAATGCTTGTTGTACTAAGAACTAGGGTAATTAACTTGTATGTTGTATTTCCCCATCAAGCCCTGTATATTAATGTGTACTCTTCAGGTAGAAACTAGTAGGTTATTGTTGTTGCAAAGTTTTATAGCCATAATAGAAATAGGCTAAAGTTTGGGAGTTCCCCCATCAACCAAAGTCTTTATTATTAGATAAGAAGTGACACCATAAGCCACATTTGTATTGTCGGTTGGAATAGCCATGTAGGGGTGACCTGGATGTGATCAGTCTCCGAATTCAAAAAGGGCAATAAGCAAATGGTCAATTTCGATCATGGTGCAAAATCCAAGTTTATGAATAATGCAATGATAGGCAGCATTTGTTCGCTGATATTTTGCATGCTGATGTCTGTACACAGGTTTGAATTAATTTCCATTTCTTTGATCACAAGTTTTGGCAACATACTATAGCTAACAAAAATATCTGTATACACCAAAAATGTGTCCTTTTATACTTTATATGTGACATAACTTGTAGCCAAACTAGTGTCATTCACACTGAGGACTTCTGCCAATAAATCAGATATATGTGGACGCAACAGTACACTACTTTAGGTATGGTTGAAATAAACATAAATCAATTCATTCTATGTTTTATTTGAGCATATCAACAATCCCATTAACAATGTATAAACACAAGATGAATATATAAAATTTATACAGTATTATACATTTATCAAACTTACGTACTTTTGCATCCACAATAAATTGAAATTTAATATCTTATGATGAGAAGTTTTATTTGAAACTATTTATTGCAGTATAAATTGCACATAAACCAAACCTTATAATTGTCATAAATATATTAAAAGGTGAAACAAACACATATTGAAATTAATGAGCCTGTGACAGAATCAAAAATTTCAGACTTTAAAAATTGTCAATATAAATTCTATGCTAAGTTATCTAAGACACAAAATATCAGGCTACATTATATATATATTTATGCCTCACATGAACACACAGTTTAATTTGCCAAGTGACTAGAAAAAATATAAATAATGATGGCCTGAAATATTGAAACTTTCTCCATACTGAAATTGTAATCATTAATTATCTATCTTTATAGTAGTATAATAATTCTACAACAATCAAAAATTCATAACATTCTATAAAGAAGATTGAAATTAAGGGAATTATTAGTTAATATGAGAGAGCGTCACTGTAAATCTTTTCAACTCAATGAATGTCTACATGGAAGGGAAGTAACTCTTCAGAAATCTCCCTAGCAGGTAATTATCTCCCCTTTGACCACAAATGACAAAAGATCCACATACCATACAACATAATTGTTCCCAATACAAAAAGCAAATGAATCCTACATAAAATCTTTTAAAATTTAATATTAAGTATTATAATAACATTTGGCAATATAAAAAATAAAATTTATTTGTTAACCATTAATTCTTGATGAAATAGTTTGTTATGAGATCAAAATATAATGTATAATATAAGTAAGTGAGGGATGATTACATAATGGAAAACATTTGTTCAAATTATATACACCCAACTTCTGTTATAATGTGTTTGAAATTTAACGTAAGTTATGATTATAATGCTTCACATAAAATAATGTGTTAATATTCTAAAGCTTTATTATAAGAGGCCCAATTTTGGAACTATAAAGCTGCCAACTTCCATCCACCTCTGAGCCCAGATCGAACACAGTACAAGAATAATATGTAACTTTTCAGTTCAAAGAGTCCTTCACTAGACATAAGTAAATCAACTGTAAGCACGTTATCTGTTTAAATAAAAGATAGTAACAGATTTCGGACATTGTAGTAATGTCACTAACATATAGTAAATTAAGCCTCTTACAAGGAACTTACTTACAGAATTAGATTCATTTTTAATTTCATCCCACAACCCACAAGATGCATGCAACCCATGATTACGTTTAATAAACTCCTGTCATCTTCACCGACAACATCACAAATGCCAAAAAACAAAACAAGAAGAGATCAAAATACGCCTACTTTCCAATCTTCATGAGCAAATTTCATAGCAAAATAAAAATTATGAGATGAATACTGGCGTTGTACAGTTAGGTTCATGCTAGGCACTGTGGGTGATTGTGGACTTGTTACTGAGCTGGTCTTCCAATCAAACGTCACTTCTTTCTCTTGAACTTCAATTCCTACGCGGACCTTTCCGTTAGGTAATGGTTCTGTTTGGAAATTAATGGCAGATCCTTTCTTTAATGGTGGTAACTTCATCTTCATCACATTTCCATCAACATAGATTGTTCCTTTAATAGAAAAAAATGAAAGTGTTTTATCATATATTTATTTATTTCTGTTATTAATAATTCTACAGGTCTATCTTGTTACATTCAATTAGATCCAATAAGAGAACTTTATGATAACATACAAATTTGGAACCAATTTTCTACTCCGTAAACCAAATGCCAGTTCTAAGACATTGTACAGCATTCACTAACTTAACAGTTTTATTCATTTATTTCTACTTGTAATAGATATGACACAAATTGGTTAATTAAAGGGGTGTAATTCTGATTGTAACAGAAACAGAGCAAATAATATTTGGTCAAAGTGCTATTTTTTTTTTCATTAGCAGCTCAGTAACCACTGCCACCCTTGACAGCATTTATAGTCCAATGGTTTCACTGGTTTCAATGTCTATTTATTGACTGTTCACAGTACACATACAAGACAATGATAAAACATTAGATGTTATGTAAACTACGCGATAAAATATGAAATACGGAATATAAAACAGAAAAAAAAATATATTAAAAAACATTAGATTTTAATCAGATTGAAATGAAATGGGATATAACCTCCTACTTTTCTGCACCGATTCTAGAGAGCCAACATCTTACTCACTGAGGTACAGAAACCAAAGAACAGATGACAATTTATTGTTTCTTAAAACAAAGAAGATATTTACCATCAATATTGACATATATAGCACCTGGTATTTCTAGAGTATCTTCATTATCACAATTACAGGCTAAACCTATTCCATCATTTAATGACCTTTCACCTGCATCTAATATTTTGAAAGTTATCTGTTCACCAGAGGCATAACTAGGTATATTAGAATAAACTAATGTACTGAGACCAATATCTGTACGTGTTGCTGTTTTATCTTCATTACTAACGCTGTATCCTTCATGTGTTGATACCCATTCTAAAATTTATATACAACAAAAAAAATCAAGAACCATACACCTATTTATAGAACTGTTAAATTGAGGTCAACTATTTATGGAGAATAAAATTTAGTTTAATTCATGTCACAGAAGTTTTATGCATATTATTATAAATAATTTAAATATTTTTCCCTGCAATTCATTCACATTTCCCAATTCCCTCCCTCTATTCCCATTCTCTAACACTTTCTCTATCCACTGCAGATTGAAATAGTGCAGCCCACCTTCAAACACCATCAATACTGTATATACAATTCCACAGAATTTATTTGTAGGTCTATTCTATGTCAACTGTAGATTCTATCTAGAACGGAAATCTACTTACGATGATGAGGTATTGTTGTTATGGCAGTATAAGGCACACTCCATACGCTCCACTCATGACTACCATCCTGTCGTCCTCGTACACGGAAGGAATATTGTTTGTTTGGACGCAATTGTTTAACAATATGTCCTGTGTTCGGACCAACATAAGCTGTATGAAATGTAGCTTTAGGATCCGAGTTAGACTTAATATTACCAGAAGAATACTGCAGACAAAACTCAGTTAAATCCCCATCTTCTTCTATCTGTTTAAAACAAAGATTAAAATGTAACCATAAACCATAACTTATTACTAGTAAATTTTCTTGCATTATGTGTGGTTTAATGGTCGAGAGTGAGACATTAAGTAATATACTGAAACAACACGAGGGACATTGGTCCCAAGTGTTGTTTAAATATATTACGCAATGCCTTAAGCTCAAGACCATTAAACAATTTTAAACACAGACACTTACATGTGCCTTGCAATGAAATACGTCATGCAGGTCCAAAATTTCAACTAGTATAAATAATGTACGCTTGGCACATTTCCTGTACCATAATGGTACACCAACATTAAAAGATGACGTCACATCTGTATTTTAAGAACAGATATTAATCATAAGACAGTGTTTTGTTTGTGTTAGAAATTCTGGTGTTTTATGCTGATCATAATTTGATCATTTATATGGACTTACATCACTTGAGAAACGAACTTGGACAAGTGAAAATAAAAAAAAATACTATTTATTTCAAACTTGGGTTGAAAATTCATTGTTCAATTTCATTTATCAATTTTATCAATGAGCTCATCAGGTGTGACTGTTTCAAGTTCAAAGATCCATTGTAATTCTACTTTTCTGTGGTAAACAGATTTCTAAATGACATGTTCCATATAATGAGTAGCTATTGATTTATCCTAATTATGTTTTAATTCGACAGGTGTTCTTTGATCATAAGTCTATTAGGCTGTTATGTTTTTCCTAAGTATTGTTCTAATCCATCTCACTAATTATTCTTAAAGGAAGGAACAAACTAACATTTCTTTAATTTTAATTATTTTTTCTTAAAATGAAATATGTTCTTTTGCTGCTCAATATGGGGATTGGATTGGGTGACTATATGGTACAAATATTCACTTTAGATCATCAGGTTTGTGGTAGAGTCAATGGTGTGGTTTTGATCCCACACTTGTATGTGACATGCAGTACTTGTAGGATCACATGCTTAACTAAAATTGTTTCCTCTGGGTCTTCCAGTTTACTCTCAATAATATTTCTTACCTCATTCCAAGTAACAAGTAAACTACCAGGTCTTTCGACTATATCTATGATTTGTACTGGAGCTCCAGCTATTACTTTACCCTCCTTCTGTATGGCTTCATTTAATACACTTCTTAAAGATGATGCTAAATCTACAGTTATACAAGGTACAGCAGAACGGTCAGGTATTTCTGGTACACTATATAAAAATAAGAAACGATGGATTTAAACTGTTAGCTGTCTCTAAAATAAATACTATATGTACTTATATACACACCAAGGGCAAAACCTCTATGATCAATGGCAATTAACAATATAGATATTTTAGGTGAATAAATCTAAGTGGAAAACTTTAAAGATACATTATGGGAGATTTGGTAACGAGTTGGCAGTTCTCACTATAATAGTTAAAAACTAGATAATGTAAAGGCAATTTGGTGAAAATTTCATTCAAATTGATTCACTATGAACCGAGAACTAAGCGACTGAAATTCCTATAAGCCTCGGTCATCATTACTAAAGTCAGTACGATAAACAGCAGTCTCGATTATCCATTTAATCGTTTAATCGAGAAGGAAAGTTATGCAGTAAATCGGCTTACAATCCACTAAAGATCGCAGGCTAGTGCTGCCATCTAGAGTTGATTATGGCCTGGATAGGTTAATTAATGTCTAATTAATAATTTAGATAACATTTCAGGCCTAAAGAAAGACCTGAAATAGGCAGATTTAGCTCTTGCATAATGTATGTTTAACTATAAAATTTTCATATAACTGAAAATAACAGCAGATTTTTCTTTATATGGGGGGTTGGATGGCCGAATGGTTAGCACGTGCGTGCTGTATCATAAGGCCTGTCATTGAGTCAACTGGCGTGGTTTCGAATACCCAATTGTACGTGACAAGGAGTAGGGTCGCCTGTCCAACCTCGTGGGTTTTCTCCGGGTCCTCCGGTTTCCTGCCACTGAAATAAAAATAAACCCTATGTAAGTCCTGAAATGACCTAGTTTGTGTCGAGTAGACGTTAAACCCCATTTTTCTCTCTTTCTCTTTCTTCTTTTATCAAAAATCCACAATTTTTTCAAGTAGACTAAATTCATACATTAATAGTTCTAGTCTAGCAATATTACCTGCTCAATGTTTTTGTTAAGGGATTTTCTTTAAGTTTGACTATCTTGTCGAGATTATTTTCTGCACCATTCTTCATAATAAGTTTACCTAAAATATATACAAAATATTCAAAGCACAAATTACCTTCTTCTATTATTCATTACACATATTTCTGTTAAGTAAACTATTCTCTTTTATGACATGTAATTTTAGAATGAACATTAACCTGTTATGTATGACAGACAACGAATGACAGACAGCTCTACACTTGTATCAAATTCCAACTGGCATGGGTTCTTTTACGTGCAATGTGCACACAGGACCTCGTTTTTTTGTCCTTCACCACTGACAAGGGGGAATAATGCCGGGAAAATCACAATGAACTTTCTTAGCCAATGCAGGGATTGAACACAGGACCTCAAGGTTAGCGAGCCAACGTCTTTCTGCCTAGAAACAAATATTCTAGACAGAGAAACATTAGATAATGATACACATATGCAGGATATTATTGTTCATAGTTTATAACTTACCTTCCTCCATGATTGTGGTAGCATTATCAATGCCATTTTGTATCATAACTTCACATTGTGTAAGAGGTAGAACAGCTTGGTTCTCAATACTATCTATTTCTTTCAGCAATACTGTTAGACGACTCTTTAAAGTCTCTTCTAGAAATGTCTTAAGACAATCAAAGTGACTGACAAGTTTACTTCTAGATTCATTAGCACCATCTTGTACCTAACAATATTAATGATGTCAGTAGATATTTTACAGTATAAAAGTATAATCTGGAGATTAGAAGAACTGAAATCACATTAGATAATAGAAAGTAGGCACATTTAATAACCAGAAACTGCTTAAATCTACACATAATCTGCCATCTGACCTCACCCTAACCCTTATTCTGGATTTTAAAAAAAGTATAATTTTTCTTTTATTATAGAACATTGTCATGTAACTTTATTTGAATCATATTGATAACCCAGGACTAATTTATTATTATGATGATAACAGTAAGATATCACAATTAAAGACCAATTAACAGTGTTGATAAACACTGCCTAATTAAAGGAATAGGATGTTTAATGATACACACCTGTTGTTTCAACTCTCTTAGATTTGTCAACAATTCAGACAGCTGAAACTTCTGATTATGTGCTGAATCCAATATTTCCACCACGCTAGTGATATGTTCCTGTGTCATGGCACCTCCGATGTCTATATTTAAAGAAAAAATTTTATTTATAAAGACATGATAAAATATGACTGATAGATTGAAAACCACCAACCCCTACTCTGTATCTTGAGAATATGGACAAATTATGTTTCTATTTAAATTACAATACAAAAAAATATTGGGGGGAAAGGAATCCAGGGATTAACCTCAAAACATTTTTGCAAGTGGTACAAACCATAAAAAATCCCCAACAGTACAACACCCACCCAAATGAGCATAGATGTTCAATTTGAATCCCCACTTCCTTTTGGTAATACTAGATCCTCCCCTTCCACAACGTGAAGCATACTGGTTAATCAAGCACTTAGAACAAGGTGCAGTCATTTGTAGACCGAAATTAGTGATATCTAATCATTGTTAATGAAGAAAAATTGAATATGATTCCATTTTATTACGGCCAGTATTACTCCAGAATGATACAAAATTAAGTAAAGGTCATGTTTCTAGATCGGAAGTAATATTTTGAAAATGATTGTTAAAAAAATAGGATCATGTGTTTTTCTTATCGAAAAAGGTTGATTTGAGTTTGTTTGTTCCATGATAACCCAACTAAATCCACATAATGCAAATGTCAAATGATTAAATTTTGAAACAAAAACTCGCTTTGATGTTTCAGAATTCAAGAAACCATCCAGTGAGTGTGAATATCACCAAATACGAACAATTAAGATACATTTGAAACAATAGAAAGCAAATTATATGGGATTTTTCACAATTTTATTCCTTGGAAAATATTAAAAAAAAACAAATTTCACACTGAAGAAAAGCTTTGATATCAACGATTTTAATAGTTCTTCTCCCTCTGCACCACCTTTGGAGATTGAGTAAGCCGGGCAGTGATCGGACCAATAATTTTGTGAGTTTATGTACACTGATCATTAAATGAAGTCTGCTCTACCACGGATCACAATACACTGTGTATAGTATCTTTATGTGTAATTAATATGTATTAATATGTAGATAACAATAACTTGTACTTATTGCCACTATTCTTTTTTATATGTGAAGTTTATGAAAAAATTTGTAACATGTTTTTGTCTTGCTCAAAAAAATATTTTTTCTTTATAGGTACATTGTCATTAACACTAGTAGTACAAAAATATAAAAAAAAATTAAAAACTGAAATAATTACTAATATGACCTTTTTCATATAAGTAAAAAATAAAGTGTTGATTTAGTCAAATTTGATCAGTTGATTTGTTTCACAGGTATCTGTCTACATTCAACATTTGAGGTCCTTAGATAGGGCCAATGTTATAATATAAATGATATTGACGTCCAAACATAGAGTAATTTTGAAAAATTTCAACTCTAAAGCTTCAAATGATAAAAGCCATGGACCAGTCAAACATTTCAAACTTTGAAAGATGTATACTCTTCAAAAAAAAAGTAGGGGATATTGAAATGCAAATACCTGTGCAGGTTGCGATGGACATTTGACATGCTTTGAGAGTATTTGCAGTTTGCACAGATGAAGAACTTATCGCCCCAACAGAACCACTGAGCTGCACATGCGACACGCAATAGCACCATAAATGTGGTAGGCGTTCATTGTCAAATTTGACACTTCAAGGAAGGGTTGATGAAAACTGCCGCGTGCTGGTTTATCTATCCATGTTTGCTTTCCTATCGGTTCTTGCATCATAAGATTTACTGTTTAGCGTATCTTTGCTTTAGTGTGTTACGTTTAATTTGATCGGGAGATGTGTTCCTCAATGTCAATGTCAACCGACAACACTGCAAGAATTGGCCGTGGCACTGCAAGAGGAGTGGGTCAGATTGCCCCAAATCATGATTGGACGGTTGATTAGGAACATGCCACAACGAACTGCTGAATGTCTGAGGATTGGTGGAGCAATTACTCATTATTAAGACAAAAATCAAAAACGTCCATTTTCACTTTTGACGGTGTATCTCTTTGCGAGTGAAATGGGGCCGTCAGATAAGCCGCCCATATGAACTGTTTTTGTTCATGTGTAGGCAATTGGTCTGTTATTAACATACACTGGTTACCTCTAATAAAAACAGCAGTGCATTTTCGCAGTTTTGTATTGCTTCTGAATATCCCCTACTTTTTTTGAAGAGCATATAAGATTAATGCACGATTAACCAGTCTCATGATTGTCTATTTTATAACAAATCATTCATTTACCAAAAGATAACTACCAAGTTGATGTACTAAACAAGTCATATGGGATATTATAAAGGTAAACCCTTCCCTTGGGAAGATGTATTGTTACTGTCATCAAAGAACTTGTCTAACCATGATTAAAATGACCATCACCAAATATTTACAACCATATATAGTTAAATTTCCCATGTGAGCTATAAGACAGGTCAAAATATGAGATACAAAATTTGGGCGTATATAAAATTCAAATAACAATTTTTTTTTCTCATCTCTTTTTAATTTTATATTCAGCAAACTGACTAAACTTGTTTCTGTTTGAACAATTTACACTGAAGGAGTGACTATGGTTGAGATGGGTGGGTTTAAGTATAATCAACATTTATTTAGTCTTGTATAGTTAATTATAAGCCTGTTTATAGTAAATTAGGCAGATCACCAGAACAATAAATATCTTTTAACCTGTCTGTAATTAGTTGCGTAATCAATCTGACTGGAGACTATGATCATTGTTAAAGTACTATCATTGATGGGCAGTTTACATAACACAAGCTTTTAATGTGATATTTTTCCGCATGATCCACTTACATTACAAAGAAGGAAGTTTAAGGATGTCTAGTCCCATACATCAGCCTCTGGCTATTCACATCAGATTTAGATATCTTTTCCTCTTTACTAATTGCCCTCCAGCTCATACATTTAGTTGTTTTTTTTATAAATATTTATGATGTGTTTGTTTCGTTGTTCTTCTTTATAGTTCACATTTTGTTTTTGTATATTTTTTTGTACATACATAGAAAAAACTGTAGTTCATTAACAACTAGCAAGTGACGTCTAACAATAAATATCTACCTGTTGATAGGGCATTATAAACCAAGTTTTTAATAAACTTTGATTGTTTAAATATATTCACAAATGGAATAGTTTTGTGGTTAAATCAACAAAGCTAAATCTTTAAACTGGGATAAAAATTATTTTAAAAATAGCCAACTAATTCAATATTTAAACTGAAACACTTTGTAAACAATTATCTCACTGAAGTCACCTGGCAGTTGCACAATTCTCTGGCAAACAAGTTTCTATAGATTAAGTAGCAGTATTAATTGGAGGAGTTTTCTTTCTCTTAGTTAACTTTCTTTATTCAGAAGATAAAGTGGGATTTCTGTGTTACAAATTTTGCATATTTCACACAAATCAACAACATTTCTTTTAACATTCTTGTACTAAATTATGTTCAGATTATCCATACATAATCTAATTGACATAATACCCTGTCTTACAATTCGTAAAAAATTGGTACTAGATCCCGGCATAGTCATCAGTTTATATTCTATGCACTTCATCAACTTCTACAGCTGTGTGAATGACTGAATGTGAAGGAATGTTGTTAAAATGCCACTAAAAATCAATAAACACACTGATTCAACAGGCCAAGACTATTACAAACATCGAATAAATACAAAGATGCACAGCAAACCTGACATTTTTTACGAATTACACATTACTGTCAATCCATTCTTTTTCTCACTCAACCTTTGACTTCAAATTATTTAAAGGAATTCTACCAGAAACAAAGCTTCTCATTTTATTGATAGTGCTTCAGTTTTATGTCACTATATATCCCCTTTAATGTAACAATCTTAACATTCTCTCAGCAGGACTACTCGATGATCTATATACATGTAAGTGGTCAATCCTAAGAATAAGTTTAGACAAGATTATCAGCCATCATACCCTGTACAATGATCCATAATAGTTATAGCATTAGCTGAGGTCACAAAAAATAGTAAAATTGTTCCTACAGAAATATTCAATGGTAATGTATACATGTTAAATATATTATTTTATCATCTGGTTGAAACTAATTCTAGGGAAAATTATTTTTCATTGCTGGAGAACAAATTATCATTCCTCTCTTTATATTATTTTACAACTACTTCATGGGATCATGCTAAGTCAATAATTACACAAAATTACCATTATCTGACATCATTTACAGCAGGGGATAATTCAATTCCTGTTATTACAAGAACTAAAACACATCTGTAACAATATTTCATTAACCAATAACATGAACATCAAAAAATGACAAACTTTAAAGTTGGCAAGTCTTTTACTCAATATCATCAGGGGCGCCCTCCCCCCCAACCCCCCTCAAAAAAAACAAGCTCAGCTACATAAAAAAAAAAATTGTAAAACAAAACTTTTGAGAAAAGTGTCATGGTCGTGTGCTTTATCCTTTATCATCAAATGGTGGGATGAGATGAGCATTCAAAGCGCCACCTTATGATCAAACCATTCGCCCCCACCCCCACCCCCAAGGTCCCTCCCTGTACTAAAGTGATTAATGTGACAATACAATATGGTACCAGGTACATGTACCTGGAGTAATACAGATTTAAAAATTAACACCAGATTAATAATAGTATAACAATACAAATCGTACAATTACATACAGGTCAATGATTTAACAATAATATTATTCTACAAGTCAAGATAAGGTCACCTGGGGCTAATAGTAATATGGCATAAATTATAATATTTTACTTAAATTTCTTTAATAATGTTATTACTTCTATCCAGTATCTAAGAAACATCAAATGAACAAGCCAACAGTGAGGCTGATGTCCCCTGCCAAAATCCCAAAATAAACAGATGACACATATTAATTAATTGCACATTTATTTTTTTCAAAAGTATCGAATAATGAAACTGATTATTTATGCTTAGTCTAAGCATAAAATGTTCAGGATCAAACTCAGTCAGGTTTTGAAGTACCTGGTAGTGAAACTATACACTAAGTTTCATCGCTCTCCATCAGTTAGAATGAAAGTTATCTTGTCCTAAAGCATCGACCAATGAATTTGCTTAGCTCTGCTTAGCTTAGCTTTAATGGGAAATATTATTCACCTAATAGACACCTACATCAATTTTCAACATTCTAATTCAATTACGAGAGTTCATTTTTCATTCTTTATTGAATATTATTGCAAGAACGGCCAGCTCTATATTATCATCTTACATAATGCATCTTTAATTGATTCCAACTTATTAAACGCACCATGATAACATTACCGTTTATCTAGTGATGATAAAGTGGTTTCAGGCGAGTTATTTGCCCTTGAATATGATGATTGAAGTTGAAGGTAACAGACTATATGTTAATTTTAAAAGAGATTTTAGTAGTGAGTATGCCCTCCTTGAGCATTGACACATGCAAGAATACGTCAATGCATGGAAGATGTCAGGCATCTAATGACGTTGTGTGGAATCTGTTGCCATGCATCAGTCAGGCACTGTTCGAGTTGTCGGCTGAAGGCACAGGTCTGTTCCTAATCTGCCTATTGAGATTATCCCACAAATGTTTATTCGGGTTCATGTCTGGTGAACAAATAGGACACGGTAAAACGTGCACATTCATGTTATTCAGGTAGACCTGTGTCAGTCTGGCTGTATGAGGTCTTGCATTATCATGTTGGAAGACAATACCACGTGGCGGTTGGTGAATAAATGGGAGGACTACTGGATGCAGGATCTCATCCCTGCACTTCTGTGCATTGAGTTTGCTATGAATGATGACTAGCTTTGTTTTCAGTTCACAACAGATTCCTCCCCACACTATGACACCACCTCCGCCATACGCCGGAACTTCCTGTACACAGTTAGGAGCTAAACGTTCCCCAGCACGTCTGTATATTTGTTGACCGCCATCAGCTCTGTACAAGCAGAAACTACTCTCGTCTGAAAAGAGGACACGTGACCAGTCTCAGACTTGCCAACGTCGAACTTGTCTTGCCCATTGGTGCAGGTTACGCCGGTGTTGTTCCGTCAGTAATACCCACGGTAAGAATGTTGTGCTCTAGTCCCCTGCTCCCGCAGTTGTCGTTATACTGTCCAAGCAACATTGCTGCAGTTGTTGGTGCAGAGATGAAGCAGTTGCTGAGGTCGATACCTCGGATGTAGCGGTCCTCCTGGGGCGTGGTCACCCAGGGTCTCCCACTTCTCGGCCAGTCTACTGTCTGGCCTGACTGCCGTAGACATTTTAACAGCCTGGTGATGTATACACAGGTGCAACCAAAGGTTCACATGTTTCTGTTAAGGTTCGTGGATCTCGGTTCAAAACTAAGATTTTAAATGACACATATTTTGTATACCTTCTTTTGGATGTCAGTATATGATATCATCGTGTGGGAACAAGTTTTATTTGTCTCTGAATACTCTGATATCATCCTGTGTGGGACATTTGTCTGTCATATCATCCCGTGTGGAACATTTGTCTGGTGGAACATTTGTCTTTGATATCATCCTGTGTTGAAAGTTTGTGATTGCAGTGCAGCAGATTTTAAAGTTTTTAGATTAAAATCAATTGATTAAAGCAAAACTTTGCACGTCAAACACAAAATCAGTAATATTAGCTATTTCAAATTTATAAGTTTGGAAAGGTCAGAAGGCATTATTTTATTTTTACCAAGAACATAAATTTATAAAGACCACTACACAACTGGAAACTGACCTAAAAAGTGGGATTTCACTGTGTTGTACTGTACGTTCATATTTGATCAAACATGTAATTCAAATTATTTTAGAATCCCCTATTAATAAAATCCAAACTTTGACTATTGAGTAACATGTTTCACACACTTCTGTTAATTACCTTGATAATCAAAAAAAAGTAGGATGTTAAAATGTCTTCTATGACTGTAGATCTCTGATTGTTTGAAAGATGTGTATGTGGATTGTGGTCTCTCAGTGACCACATGATTAAATACAGTTTTATCAAAACAGTGAATTGAACACAAATCTGTTCCCTTCTAAAAAATGATCAGGCTACTGGTAAAAAATAACATATTGCTAGGATAATAAGACCAGTATCTGATCACTGGCTTTTGTAATTTTCAAATATTGGTTTAAAATTGACCCAGGCCAGTGCAAGCCCTCAGAATCCCACTTTCAGTCGCTAGGTTTTAATATGGCTGTATTTATGTATGTATCAAATGACGACTGGAAAACTTTCCAGTGTTTTACGTCCACTTCCACCAGGGGTGATGATATCGTAGACAAGTAAGTTGGAAAACTTTTTAAATGATTGTCAATTTATACACTATAATAAACTGTGCTGGGGACCATTACATGGGGTTAAGACACTGTGAAGCCATCAGTAATCTGTCATTGTTTACCAATTAACAAACGGAATGATAAACATGGTGTTGTATGGTGTTAATGAATAACTTATAAGCCATCATAAGGGCAATGTGGACAACAACACCTCATTTATTGGTATCACATGTTCTATCATTAATCGTTAAATAAACAGCTCGGGATTAATGACACTTTGCTTAAGTGCATAAGCTCTTATCAACGGTAATTTATTTTTTCCCACAAAAAATTTTTTTTTTTGGCTAATTAAGACTGCGATCTAAAATGTTTACAAATTGAACACAAAATACCTTTCGCCAACTCAGGAAGCCGCCATAGATCACGTAAATTCCCGTTACGTTTGCGTGAACATCCGTGACAGCTGGGTTCGGGGTTAGTTTACATTGACAAAAGCGCGAGAGAGTTAAGTCTGTGTCGTGTAGCAGGCCATGTTATATCTACCGTTCGTGAAATGTAGGTCGTTATTGATTGATATTTCCATGATATACGGTTAATTTTAAAACAATACAACGGTAAGTGTACATCCATGTTTTTATTCATCGTTTAAGACGTGGTATATGATATATAAATGGTGCAATATTAGTAAATATACCCTATTGCATTTAACAATGTATTGTTTACTTTGACATTGTGCTACAAAAGGCAGACCGTGTGTTTATATTTTCATTTTATTGGCGTTTGTACAAGCATTGTTGAGTTTGTATTTACAGGATATCGCTAACAAAATCAGTACACTCAGGTGAAATATAATGATATTTTATTTTGTAAGCTTTGTGCTAGTTACGCATACAAGTTCAATGACAAAAATAGTTATGACATGACTTTTAAAAAATTATTGAATTTAGACCAGATTGGGTTGCAACTAAAAATAGGTTTTAGTTTGTCAACCAGTTGAACAGTGTATAAACTGCTGGATTTAGATAAGGCTTGGGGGCCCCGTGTAAATCTAAAGATATAGAAACATTAGGCTCAAATTATTACCATTAAGCTCCTGAATTTGCTACACAAGCCATATTTAAAATTACAGTAGGTATGTAGGTAAAAGGCCACGATTATAAAAGCAAAATAGAATCTGAAATTTTGTGATGCACTTTACTTACAGATTGCAAGGGCCTAGGCCAGAGGTTGCAAATCATTTATATACCATGTGTCAATTTGGTCACAGACAATTTTTAAGATGATTAACTCATAGGATGGATGAGAGCCGGATAAAAATTTATCTTTCCTTCTCTAGTTAGTTTCATTAAACATATTTTTAACTGAAAGCAGATTAATGTAAAAGAAGATAACATTCGCTGGATTTAATGAGTACACTTATTGTCTAACTTTATGATTATCACAGGGATGCAATACGCCACTTCTAATAATCCAATACGCCATGTTTTGGTAAATTGACGAGTACTATCAAATGCAACATTGTGGAGTTTATCCTGCAAATTTATTTGTGTTAAGTTCTGATTTTCAATGGTATTTTGTGATCATGATGTTTCTAATATTGGCTATGCATGTCATGAAAGAATTTGCCCATTAATATTATATTATTTTATTCTGCCTGCTTTCATGAATGAATCGATCTATAAAACAATTTGATATATTTTATGCTTGGCCAACATGCATATAAACCCTGTTTTCTGTTGCTACAACAAATGTTGCGGGCCCATACAAATCTCTCAAACCTCCACTAACAAACCAATTTCTAATTTCTTCTCCTTTACCCTTTTTTTATACACCCACATGGAAATGTTGTCTTATATTGCTATCGCCTCAGTCCGTCCGTCGTATGAAATTTAAATGCATCATTTAAATTAGTGAAGCAAAGAAGCCTATTGAATGTCAGCAATTTCTGTCAATTCCTTCTAGAGTTATGGCCCTTGCTTTACTTTGTTTAACATTGTGAATGCTTGAATGACAAAAATTATCATTAGATCTGTATGAAATTTATATAAATGATTTAAATTAGTGAAACGAAGAAGCCTATTGAATTTCAGCAATTTCTGTTCATTACGTCTATAGAGTTATGTCCCTTATTACTTTGTTGAACTGTGTGAACGATCTGATGACAAAGTCATCATCCAATCTGTATGAGAATTATATGCATCATTTAAATTAGTGAAATGAAGAAGCCTTTTGAATGTCCGCAATTTCCTTCAATTACTTATAGAGTTATAGCCCTTGTTTTACTTTGTTGAATCTTGTGAATGCTCGAATGACGACAGTTATCATTTGATGTGTATGAAGTTTATATGCATAATTTAGATTAGTGAAACGAAAACACCTGTCGAATTTAAACAATGTCTGTAAATTACTTCCAGAGTTAAGGCACATGTTTCAGTTTGTAGACCCTTGTGAACCCTCAAACTACGAAAATTATTATCTGATCTGTATGAAATTGTCTTATAAATTCCCCCCCCCCTCCATTACCCACAAAAGAACAAATATTCGACCACCCTTATCGACCACTCAGACGATTTAGCTGCTGTGGGCGTATGTTTTTTTGCCTGGCAACCTATCCTTGAAATAAGGGTCCAGATAATGTCTCCATAATAACTGCAGCCAATCCAGCCATCACTGGTACACGAGAATATGATTTTGGATCCACTTGTATGTATATATCTGACCAATGGTCTAAATGGTTTTAGTTGCCAGGTCATCACTCGCCTTGGAACAACTTTGTGTGTTTAGGGGGTCAAATTGCATTTCGGGTTACCCAATTTCTTTTCCTAATGTACATTAACAGATACAAAATCCCCCCCCCCCTTCATCTTAGATGGCCGAGCTGGGTGTTTTAAATCATAAGGTATGTCATTGAGTAAATTGACTGGATATCTGTTTTAAACTTGCGAGTAGGGTCGTCTGTTCTGCCACTGTTAAAGAACTCTACCCATAGACAAATTGTTGAAATAACATTGTACCATATATGTTAGTCCTGAAATAACTGTGTTTGTGTCAAGTGGATGTTGAATCGCGTCTCTCTCATTCTCTCTCCATATCATAGAGTAGAATAAATAGCATGGTTTATCTTTTGTTGTAAGGATTCTGTATATTGTATTTATAATGTTTTGGGTGTTCCATATACATGTACTATAATATCTTGAGAGGACCCATTCTATTGGACTCTCAATATCTTGTTAATGAGAGTTGTCTAAAGGTCGAATTATGAAATCAATCTCATATCCAGTTCTAATAACTACTTATATATTAAAATTAATTACCAGAAGATTATTTTCGACAAATTATATATCCAACCAACTATCATTTGACAATGATTTTCTCGACATTAAAAACTATTAAGTTAACAAGAAAAATAAAACAAAGCACAAAAAAACCAATGTGACTTGTGCTTATCTATTATATATATATAAAAGATTGCTCTCATCACTAATTAAAATAACTTGTGATATCAACCTATTTGAACACATTATTGTGACCTAATTCAATGAGATCCTGCTTAAAATGCAAATAATTTCACTCTAACATAGAATATTACAACTTGATGATAACCTAACAAAAGCATGACCTGGAGGATATAATTATTATCTGATCAATATGAAATGTTTTAGGTATTATTCATATGCTACTGGTAAAATGAGAAAGCCTTTGGAAACATAAGCCTTTATAACTTATTTTCCAATCCTTCATTAATTTTGTATACGCTTATATTATTATATTATATCTGACAAAAATATTGTTTAAACCAATATTTCAACAGTTTCTGAGATTAAAGTTATATAACCAGTTAATTTGAATAATGTATAACTATGGTAATTTACAAAATAATCACTTTTTTAAATCATTAGTCCCAAGGTGGTTTTACCATGTGGGGTATACGTGTTTGTCTGACAAGCCTCCACCATCATTATCTTCTAGTTTCACATACCTCGAGATTTTACTAATGATTTATTTTTCAATCTTTGTCCTTTGTCTGTGATTGACTTTCCTATGCTATTGAAATAATGAATATATTTTCTTAAACATGTATTTGTTTTTCGGTTGATATATATATTCTATTTTTTTCCTGTTCTGTTTATATCATTTTTTAATTTGGAGGTAAAAGAAAGCTTGATAACATTGATATGGATATAATTCTGATGTTAGATTTATGAATTACCTGACCTGTGTCTGCCTCATGTTTTGATACGGTTGAATGAGTTTGTAGGCCTGACTACAACCAAAGGAAAGACAGCTGTTGGGTGACTGGGTGAACACATATGGTATGTCTTGAATATGATTGTCATCTATTCATAATGCTGATCATCTTCATTGCGAATAGCCTGTGGTCTTTGTGAACATCAGAAAGAATATATTTAATTTTCCCCTTTTTTCTTTTAGATGTGCCATGCGGTATGAAGTAGTGATGTCCATCAGTCAGACAGTCACACATTCAAATATATATGTAAAAAGGATATCCTAAATCAATTTATCATTGAGATATAGTTGGGAGGCTATCATTGATATAAATCTCATCAAGTCTGTGTACCGGTGAAAGGTATGTATATGGCAAGTGGTATAGAAACCGGGCAAGTTGTAAGACAAGTATCATCAGTGCCAACTCATAAAGGCCAACAGAATAACACGTCAGTGGGCTGTCTTCCCTTCTCCCACAATCGTCAACATTCTGACAACTTTCCAGATGTACTTGATAATGAAAGTTATTCACCAGCAGATTCTAACAGACTCGATGATGTAATCAGAAATTCAGAATCTCAACCAATGCCGAGTACTAGTAGAGTAGAAGACAATAGTCGAGAAAGAGAGCCACATGGAATTGGTTACAGAGTTCCGGGAGTTCCTGAACAAATTGTTTTAAATAATAGCAATGAACCGCCTTCAGATACGTTGGATAATTCTCTGCATTTACATGAACAAAGTGAGAACACCTCTGGAAGAGCGAACCCAGTGCAGTTACCCACTTACAGATCAATTCATACGCGGGATATAAATGTTGGTGTATCAACACGATTAGATAATAGAACAGACGCTCTACCAGACTTATTACATTCACATGTGCCACAACCGGTTCGACCAGTTGCTTTACCGTCACAACAGAGAACAGCGGCAACTCGTAACGAAAGACGTGCAAGGACAAGTGAAACTCGTAACCAGTCAAATTATCGAACAAGGGAAACTCCCACAAGATCAACACGTCATGGACATCGGACGCGCAACCGGTCAACAAGTTCCTCGCAATTGGATGATGCTGTATGTAAAGCACCGTGTGTTAGATGTTTTGTGAAGTTAACATCATTTCGCTGGGTATTAGTGGTATTATCATTATTAGGCGTGTGTTGTGTAGTTACTGGAATTGTATTAGCTGCCTTACATGCTGCTGGTAACAGTTTTCTTTTCTTGGCTATAATGTTTATTGGTAAGTATAAACTTTGATTTACTGTACTTTTTATACACCTACATTGAAATGTGGTCTTATATCATTGTCACACCTGTCTGTTGTTCCTTCCTTCCTTCCATCGGTCCGTCTGTCATCCACAAATTGTACATTCTACATTAATAATCAAATCTTTTGTATGTTGTTAACATTAATGAAACAGGGAAGCTTACATGTATTGAATATTAGCGATTTCTAATAATAACTTTCCAAGTTATTGCCCTTGATTACATTGTAGAATGTTGTGAATGCTCTTAAGTTATTATCCATTCTGCTTGAAATTTGCATGAACTGAAGATGTATTTTGAATTTCAAGAATCTCTGTTGATTACCTATTAAGTTATCAACCTTGATTCCTTTGTAGATTCGTGTGAACTTGTTTGGATTATTGAAATGAAGAATTCTTCTTAAAGTTATAGATGTTGTTCAGTTGTAAACTGTTTTAATTTGTTTTAAATTTGTTTCAATTATTGTCATGTATAACAATTACAACAAATTCTGAAAATTACTTAGAGACTCATTGCCCTTTATTTACATAGATTCTTTGTCAACAAGCCATTGATGTTGTTCAGTATAAAGATTCTGCATTTATTTACAATTGTTGGAAACTTATCTGATTTGAATAAAATTTCAGATACAAGTACATGTATTGTAGTATTTTGTGAACACTTTAACAGCAAAGATCCTCAACTGATCTACTTTATTTGAATGCTTTGTTTCAATTATTGCAATGAAGAAGTATAGCAAATTAATGGCTTTCTTTATATGTTGTAGAATCTTATCAGACACCCTTATATTTTACAATCTAATTTTTATGTCAGAACCTTTATGGACTGCTTGGACGTATAAGCTGCTTTTGGTGTATGTTAAATTGCCTGGCAATTTATCTTTATGCGTTTAGAAGTATTTTATATTACAATACTGTAAACAGTGTTATCTACATGTGGACCGGGTTTGTTGTTGCTTGGGGTTACATGTAAACTAATATAATCTTGGTAAACAAAGGCAATAAGAAAAATATTTTTGGCTTGAGGTTTTACGAAAAGGAACAAACCACTATTTTATATTTACTCACTAGGCAACACATGTATTTTTAATATTATTATTTCTTATGATATAAACACCAGGATGTGTCCATGTCTTACATTACCTACATGTATTTTTAATATTATTATTTCTTGTTATATAAATACCAGGATCTGTCCACATCTCACCTTACCTATATGATGCAGTGTAGCGTACAAGAGCTAGACCTTGTGTTAATGTAGGTTTTGGATTACAAAAGTCAATTTCGGTAGTTCTTTTAAAGAGCCATTATCCTCTTATTAAGAAAATAAATATTAGTATAATTTATTTTGAAAAATATAAAAGTAAGAAAAAACATCCATTCGCCTAATAATATCCCCAGCATGTGAAAACAACTAAAATAATTATGTGTATATCTCAGCAATGACATAGCAGATCTGTCTGAAAATGAATATTTTTTTTAACCAACTGGCAACGACTCTCAAAATGCAAACTAATGCCTCTTTATGTATCAAAACATTTATTTATTTTATTTTCTTCCCATCCAACAAGGTTTATTTTAGTGTCTTTCTCAGAGAGATTGTGCACAGTTGTCTGAGAATCAAATTTTAAGTTGGGACTGTATTTAATAGTAAGTTTTATCAAGTTGGGTAAGAAGTCAATATAAATAGGCCTACCATATTTGGGTTGAGTAAAGATAATTTTATTTGCAGTTGAAAAAGATAAGTTGTTAGGAACAATAGTGTGAAAATTGCAAGTCAGTTGCTGTTATTTGAGATATGTAGTTGCTTAAGAAATTGTTTTTAGAAATGTGATTGTATTGCTAGTTAAGCTATGTAATACTGTTGGATTATGTCTTATCATTAGTAAGACATGACCTGTGGACAATACACTCTAACTATGTTGATTTTAGTCTTGGACATGTCGTTTGTCAACTGTCTTTATTTGGTTAGCAGATATGTACATGCACTCATTGCCTCACTGAAAATCATCATAAACCTAAAGCAAACTTAACGTTCAACCTCTTGATATAGACATAACTCCTATTATTAGGGTTATAAGTTTTAGGCTTCTTTCATTTGGGGAAAGTAGTACACCTGAAGCATTCAAGCAGAACAATCATTAATTCACTCAAATTTCTCCACTATGATTTACAAATCATGAATATATAAAATCTTCTTATATAATGTATACCGTCTGCAGTCCTCGATTAACCATTAAAAAAACCCACAGGTCTTCAGGGCATAGTGGAAGGAGGGAAACACAAAGATTTTTTTCCAATGTCGAATTTACTACAATACATATAACCCACAATTCACAAAAAGGGGCCCCCACAATAAATAGCAAAAACAAAAACACCTATATCTATATTCTATATACATGTACATTGTACAACAACAATACTAACAATAATAACTGAATATGTCTTTTAAAAGCTTGTTTTCACTCATCAAGTGTTATACACTATGATCTACCAGTTCTTCAAAATGTTTATCTTTATAAAATGACATACTTTTAATTTACATTGTAAGGAAGATAACGGAATATTGAAGGACGTAATACCAATTATTTTTACACATCATTACTTAGATTTTAACTTACGGAAAAAAATGCAGGTCACAATAGAGCACAAATTGCCACATGGATGAATTGACGTAGTAAATTTATAGTTATATCACGTCAATCTACATTAAATTGCTGTTCTTAAAATACCAAATATTGTTTGTCATTTTACAAAGGTAAACATGTTTCAAAAAAAATTACACCGTTTAAAGATCAAAAAAACGGGATGAAAACGGTCTTGATTTCCCATAGACAATGGTGCAGGACAGAGGGGCAAGGAACAGTGTCTAATCGATGGGCTGAAAAACTGGCATGACATGGCCACTGTCCATGCAAAATTCCTCTACTATCACATAAAGTGAAAAAAAAAAAATTTATTTCATCTATTGGTCAAATTAAACTTTTTAAAGTGCCCGAAATCAAATAAAACACTAATTTTACTTTTCTTTTAATTGAATACTACAAATTTGTAATGAATTGACTATGGATTAAAACATTTTGTCTGGAGCCACTCTACTTTGTGCGACATTTTTTGGGCATCGATTATTATTTGTGAATGCAGCTGCAACAGTCTTATTGGATGGATGGAATCAGGTCGGCATTGAGTGGGATTTCGGTTACAAAACCATTGAACAACTTTGGAGTTGCTTAACTCACAGGCTAGAATAGCAAAAAAATGCATTTGCAGTAGTTAAATTTTCAAAATTTTCTCCAGGAGGGCAAGCCCCCCCATACCCCTAGACGATTTACTGGTTGTTGGGGATTCAGGTCAACCACCAAAGGTAGGCTATATTGGACCACAGGAAAACGCATTTGTGGCAGTTAAATTTTCAAAATTTTCTCCCGACAGTCCCGTCTCTGTGATCTGTAAAGGATTAATTGGTTTAATGGAATTCGAATCACCGTCCATCATAATTAGGCTATATTTGGCCACTTTGAAGTTGCTGTATTCAGGTGCTGGAATAGCAGGAAAACATGTTTGCAGCCTTCAAATTTTCCAAAATTTTGTTGGGGTGTCCCAGCACGGTAAGCTCCGCTCCTCCACTCTCGCAAAAGATCAGCGCCGTCGTCTGTAACCCAAAATTATTTTGGGTTCTGCCCCTCCCTATCTGTCATAGGCCATATGCCTATGAGCCGCCCAGTTGTTTTATTTCTGAATATTCCCCTGGTATAAAACTCTACACAAACTGAAGGTCTGACCAGTAGGATTAGAGGTTGTTAACTTAGGTATGGTAGTCTATTTATGACCATTTATTCAAATGTGAAGAGATACACAATAATGATTTGCATATTCAAATAAATGAAGTACAGTACAATTCTATTGCAACTATAGAAATTTTTGGTAAATAAACTTGTAAAATGTAAGTGTGTAAATATACTTGTAATACAAGATGTATCACAGATTATTTACATGTATGTATATTAAGGGTGTCATTAGAGAATACTCAGTTCTTCTAAACAGTGCCCTAATAGTATTAGTTATACACAGTAGTCTAATACACATTTATTCTACACAATCCTCTAATACAAACTTATTCTACACAATCCTCTAATACACACTTATTCTACACACTCATCTAATACACACTTATTCTCTACACAGTCATATAATAGTGTCAGTAATACACAAACACAGTAATCTAATACACACTTATTCTACACAGTAGTCTAATGCACAATGCATCATATATTACCAGCCATGACTTATGTATTGTAAATAATTTAGTTGCATATACCACCATACAGATTCAATTTTGGATGAAGAAGAATATAAGATGCATTTTATTGTATTTTAACCCCACTCAATTTAGAAATATATTGACAGTGTAGATAAGTAGGAATATCTTGACTGGGGAAAATGAGTTATTTGTTGGATCCATTTGCCTAGAACTGATTTATATCATGTTTATGTTTACAGTATGTTAAATATGATAATTATTCATTTCAGGTTTAGGTGTATTATTAGTAATTGTTGTTGGTGTTGGCTGGAAGTGTACTCCCAGAGGTCATGAACCATTGCATGCCTTATTTGGTATAGGAGATTTTCAAAGACGGCGGGGAGAAAGAAGACAACATCGACCTCACCGAAGTCGGGACAACAATTGGTATGGAGGTAGGTATTTTGAATTCATACTCTTCACTAATACTTGTCATGTTCGTTATCTTTATATTACTTTGATTCTTACAAACTCGAAATCTTTAGACAAAGTTACCTCTGGTGATTTTGGTGTTTATTTCAGGCCAGAATTTCACAAATTTTTTGTTCCTTTTTCTGAGAGGTACCTTTTTTTTTTCTGATGACAAAATATTTGAGGGAAATATAGTATGTTAAATGAGAAGTAAACATAACAGAATGTTTAATCAATATGTGATTTGTAGTGTGGAATACAATGAAGACAGAAGATACAATCAGTTGACAGCATACAAATGTATGGCAGACCCTGCAGGGCTGCAAGTGTGTACATCCACTGTTTTATCTTCTAAGAAGTTTTATGATACACTCTCCCTTTTTCCCTACATGCACACCTCATTTCCTATATTCCTATGTCTGTACCTATATTATATATAACAAACAATTTGATTTATGAACAAAACAACTTGATATCAATTAACTTGTTATTTTTTAGGTGTGCTATATCCAGAATTCCAGTATAGACGTCCACCTCCAACATATGCAGCATCCATGCAGGAGTATCAAAACCAATTACATCTAGCTCAACAACAACAACAACAACAACAAACAGCAGCTACTCCGCCTACTAACCCTGATAATTACAGTCTTCCTAGTTCCCCACCCCCATCATATCGTTCACGTGCTAGTACTATACATTCCGGTATTCATATAACATTCCCACCTAATAATGAAGACTATCCTGACTCACGACCACCTACATACAGATCACGTCGTGGATCAGCTCATCCGCGACCTCCTATACCTAGGGAGGAGTTTGAATCGATGGATAGGGATGATCATCCCCCGGCCGATGTATCTTTTGCCGGGCCTGCGGTAAATACTGGAGTTGCGGATGTACAGCGAAATCAATCAGCTAGTGACAGACATCCTGTTGTGTCACAAGACAGTACGGTTACTGTTAATGGAAGAGTTATTGAACCTATAACTACTTCTGGTACTGTAAGTACATCGGCTAATAGTGATAACTCTCCTTCATCTAGTGTCAATCAAACAGCTCAATCTACAATAGCTCAACCTACACAATTAAACAAACTATCTAGTTCTAATCAGTCCAATATTACCACAAATAATAATACTGGTGAGGAACCACAGAGAGTTGAAACATCTCTATGAGAGAAAAACTATATATATGTGTGCTATCAATAAAAAGTGGTTTACATAAATGTGATGGTGACTTTTATACTTTTAAAATGTGTTTTAAAATCAAAGCATATATATTTAATATTAGTTCTATTTTTTAGAAACACGATTTTTTATATATCTTTGTAAATAATAAACTGTATTTATGTACATGTATGACCATATTTAATAACATTTTTACTGATGTATTATTAACCACTGTATTGCAGTAGGGCATAGGTTGTTGTTTTTTATTGACTATCTATTTAACATTCTATTTAACAATGAATTTAAAAATGTCCACATATCTAGACATGCTTTTAATGTCCATATTGACACAAAGTTACCTAACTTTTAAATGTAACCTCTTGAGAAATTACCAGATGTTTATATTTCATTGGATCAAGCTGCTGATAATAATAGCCAGAATGACACTGTAATATCCTTTTTAAATTTTTGCACACATTTTTAATAACAGTGTCTTTGATGGATCATGGATTGGTAATCTATCATTTTCATAAAAAAAAATGACTATCAATATATTTTAGTCATTTTTCAAAAGGAGCTTTAATTTTTCCTCCACTTTGACTATCAATATAATTTTAGTCCTTTTATAAACAAATTAGATTTCATTTTTCCTCAATTTTGACTATCCATATATTTTAGTCATTTTTATAAAGAAGATTTAAATTTTTCTTCCACTTTCACAAAGAGTCACAACTAAGATTTAATGTCGAGATTTAAGCAACCTGTAAGAAGAACAGAATCCTCTCACCAGTTTCATCTTTATTGAATAAAAGTAAATACATTTTGTTCTAGTACGTTTCCAGTTAGCTTTAAATTATTTTAAAGAAATTTTATCTAGTGCCAAAGTTGTTACAGTTTATTTTTGTATGAGTGAATGCCATGTAAATTTAGGCATAAAATGTATATGTTAAAATGCTGTTTAAGATGACTAAATTGGGTTATTCAATACATCAAATGGTAAAATGCTTGGGATAAGAAATATGAAAGTAGTAGTCTTTTTAAACTTATACACCAAAATTTTATTCAATTTTATTTTTCGGTTATTTACCTCACTTCATCTTGGTCTAAAAACATTTTTTTAAAAAGCATGTTCAGTAATGTGTAGATTGTGATTTGTTGTTAACTAATGAAACCTGTGATTTAGAAAATTCCAGGAAACATGATTGGCTATCTAATGAGATCAGTGGTACTATTGTGCTGTTGTCACTGGCTGTCACAGGCCCAGAATATGCTTTATTTAAAATGTAGATGTTAAAAGAAAGTCTAACCAAACAAACAGGATGAAAATAACATTTGTTATAATATGATAATGGAAATACTCAGAATTGTATTCCGGCTTCTCATCCAATTTAAAATTATAATTTAAAAGATTGATATGACTTCAAGAAAGATATTTTAATGAATTATGTGTCAATTTGTTTAATATAAAAATAAATTGATTTTTTTTTTACTTTTAATTAGTGCTCTAGATATTCCCAAACTTTACTCTCTCTTTGAAATATTTGTATCAAATATGTTTTAAGAAAAATTGATATACCTGATTTTGACATTTTGTTATTGTAAAAAATATAAAAAGATTTGACAGATTTCAATTTTTCTATAAATAAAACAAAAATATCCATTGATATATTCTTGAATGTGTGCTCAATCAAAATTAAGCATTTCTTGGATTAAATTCTCAACAAAAATGATATCTAAAGGCATTATATTATAAATCATACATATTTTATTAGAACAAATATTTATTTGATTATCAAATACAATATTTCATAAATCATACTTAACTACTGTTGGATCTAATACATACTATTATTGAATTAATGAAAGATACAAATTCCTTTGTTTATGATTTATTTTAACTGTTGCAGAGTTCACGTAACTAATATTATAGTTTTTAAAGGCATTTTACTTGGAAATGTATACAATGTCATCAATTTGATCTTTTTTATGATGAAAGCTAATTTGTTTAACCTATAAATTATTTATGAGATATGTGAACTTCATTCTATGTAAATAATATACTGAACATTCTATTAATATACTGCTTATTTACAAATACTGTATGTAAGCAAATACTAATCATTCCAAAACAACAATAAAATATTTATAATAAATTGTTTATGTTTTATTTATTTAATGTAGCAATGTTATTCACAAAACAAACTTTGTCCAATCTGGACATGAAATAAACTGCATGGAATTGCATCTAGAACTTTTCTTTTCTACAAAACCCCACATTTCTCAAATACGAAAAGTCAAATTTTATGTGCACTGCACCCTGTTCATTTGTCCGTCCATTAACAGTTGGCTTGTTAATACGATAGAGGCTGCAGTTTTTATTCGCCTACATTGACATGTAGTCATATATTGCCACCTAACTTTAATGGATTCTTTTCAAATTTGGTGTGAAGCATTGGGGTCATGAGAGGACTTTCGATTTCCAGTTGCCCCCTCCCCCCCTTTTCCAAAAACCTCCTGAATGCAATAGAGACTGTAGTTTTAATGATTGCTTTTCGCATTTGGTGGGAAGCATTGGTGTCAATGAGAGGATGAATCTTCTTGATTTTCAGTGTTCTGTGACTTTTCATTCTGGAGCTATCCCCCTTTTCCTTTAGTTTAACCTTGGGAATGCATTAGAGGCTCTAGTTTTTAAAGAATGTTTTTTTTAAATTTAAATCATTGGTGTCATGGGAGTGTGAACCCAATTGACTTTCTGTTCCAGAGATATCCCCCCCCCCCCCCCAAGGATCTTTTTCAAATGTGATTTGAAGCAATTGGGTCATGGTAGGACAAACCTATAGATATTAAGCATTCTTTGATATTCCGTTCACAATAGAGGCTAGAGTTTTTCTTAATGGATTATTTTCACATGATGAGTGAAGCTTTTTGGAAATAAGAAGACGAACCCTATCAATATTCAGCATTCTGTGAGATTCAGTTCCATAGTTATCCCCACTTATGCCAAAATTTGATCAACATCCAAATTTTTCTTTCAGCTAAGCTGCTGTGTGGGTGTATTTGCACCCTATGTGTGGCTATTTTTATACACCCACATTGTAGACCCACATCCGATTGATGTGAAATTTACACACAGTGTTTCATTTCAACAAAACAACGAAGAACTCTCTATGTCATTCAAGCAGACAGCAAGCAGACAGGCTGACAGTTAGTGAACCCCGTACAGTTTTGTCTTATGCTTACCTTCGTGGGAATGCATCTTTAACAAGCAAATGATTTCTGATAGCTGGAAAAGCTGGTTACTGGTACATGTTTTGTTAATGTTAGTATTGGAAACAACTAGAAGCCAAACAAATTTAAATTATTTCTGATTAATATTGAATGGTGTGTTGTCAATGATAAGCTTTTTGTGTCTTGCAAATGATCCCATTACCTACTAAAGAATAAGCATATGTTACTAACAGACAAACACATGATAATATTCAAGAGGGTTGCTTAAACAATGGGGGGGGGGGGGGGGGGTGGATGGCCGAATGGTTAGCACGCGCGTGCTGTATCATACGGTCTGTCATTGAGTCAACTGACAGGGTTTCGATTCCCCAGTTGTACGTGACAAGGAGTAGGGTCGCCTGTCCAACCTCGTGGGTTTTCTACGGGTCCTCCGGTTTCCTCCCACTGCTAAAGACCCCTACGCGCAAGTGAATTATTGAAATAAAATTGAACCATGTATTAGTCCCGAAATGACCTAGTCTGTGTCGAGTGGACTTAAACCCCATCTCTCTCTCTGCTTAAACAATAGGTACAATTAATAACAATAAATTACTATAAACATCAAAGACATTTAACAGTAATAGTGCTGATAGTAAAGTAGTCAAACATTTCTAAAATGGCTTGATTGAGAAAAGCATGGAAACAGACTTCTTTTTAAAAATAAAACAACCATGAATAGTTTGTTTTAACAGTTTTTAATGTAACAATGAAAATATATACATATATGTATAAGCTGCTGTTTCTAAAAAATATGCTTTACAAAGTCATTAGCTTTGGGTAAACATTGCAGAGTTCATTTTCTTCCCTGGGTAAATTTAATTATCTACAGGTGTGGTAAGATAGAAATATGTTAATAAAGCTGGCCATTGCAAGTTTTACCAAGTCTTTATTTAAGAAATATCAAATTACGTGTAGTCTTTTTAAATCACCGTTGAAACTGATCTGATGATTTACTCTTTATAAACATTTAAAATATTTTATTGATAATCAGGATGATGCGACTTGAGATAATGGATCATGTAAATAATCTGCTAAGGCCTCCAACTGAAATATATAAAAAACAGAAATTGAAAGTTTCAAAATTTGAAAGAATTAGTAAATGTATTTGTTGATTTGATCCTCAGATGTTGGCTGACAGAGAGGGTGACAATATTATACACTGAAATGTAAAATATAAAAATTAGGGTGTCTTAAAAATAAAAATTTGAGTGTCTTAGAAATAATAATTTGAGTGTCTTAGCATATATATTATAATAGCCATTTTATTAATTAATTTAAAATAGCACACCCACTTCATTCTTTTCTTTCAAATGCTCTATTACAACAAATATATTTCGTCCAATATTACAACCATAAACAAAACCAATTTGGTCTGTAATGATTATATTATTCAGTATCTTTTTCAGTCTTGCTTCCTATTATAATACACTTACCTTGGCTTTTAACATACCAAAACCCACACCATCTTTAGTACACATACACAATAATAAATTTGCTACTTTAGTTATACCAACTTTACCTTCCTATAAAAATATTTAAAAAAAAACAAAACAAAATAATGTAAGCTTAATTATATGGGATGATCAATTAATTTTTTTTTAAGATTAAGAGGAAGTCAGTTTAATTATCAATTTTACCGACAATAAAGGGACATAACTCTTATCGTTACTTTTAGCAGGCAGTTAGTTTTAGACCACACACAAAAATCATGTGTCAACAAAATATTCAAATTGGTACGTAATAGAAAATAGGTGCCCCTCATTATTTTTTTTGTATTTAATTTCCGTACGATATTTAAATTTATGTTAGTAATATTCCTACAAAATAACGTGATGTCGGTCAAGACTTGACCGATAAAATTGTTTACGACTCAGCTTAACCATGGCAGTAAATGCTCATTTAAACACTTTCACTGAATCAGAATCAAAGTTATCATGTCCCAAAACATTGACCAATCAAATTGCTTATCTTTTCTGAAGGTAAGCAGAAAATCCTCTCATATGGCGGTATATAAGATTCAAAATTCTACCGTGCTATCGTCTAACTTCTATTCATGTAATTTCTAATCTAAGACAATGTATAATCTAATCTTTTTTTTTTTGTTCCTCCTAAATGGGGCTTCTAATCTTGCAATTTTTAGTCTATTTCATGTTATTTCTATTACTGTAAAGAAAAAATTTCTTTTCAGCAGTGCTTTACATGTTTAGAATAAACATCGAACAAATTTAGAATTTTGATACTTTCACCTAGCATCCATCATTATGACATCGTTTGGTGTCGCCACTGCATGCGCATTGATGGTTCTAGTGGATTACCCACAGTTCCATGCACCTGACACCAAAAGCTGGCCGTAACAGATCATTTCATTGGCTAATCCCGCACATCATCCAGAACACGTCAATGATAACAACTCTTCCAGATCCTAGTGTAGTAAAGACAAGTAAAACGAAAGTTTGAACTATAAAAATTGAAACGAGATAGGATCTGTGTTTTAATCAGATTGATCACGGATCTAACAAAATTTCAAACTAAAATATTTCAAGAAAGTTAATATTTGTTTGATTATCTTAACCCTCAACCAATTAGAAAGGAACTCATCCATATACATATTTCAGTTTCAAGTTTTCATCAATAATACCAAAATAGATTGGGAGGAGGGATGTTGGGGGACTGCTTTCTGAATGGGATATAGCCCTAGTTACTGCTAATATTGTTTTATTAATTAAAACTATATATACTTATCATTTGGGAGCCACGGTGGAGATCAGGTGTTTGAGACCTGTATTGAAAGTTCATCCAGATTTTACAGCGTTCCCCCTACCAGTGGATGGATGGTAAGAAAAATGAGGTCCTGTGCACACATTGGCGTGTACATAAAAGATCCCTTGGCAGTTGGAATTTGATGTAAGAGTGGGCTGTGGTGCTGCTGTCCGGGCAAAATTCCCCTCATAGCACACTGTATGGTGTATGCCCGTCTTCATTAGCCCAGTCGGAGCAGAACAGTAGGACATTAAACCCTATTTCATTTACCTATCATTGAAATTGAACTAGCAAAACATACTGTATAAAGAAATGAAATGAAATGAAATGGGGATTAACATCCTACTGTTCTGCTCCGACTGGGTTAAAATGAAAACAGGAAGTGTATAAAGAAACAGTTCAGTTACAAAATGGGGCACCAAGTTGCCTGCCCATGAGTCCCGTCAGTATTTGGTTAAATTTTCTTTATGATGTAACCAGAATAATCTCCATCCAGCCTGTCAAAGCCTGAGGCTCCTATGTATAACACTAGCTGCAGCATGCTAAAGATCCGCCAACATTTAGAATTCAAAATAAGAACAGACCGTAGTGCCGCTATCAGGGCAAAACTTCCCCCATAGCACACTGCACTGCATAGGGTATGTCCGTTATCATTTCTATCTACAATCTAGAATTTTGGTTTAACATTAACAATAATAGCTGTACCCAGTCCAGCAGAATAATTGTTAGTAGCAGATTGTTGGTACCAAAAAGTAACATTATTATGGTAAATATTTTTTACTAGCGTAATTAATCAGCCAAAGGTGTTTTAATAGCCAAAACCACGCTCAATATCAATGTATTTTTAACACTGGGTCAAAGAACTCTGAATGCACAGACCGCTAATATCAAGGTAAAGCCAATGTCTGAGCAGTGATTGCGCAGAATTATTGCGCAAGCAGTGGGTGGCGACTTCAAACGACATCATAATGATGGTTAGTTTAAACAATATTTTATTCAATAAACTGAATTGGATTGAACAACAGGCAAGGCCTATATACGTTCTCTCCAAACATATAAAATAGTTAAATCTTATGTTTACAATACAGTGGTGACATATGTACAGACAGTGAGTAACAAACATATATACATTTTGAAGTGTAATTTTAAGTTTTAAATGTTAAAGTTTTAAATGTTAAAGTTTTAAAATCTCTTGCTGTCTTTTATGTATTTTTGCACTATTTCAAATATGTTGGAATTGGTATTATCTGAAAGAGAGGGGTTGCCATATAGGATCAGGTCAATTGTAACATTTTGATTAAGGTGGTGTAGATTATTTTTTAGAATTTTTCTTGGGGCAGAGTAGGCTGGACATATGAAAAAATAATGGTAATTATCTTCGTCTGCAGAATTACACCTAGGGCACATCTTTGTGTCACTAATAAAATGGTAGAATAAGTGATTATTTAAGTTACTAGCTTTATTTCTTAATTGGCAATGGATAATATTCTTTTTTCCTATTTCCAGTATTATAATATAGTAGTGGTCTAATTAAAGGATACACGCGTGAAAGGCCCAATTTGAATGTACTTAACGTTTGTGAAGTTTTAATATTTTCAGGTAAGTTGTTCCAAAGTTTAATTGTGCAGGGAAAGAAACTATTAGAATATGAACTTGTTTTACAAAATGGTAGATTGAGGTTCAGATTTTCATTTCGAAGGTTATAATTTGATACAGACGGTTCAAATTTTTTAAAGGCTTCAGATAGATAAGTGGGACTTAGGTTATTCTTTATTTTGTATAAGTAAATTAATTTGTGTTTTATTCTGCGATCAGACAATGATTCCCAACCAAGCTCTTTGTATAAATTGTTTTTAGATGAATTTCTTCTAAGGCCAGTTATTATTCTACCTGCTTCAGTTTGAACACTTTCTAATAGATCAGAATCCTTCTTTGAACAGTTATCCCATACAATATCGGCATATTCTAAAATCGGACGAATAAAAGCAAGATATATTTTGTTAAGTGAAATTCTGTTAATTTTGTATTTCAGTATACGCAAAATATTTAGTCGACCACAAGCTTTCTGGTATATATTTGAAATGTGTTTTGACCATAATGCATTAGACTGAAATGTTATTCCCAAATTACAATGAGTAGTTACGTTTTCAACTTTTGTATTTTCAAAAATAACGTCTGATGGATTGTATTTTTCCTAGTAAAAATAATATCTTTAGTTTTATTGGGGTTAAAAGTTACACACCATTGTTTAGCCCACGATGAGATAATATTCAGTCATAGAGTTCGCGCTACTTAGAGGATCATTATGAATAATGGTAAAAAGTGAAGTATCATCGGCGAATAGCCTTATGTTGTTAGTAATATTATCGGAGATATCATTTAAATAAATTAAAAATAGGAAAGGACCCAGCACACTTCCCTGGGGGACTCCAGAATCAGTATACAAATAGTTTGATTTGAAACCTTCTAAAACTACGCATTGTTGTCTATTACTTAAATAGTGTTCAATCCATTTACATAATATTTCATTAACTCCATATTGTTTTAATTTAGACAATAAGCCTATATGCCAAACTTTGTCAAACGCTTTTGATACATCACAAAATATAAATCGAATTTGCTTTCCTTTATCAAGATTACTAATTATAACATCATAAATTTCTAAAAGTTGGTTTATTGTAGAATCGTTAGGTTGAAAACCAGACTGATACTTATATAACAGGTTATTTTCTTTTATAAAATTATAAAGATTTTTGAATAAGATTTTCTCTAGTATTTTACACAATGAACATGTTAATGAAATTGGTCTATAGTTTTCAGGGAACTGCGGATCACCCTTTCCTTTATACGCTGCAATGATATGTGAAGTCCTCCAGATATCAGGTAATAATTGGAGTTCTAATGAAAGATTAAAAAGTTTAGTGAGAGGGCTTGTGGTTGCTAAGCTAGATGTATCAAAACTCTTAATTTATTCGATGTTCATTCTAAACAAGTAAAGCTTTAATAAAGAGAACAAATTTCTTTTCAATAATAGAAACAACATGAAGTAGAATAAAAATTGCAAGATTAGAAGCCCCATTTAGGAGGAACAAATAAAGAAATTAGATTATACATTGTCTTAGATTAGAAATTACATGAATAGAAGTTAGACGTCAGCCGATAGCATTTTGAATCTAATATACTGCCATACGAAAAAAAGTCATGGTATTCTGCTAATAAACACATCCACCATGTTTGAATATTCTAGCTCAATTATAAGAAGCAGAGTTGTTATGTCCCAAAAAGTGAGACAGACGGGACGGGCAGACAGACAGGTGGACAAACCCAATATGATGAAATACAACTATATTAGGAATACATACCGAACATTCTGTTAATATGCATTTAAGATTTGGGTCTCCCAAGGCCTGTGTACCACCTTTAATATAAGCCTGCCATATATTACTAGCTATAGCTGAAACTACTGATGCGTCTTTATCACCGTAACCTGAGTATGCTAGCAATGCTCCTTCATTGTTCAGCAACCTGCAAATATAATTAATTATCAAAAACAATGTAATACAAACAATAGTCTAAGTGGGCTTTATGACCCATTAGTAGGTAATTTCTATTAATATTAATACATTTATAAATCATATTCTCTCTAATAGATATCTTATGACTTATGCTTGGGTAAAGTACAAAGATTTACCCATCCCACCCACCCTGTCTTCTCTAACCTATAAACGAGGTAAAGCAACTGGTTGGAAAAAATTGGAATAACAACCATCAACACACTTATAAATTTACTCCTTAACATTCCTATGATGTAGAACTAGAGTCACTAGACACTCCTGGGCCAAGCAACTTCATTTGAGCAAATCTGAACAAACATAGGGGGCCGAATGGTCTAACATGTGTTTTAGATGATAAGGCCTGACATTGATTTAAGTGGCATGGTTTTAATCCGAAGCTTGTTTGTGACAAGGATCAGTAGGCCTTAGTTCAGCTCTGAACGTAGGTTTCATTACACTCGCACTGTACGTTCAGGAACTGTCCTATTGAATCCTTGGCGAAAATTTTTTTCACTTCCCAGTAAATTTTACTGGGCAACTTTTTACTACTAAATGGTCGCGTGTCAGTCCCTGTGAACGCATGAACAATGTAAATGAACATCTTATTGAGAAAATAACCTTGTGGGGTTTTTTCCAGGTTTTCCGGTTTCCTCCCATATCTAAAATTGTATGTTAGTCAAGAAATGATATAGTGGAGACTGGAGTTTAAAGCCCATTTCTCTCTCTCTGGTCATGTATAAACATTACCCAAGCAGTTCCATTAATAGCACTTACATGTCAGCCTGCAATAAAACAATAAATGCGAGTTGTCTCATAACACGTCAATGGACGAACTCTCTCCCATTATTTGCAATTTGGACGAGTTGACGTTGTGCACTGGTCACCTGACTACATCAGAAAGAAAAAAATAGCTAGGCTGTATTCATTGTCACTTTCACGCAGACCTAAATATTTGTTAACTTACATGGTGCTGCCAACGCCACCAGAGTTGGCTTGACTCAACACTTGAGCTAAAACTTTTGGCTTCAGCATTTTACCTATCACTGAAAGTACGATAATAAATATAAACACAGACCTAACCGGAAATCAAACACGACACAACCTACCGATGCTTTCCGAATTGAATCAAGCAGCCCTATTCGTAGCTACGAAATCTAATAATAATATCCCTTTTGAACACACTCATTCTTGTGAACAAAATGATAAAGTCGCCACAAAAAGGACGACCTGTAAAAAGAAGGACCTTCGAGTATTACTGAGCTATTTGAATAATGTTTATAAATTGTCAACTATTCTGTATTTGTCATATTATTATATTGTTATCTATTTTTCATTTGCTGTTGGATTGTTTTCGTGGTTGTTACTTGTTATTGTCCATGCTACTTTTCATGGGTGTATAAAAAAATAAAATCGTATGTGTTGAACAATTGGCATTTCATCTCTGTAACAGTTTTAATACAGAAACCAATATTCTGGAAGGTTTAAGCATACTCCGTCTTGTGCATATTTCATTAGGCTATAATTATAATAAAAGGTTTGATAAATAAATAAAAACTCTTCGAGTGTGGGTAAAATCACTCAGGCGATCACGTGGCTAAGTGGGTAAGACGCTGGCTTGCTAGCCTGGAGGTCTGGTGTTCGATCCCTGCTTTGGCCGAGAAAGTTGAATCCAGATTTTCCGGTGTGGTTTCCCCTTGTCAGTGATGCAGGACAGAGAGCCTGACAAGGACAGCTGTCTAGTGGTTCGGATGGTATGAAAAACCGAGGTCCCGTGTACACATTGGAGTGCACATAAAAGATCCCTTGGCAGTTGGAATTCTATATAAGAGTAGGCTGTAGCGCCGCTGCCCGGGCAAAATTTCCCTCATAGCACACTGTATGGCGTATGTCCGTCTTCATTAGCCCAGTTTAGGAGCAGATAGTAGGACGTTAAACCCCATTTCATTTCATTTCATTTTTTGTAAAAGCAGTCGAATTGAGACGAAATATCTCACCTGAATTAACATGCAGATGAATCGACAATCACGAAGTGTTCCGACTGATAATTTAACAGTGCGACGAGTAGGGTGCTAGATTCAGAAAAATGGGGTTGAGTCATGACATATTTAAAATAGGACACTGACATAATCAAACGATAACTGCTCCCCGGAAATATCCGTCAGTAAGCTTACATTTTAAGCTGTGCTTTTTTCATTGAATGTTGAAGAATGTAGAAATGTCATAGAGGTTACTAATTAACCTGTGCACAATCCTTTGAATTTGAAGAGAAAAAACGCACTTTCAATTGGAATGGCAGGATTGGGTGATTTACATGAACCGATTCCAGTTGATGTGGTGGAATATACCCTGTTTCCTTCCGTTCCAGCGAATTTGCAACATGAGCACATAGACGACTGGCTAAACGACAAATTAGAATCGTACTTGACACAGCTTAGTCCAGATGTCATCAAATATTTATGGCAGAAAGAATCGTTTGAACTACGACCTGTACGCCCAAAAGGTAGGCTATAACTATTGGCAGTGATAGATCAATAGATGGTGATATGATGTTTGTTATTATTTAGGCCTATATAACAATAACTAATGGTGAATCATTGCAGATATCATTGCACAAATTAAGATATTTGAGCTTTCCAATATTTTTGTGACTTGCAAGTGCATCTGTCAGTAGTGGATTGATGTTTAGTGCGATATGAACATGAATAATGAATATCAAAATCCATTACCATTAGCAGTGAAAATAATTAATCATTTAATTGCATTTACTTGTACTTTGTAGGTTATATTCCAGCATGTTTACAAGGTAAAACAAATTATGGAGGTAATATAGATGATGAATGGTTTATTGTATATCAACTATTTCAACTAACTAAAATGTCTCATGGATTAATAGCAAGGTAACAAAAAATTCTGTGAAATCTGGTTGTCACTCTTGTCCACCTTGGAGATACAGTGGCCCAGGAAGGTCACAAGATCGATACTGGTGTTGACAGAGAATGTTCGTCGGAATTTGTCCTAGTGCTGGATGAAGGGTCAGGCCAATGAACAGGGGTCTACATGTTCAGGAAGAGACTGAAAATCAAGGGCCTGTATGTGTACCCCTGGCAGTTGATTTCAACCAAGTCAGAGAAAAATTTCCCTCCTGAGTCATGAGAAAGAGAGAGAAATGGGGTTTAAAGTCCACTCGACACAAAGTAGGTCATTTCGGGACTAACATATGGTTTAATTTTATTTACATAATTAGCTTGCGCATAGGGGTCTTTAGCAGTGGGAGGACCCGGAGAAAACCCACGAGGTTGGACAGGCGACCCTACTCCTTGCCACGTACAACCGGGGATTCGAAACCACGCCAGTCGACTCAATGACAGACTTTATGATATAGCGCACGCACGCTAACCTTTCACCCATCCACCCCCCCCCCCCTCCTGAGTCAGAGCCCACAGCATGGGGTATGCCCATCTTCATTAACTCGGTTGGTGCAGAATAGTAGGAACTGTAGGATGTGATCTCATGACGGTCTTGAGATTTATTTCTTAATTTATGGACAGCTTGTTTTTCAAATGGGTTTGGGTGGCCTAGGCTAGATGTCTATAAAGTTCTGCATGAATTAAACAATATTATGTTTCTCTGGTTAATTCCTCACACAAATGAATTTAGTGAAACAAAAAGATATAATTTGTTAGTTTTGACATACAGGTAACCTGGAGTGTCATTTTACTGTTGAATAATATTTAATACCGTCTGGTTTATACATGCATTTAAAGTAGAAATGCAAAGGATGATCTAATCTAACTTTTCTATGATTCACGCCTGGTAAGTCATACCTTATGATTGTTAGTAATGATATTCTGTTTATACTCCTGTTTGTATTGAATTGTGTGTTTAACCCATCAATGGTGTTTCTTGTTTTCTAGTGTTCAAGATGACGATGGTGAATTCCTTTTAGTTCAGGCTGCTGATTTCTTACCTAAATGGCTAGAACCCGATACTGCTGAAAATAGGGTAGGATATTATTAGATAAAAAAAAAACAATTAAATTTTCTGATTTTGAATTTAACAGATTTTTTGTAAACTTTATCTGTCAGTGCACATTTGGACATTTTTCGAGTAGCCTACACCCCTTAAGACTGCAAATTTGATACAGGACAAAATTTTCCAATGGATTTTGTTAAAACTTGATTGTATTGTATGTTTGCAAATAATAAGGAAGCCTGTTTTCCAATTTCAAATCTCACATTTGTTCCTCCTGTTCACTTTCAAATCTTGTGACCACGATACAGGATATAGTTCTCAACATAATTTTTTAACCTTGTTGAGGTTGTTCATTGTGGGGATTATTCATCTTGTGGAATTTTTTAAATTGTGGATTCTATTTAAACTTGTCAGCGTTACTATGTAAGATAAAAATAGGTGATAAACGAGTTCCAAAATACATGATGTCAAATACCTTGTGATGTTATTATTCCTGAGAAAAGTTGTACTGGTTTGGTAAAATAAGATTGAGAATTTTCATATATTACAAAACATTCTATTTGATTTAAATGCATATATTCACAGATTTTCATTTTTAATGGAGAACTTCACATAATACCAATCACAGAATACCCAGCACAAAAAAACAGTTCTTCAGAGCAAACTCTAACTTTAACTGATGCTCTCAGATGTATAAGGGACCCCAAGATACAAACCAAAGCAAGTCCTCAAATACAAAATTCAATAAAGAAGAAGTTAAATATGTAAGTTGACTGTTTATCAAAGATAGACTCTTAGACTAAGATGGCAAAATATTGATAATAAAAATCAGCATCTACAAGTAGGTTATTAGTAAATAAATCATTTTTTTATAGTAAGAAAACATTTCTTGGTACCAAACATCTCTATAAGTAATTTTCATTTTCAATACGATTTCAGGTTTCCTGAAAAAGCAAATGAGAATCTTCATTTTGCAAATTGTTACATTCCTACCTCGGTGGCAGCTGTACTAGAACAAAATCCTACTTTAGTATCGCCAGCAGTGGAAGCATTCTATTATCGTGATCCAATAGATTTACAGGTAGTCTGGTAGTAACCAAAGTTTTAGTTAAAGTTATACATGTAGACAATTTCAACAATGTATTGATTCTATATATTATATAACTTGGCAAAGGTACAGAATAGGAAAACAACATAGATTGATTAATTATGTTTTCTCTAAATGCTGTGAAAATAGTATAGGTAATAACTCTTGTTGTAACTATTTTAAACATGCATTATTCAAGAGCTAAATATGTCTATTGTAGGTCTTTCTTTAGGCCTGAAATGCCCCTTTAATCTTTCAAGTAATTATTTTTTCTTAGGCATGCCGTACAATGAAAATATTTCAACAAGAAGATATGGTTATATACAGGGTAAGTGGTGTGATATTCAAGAATTTGTTGACTTTGTTGGTAATATTACATAATGTACTGAATGTAAGCAATGGCGACAAATTAATGAAGGATCAAACATGAAATTAAACAAGAAAAAGGTGCACATTTTGCCAAGAATATTCCAAATGAATCAAATATTTGTTTAATTATATCTTTTATATTTAGGTGAAATTTACCAGATATATGTATGCTCAATTACTACAACAAGATTTTCAACCAGATAGACGAAGTGGTTGGACATTACCAAGTAAAACTAACCCTCAATTTAAACAGGATGATCTAGGTTTAAAACTAGTAAGTATTCCACTCAGATTTTATATCGTTCATATGATAATATATAAATGAAATGAAATGGAGTTTAACGTCCTGCTTTTCGGCACTGACTGGGCTAATGAAAACTGGATAATATATAATACATAGTGAAAGTATATACATGTAGATATGAACAATATAAATTTAACTGGCAACACTATTTAAAGTTACATTATTTAAGAGCTAAATCTGCCTTTTGCAGATCTTTCTTTAATTGTTATATAAATTATTAATTAGACATTTATTCACATGACAAGCCCATAAAAAACTATGTAGATCATCGGATGGTTGTGATTTTGAACAGTTTGAAACATGATTGCAATTTAATAATTTTTGAATTATTAAATGGCGATCATGTTTCAATCAAAAATGGATAATCAAGACTTTTCTTATTATCGTAATGATGGTAACTGATAACTTTCAATATATTCCTTTCTCATTATCTATTCTTATACTAGTACAACAAGAACTGTCATCTCTTTATAAAAATCTTACAAAATGCTCCTTTAAGATTTGGATGGGATGAAAAACTGAGGTTCTGTGTATACATTGGCCTGCACGTAAAAGATCCCTTGGCAGTTGGTATTCAGAATAGAGTAGGCTGTAGCACCCCTGTCCGGGGAAAATTTCCCTCATAGCACTCTATATGACGTATGTCCATCTTCATTAGCCCAGTCGGAGCAGAACAGTAGTACTTTAAGTTAAACCCCATTTCATTTCTGTAAGGTTTGACATCAATGAATTTATAAATGTGCAAAGCTTTGATGATTTCATTGGTGTTGTCAAATTATCGGTAATTTTCAGGGTATTTGGTCTGTGATGGAATTATTTATATAAATACCGTTTGCTAACATTGCTAAAATATTCACAGTTGCCATGACAACTTTTTTTATTTAATCTTTCAAATAAAAAAAAAACAATAATAATATAAAAATAAAAGGTGAATATAAACCTACCATAAATTTCATTTCAAATTTCGTGACCAAAAATTTAAAATCTGATGGGTCAGAAATATAATTTTCTGTTACTATGTAGACTATTATGAATAAAGTATATTATTATTACTGAAATATATTTATAGAGATAAAATCAATATAGCTGTTATTATTACAGGCTCATGGATTCGAAATTTTGTGTTCAAGGAGTGGAAGTAAAAATTACAATATTAATGGCCACACATCGTTCAACGAATCGGACAGCCGATGGCAGCGTTATTTAAAATCATTGACAGAGAAGGGCTTCTTTCAGGTATTATGAACTTTGACCATATTTGTCTTTTGGTATACCATCTGCCAGAACTTTTCTTTATTGAAAACTTCATGTAGACTAAACTTGAACATTTTTTAATAAGAATGATTAATACATATAAAATATTGTTCATATCTCTCAACACCTTAGTGGATTGGACAACCTTTAAATAGCTGAAATCATACTAAATGGTTGTGTTGAGTAAATGCTTGGGAAAAGATATGTTGCTCAATTCACAATACTCTGCAATCAAAAACTCTAAAAAAAAACATTATTTTTTGCCGTCAGCGTTGTTCACTGTTGACTATTATTTTATAGAATGTATTAGAAGGATCAAGGTATTATAAAGTTTTATTAGAAGAAGCCAAATCATTTTATACCGAACATTTCGCTAATCACAAAAGGTGAGAATTTATTGATTATTTTTAATATAGAATATTTCGTAATATTAAACATATCTCGACTTTCCTGAAATTCTTTCTTTATAAATATTATGTCTTTATATGTATGACCACATTTAATCTTAGTGTATATAGTTGTATATCCAGAATTTCTTTTGATCATGCAGGAAGTTGTCACAGGTTTGGTGAAATTTCTAAAAAAAATCACTGTTATTATTCTTAAGGAAGATACATATTAAGTTCAGAATTGTTCATTGGTATAATACTTACCTATTGAATTTTAAACTATTTGAATTATGAATATTAATGATGTATTATTTATATTAATGACAGTACAAAGAAAGAAGCAGGTGATACAATATTACAGTTATTAGAATCTAGTCCATATTCAATGGAAGATTTCAAGAAAAAAGAACATTCTCTTCCTCTAGCAGATGGTAAGTTGTATTTCCACAACTAACAACATATTCTGTTTTGGCCTTTAGTTACAGGCTGGGATGAACTTTCCTTTTTTATACGCCGACATTGAAATGTGGTCTTATATTGTCGTCACCCCCGTCCGTCCATCGGTTCGTCCATCTGTCGATCCAGCGTCCACCAGTGCTTGTGGACGCTCTAGAGGCTAAAGTTAATATCCGACTGACTTTAAATTTATATACAGTGTTTACGGTTATGAGATGAAGAAGCCTATTGATTTTCAACAACTTCTGATAATTGCTGCCTTAGTTATTACCTTTGATCACTCTAAAAAATCTTGTGGACGCTCTGGAGGCTAAAGTTAATATCTGATTGACTTTAAATTTATACACAGTGTTTAAGGTCATGAGACGCAGAAGCTCTTTGATTTTCAACAATTTCCGAAAATTACTGCCAGAGTTATGGCCCTTGAGCACTTTGAAAAATCTTATGGAAGCTCTAGAGGCTAAGTTAATATCCGATTGACTTTAAATTTATACACAGTATTGATTTTCATTGGTGTCCTGCCAGAGTTATGGTCCTTGAGCACTTTGAAATATCTTTTGGACACTCTAGACACTAAAGGTGATATCTGATTGACTTTAAATTTATACACAGTATTTAAGCCTTAAACTTTAAGGTCATGAGACGAAGAAGCCTATTGATTTTCAATGATTTCTGACAATTACTGCCACAGTTATGTATGGCCCTTGATCACTTTGAAGTATCTGGTGGATGCTCTAGATGCTAAAGTTAATATCCGAATGGCTTTAAATTTATACACATTGTTTAAACATGCATTATGCAAGAGCTAAATCTGCCTATTGCAGGTCTTTCTTTAGGCCTGAAATGTTTTCTAAAGTATTAATTAGACATTAATTAACTGATCCAGGCCTTAATCAACTCTCATTGGCATCAGATTTCTCAGATGTTAAATAAATTAGATTGGTTCAGCGATATTTTGATTTAATCAAATATGGAGGACCGAGACTTAACTTCGATCAACCAGTACGGTGGTTGAAATTATTGCACACGTCTTGTCAAACCTTCAAAGGCTTATATCTTCGCTTGCAACAGAGTAATTTGAATGAAATTTTCAAATTATTCATTTTACATCATCTACTTTCGAACTATTATAGCAAGAATGGCTAGTTCTTTATCTAAATCTTACATAATGTATCTTTAAGGTCATGAGACGAAGAAGCCTATTAATTTTCAATGATTTCTGATAACTACTGCCAGAGTTATCGACCTTGATCATTTAAAAATATTTTGTGGACGGTTGACTTTAAATTTATATACAGTGTTTAAGCTCATGAGATGAAGAATCCTATTGATTTTCAACTATTTCCGATAATTACTGCCATAGTTATGGTCTATCAATTTTCAACGATTTCTGATGATTATGGCAATTTATATTATATATTTTGTATGCTAAATGTTAGAATAGGGCAGAACTAGAAGCCAAATGGGTTGTTACTCGTAATCAGATTTTGGTGTGTTGTAATGTTGTAAATATTTTCACTTCTGACAAAAGAAAAAATATGCGACAACCCTTGTTGACTCCCTGGATGACTTAGCTGCTGTGGGCGTATGTTTCGTTGCCTGGCAACCTATCTTTAGAACATCTGGTACCACTTTTTGTTATGTGATAATTTAATCTAATTATATTATTATAGATGATAGTTGGTTAGAAATTAGTCCAGATGAGTTAGATCAACTATTACATGATACAGTTGGTAAAAATACCACAAATACTTCACAGCAAGATACATTTGATCTAAGTCAAATAACAGAAAATATGAAGTCTTTTGTCAACAATATATCATCTGTGGAAGGAGCTGAGTTTCCAGAGTAAGTTAGGTTATTACAAATTTTCAAATGGTATCCTCTAAAGCTGTATAAATATCAACTCACAATATTCTTATTGATTAAAGCCAGCCCTGATGTTCTCAAGAGGGGTCCGTGGTAGTCAGGCCATCAGAGAATTTGACTCGCTACTAGAATGTCCTGGATTCAAATCCCAGTGTAGGCAGAGGAGAACCTTTAAAGCTCGATCTCCACTTATCAAGGATTGTGCCTAAGGGGCTTACAAGGAAAATGTGCCTCATCTTCTGGATGGGAAAAAAAGAACCATTGATTGTTCGAAATCTTAGGCTGACAAAACTATTGATGTCCGGGCAAAATTCCCGGCATTGCACAGGTTTCCATACAAATAAAGATTATGTTTGTCTGAAAAAAACTCCATTCCATAAATCGACAACCAAGAATTAGATTAATCTTAGCGAATCATTGTTTTTGTATGATGAATATGTTAAAACCTTGTTATTTCAGGGAAGGTGATGATGATGATGATAAAGAAGTACAGTTTGATGGAATGGGTTTTATTCATGCCATGCAGAAAATGTTTGGTATGTAAATAGTAGCCGTTAGTATCACCACAAACCAATACTATTTGTAATGAGCAATTTGAAGCTTTGATAATTGATAAAGAGGTTTTGTTTGAGAAGAACCAGATTTTTACATGCAAGTTTCAGAAAAACAAACAATTTTTGGGCATGGCAGGGACAAGTCAGATTTTTGATTGGTAAAAATTTTATTTGTAGATTTTCCTGAAGATAAAGATGATGATAGCGATGATATGGATGAGTATGGATGGGAAGAAGATGATAGTGAAGATGAATTTAATCCATCAAAATTTAAGCTAAATAAACCAAAGACTAAAATTGACACCAAGATGAAACATTACATGAATGAAATGGACAGAGAACTTGCCAAAACAGAGATGGGAAAGAGTTTTGAGAAGACGCCTAAACCAGCAAAGGTAAATATGAAAACTGATTGAAATTGGGGATAATTACTTTTACTACTTTATTCTTTTCATAATTTAGGGTCATTTTACTTTCAGTTTTTAAAAATATTTGATGTGCTTTATTCTTACCAATCAAAATGTCAGAAACAATTATTTACATATTACTTTGCTTTTGCTAAAATGGTAAGCAACTTTACTGGTATGAAACTCATTTCTAACATGCAGCCAAACAGTTATACTTCAAATTATTTACAATAATATTAATCATTTCCAGGTGGCAACAAAACCGCAACCGAATGCCAAACCCAAACCCAAACCCAAACCTGGAGTTTCTGCTAAACCAAGAAAAACTCAAAATATTGATGACGAAGATGATGATTTCCGACCTGTCAATATTGATTTAACTCTGGTTAAAAATACCCTAGAATCTTATAGTGCTCAGCAAGGTTTACCAGGTCCAGCTACAAATATACTTAATAGTATGGGTATAAATATCCCCAAAAATACTGATGTTTAGACACAGATCTGTTTAGATATCTATTGTGAAAATCATTTGATGATTTTGATTGTAAGAAATCAATGACTAATTGACCATTTCATGGTTCCCAACTCTTCTGTAAAATGAGGTAGAAATAGCCACCAAGTGTGGACAACTTTCTTAGTAACACAGTTACATTATGTCATAGTTATTTCAGTACTTTTACATTAAGTTTACATTATGTATTTTTGAAAATTTCCTGACATATGTCTTCCTTGATTGTAGAACTAAAGTACTATGGTTTTTTTGTATTGATCTTAAATGCCAACTTATGGGTCAATGGTAGTTAAATTCCCGAGTCTCAAAATAAATCTACAAAATTATACGTCATGACAGTGAGCTCCCTGGCTCCCTTAAATATCATTCAATAACTATAAAATGATGATTTAGAGTGTAATATAGAATGGTTGTCTGATTCTTTGATCCGATTTCTGGTGATTTGGATCTAATTATTATAGGTTGTGACATCAAATAGCATTTCTATAAAGAGAATAATAAATCAAAAGTAGATCTGCCTCTATTTTGACATAATTATTGTGAAATAGACATTTTATATAAAAGGTGCTGTTGTGTAAAATAACACATCTTAATTTAGAGTCAAATCAAAACACACACATATATATATATATATACATATATCACAAAGTTTTTCACCTGAATTATTATCCGTATACATCAGTTTAGAATTTTATATTTCTTTACATTGATCATGGAGTGTGAGAGCTGGCTGTAAGAATCTAGTAGATGTTTAATGTTATTGGGCTGTGACACAAATTAAGGTTTTATTTGCCATTACAACAGTATCTCATCTGACTGATGTGGATAGTATTATATTCTTTGTGATATAAAAAACTTATAATTTGACTACTTAATTAACAGTATTATTATTAAGTGTACTCATCAACAAAATGGAGTTTGTCTAGTATTTGAAAATTTGAAATGTGAAAACTGATTCAATTAGTTATACTTAACCCTTTGAATCCAATATTAAATTAGTTTTAGCTAGTGTTTATTTTCCTGTATCCTGTTACTTCCTGCTTCTTTTAGAATCTTGATGAGCCGATAAGTAACATGTTCGAAGGGTTAATAAAATCCTCACCATATACGTTATACAGAATTATGAAACTTAAAAGTTTTATGATGTGGATGTAGGTTGGAGTGATGGGTAGGGTATGGGTTCCCAACACAGAACATACTGCACCTGTTTTTTTATAAACATAGGCTAAGCCTGTTACCTGATTCCCATTCACCGTTACGGCAGATTCTTAATAAAAATATTAATAAAAAAAAGATTACAGACTGTTTATTTAGTAGCCTAATAATCAATTGTATTTTAGGTTCAAAATGTCAATTTTCATTGTAACCTGGTCATAGTATTAGATTTTTTTTTTAATTTTCTATTTCATCTTTCTTTTTATAGTGTATCTTTAAGAAAATAAGAGATTTTATAAACTATTGTTAGTTCTTTGTTATGTTGTCTGAAAGAAAATATATGATGTGTTTTTGCTGATACATGCAAAACTAAAATGTTACTGACAGGTCCACAATTTAAAACATTAAAGAACAAAGGTAGTCGAATGAATCTGGTGCATAATAATATATTCACACAGTTTTATTAGAGATTTAATTATGGACAAGGGTCACAGTTATATCCACCCTTTATCATTGGATATAAATCTTGCCAGTCTCTTTTAGACTAATTGTTCCCGTTTCCCTGCATATTTCCATAACGTTTTGGTATATAGTGGTTTGGAAGGGTTTTGCAAAGGATAAGAATGCAAACAGGCATGTTATTAATAAATCAGGGAGGTAATACTAGTCAAAATTGAGGTCATTCGGGCCTCATTTATTGACACACACCGACACAGGTTGCTAGGCCACGAAGCATACAGACACTAGTAGATAAACAACTCTTAAAATTTTCAAAATCATTGAAAACTAATAATGTTGTCCCTTTCAATAGGATAGACAACCAATATAATTTTCAGAAAGACAGGATTTTGTTGCAAAGGTGCATAACTCTGTGGTTGATTATGGGCTCAGACTAGTATTTTTTTCCCCATGACATTTTTTGGCCTATGATATTTTTTTAAAAACAATTTGGCAATCTTAAGCTTTATAACAGGAAAGAAGAGCCCAACATGTCGCAATCCTCTGATAAAAGCATTGAAATGGGGTGATCATTTCTTTCGTTTGTTTGGGTTGTTTGGGGTTTTTTTTGGGGGGGGGGCGCTAAGACTGGTCAAAGGAATCTATAGGCAGTGACGTCATTTTAGTTGGCGTACACCATATATTCATTTCTGTTTATTTCCTGATCCTTCTGCCCCCAAATCATCCATATTCACCAAAACCTGACAAAAAAATAGAAATTCATCAATTCTAGGCTAAAATGTTATTATATATTCACATTCCATCATGAGATCTGGAGAAGCAATTACTAGCCTTAGTTCTTATTCAAAAATTTTGCAAATTAATTGACCGATTTGATTAAAGCCATAATGGAAATAAATCTCATATAAATTTCAAAAAAGATATATAAATTATTGTAGCCTAGGCTTATTGTGCTAATAATAAATTTTATGGAAATTATGATAAAAAAATCACTGAAAATCTATCAGCGTTTTCAGAAAGATTGTGGATCATAATTGCAGCCTCTACTCCAAGGTGCCAACAGGATTTTGTAACAAAGGGAAATAAATTTAGAGTTATTGAAAATCATTTAAAGATACATTATGTAAGATTTAGATAAAGAACTAGCCATTCTTGCTATAATAGTTCGAAAGTAGATGATGTAAAATGAATAATTTGAAAATTTCATTCAAATTACTCTATTGCAAGCGAAGATATTAGCCTTTGAAGGTTTGACAGACGTGTGCAATAATTTCAACCACCGTACTGGTTGATCGAAACTAATTCTCGGTCCTCCATATTTGATTAAATCAAAGTACCGCTGAACCATTCTAATCTATTTAATATCGGAGAAATCTGATGCCATTGAGAGTTGATTAAGGCCTGGATCAGTTAATTAATGTCTAATTAATACTTTAGAAACATTTCAGGCCTAATGAAAGACCTGCAATAGGCAGATTTAGCTCTTGCATAATGCATGTTTAATATGGTTTTTCATTTCCGATAGATAGATAAAAGAACTGTGGTCTGAAACCGTGATGTATCTGGGTGCAAACCGGTTGTCTCCCTTGGCACATCAAACACATAAAAATGTCCGTCATTCTTTTCCAGGTTTACACGTTTATATAGGCCTAGAAAAAGAGTACTAGAATTATGTGGAATGTATTGGAAACTTTAAAAATTCAACAATATTGAATTCCATTTTTCAAATGCAATAGTTCGCCTATTGGGGCTACGTTGTCATTATTGGCTTTCGGATATCTTTTATACCCCGTGACAGATAATTATAATATATATACATGTATCATGGAGGCTATATAAACTGTAATTGTATAGCCTAGTTTATGTAACTTTCTAGACAGTAAATTTCCTGTAATTATATACATTTATTTTAGGTTAAATGTACAGTGGAATTTTTGATATTTTATTTCACCTTTTTGTCAATGGTTATAGATAACAACCATTGTAAATATACTGTATAGCTTCCCGCCAAAATCGAGAACGGAACCGTTTTAAGTCGATAAATATAATCAAATAAAATAATATTCAATATTAATGTATTGTCTATTTATTAGATGTAGGGTTCAAGTACATAATATGGTCGCTAATAGGCTGTTACCAGGTGTATATCAGCTTAATACAATAATCCGTTTATTATATAAGAAATAGGGCGATTAACTTTCTTTACGTAAACTTAGAACAACTTATATGATTACCTCTATTTATAGACGCATGTTAACAACACCAAAAATAAATTACACGAGGAAAAACATTAATCGATTGATCTGTCAAAACCAGGGATTATCGTGGAGGTATGATTTTAGTCCAATCATGTTCCCCATGTTGGTTAATCTGTTTATAAGCATGGGAGATTTGGCCAGATCGTGGTTTTATTAACGTAGAGAACAAAGAAGGTTATTCTTATTTATAATTGAGGCGGAGCTAACACTCACTGAATTAACAACAAAAATCTCTTTTATTCGAATACGATCTATTCACTACCTACCGGCTACTCGTTAAATTGGCTGAATAATTCCACGCGAATTTCAGATATCTGTATTCACGCTATTATTACTGTCCTTGGATTGTTACTACGGGAATTAATAAGAATATGTTAACAACGAAAGTCAATATAACAGTGCTATGAGATCTACAGACGTGTTATGATCTACAGAGATTATGAATTAAGTATTCTTTTGTCAGCCAAGTATGTTTATTCCCAAACGATTTCATTAAATGTAGTGTGTCTATATATCGTATAGTCAGTCATATGATAACAGACGAAAAGAAAATTCGTTATGATTTTTGTGCGAGGTGAATATCTTAGAAAGGGATTAAATTATGTGGTATTGTGAAGAAAAGATTAAAGGATAACCATGTACTAACTATATTAGATATACATATTTTCTAGTCATGGAATATATTACATCCCAGTCAATTAAAACTGTTTTTATTAAAGGTAAGTTTGATCTATTTTATCTATTAGTTTACACGAACCAGTGCGCCATAGGCGTAGATTATAATTAAGAAGCCATGATGTTGATTATAGATTCTAAAATCAGAACACAAATAGTATAATAAAACACTGACTAAGCCCTTTACAACAAAATATATAATGTCCTGAAAGCCAAAATATTTTAAATGTTACCAAGGATAAATAGGGTTCAGTATTTGTTTTGGGTAATACTATTTTTATTCATAATTTTCACACAATCGTGAATTGTCATATGCTCTTATTGTTAAGCGGCTCGTTTCCTTTCGCTAGCCAATTCATCCGGGTATAGTTTCATTCCAGCTTTAATGTAATTTGTTGTATATAAGGCTACTAAAGTGAATTTTAAACTTGAGTGTTATTATTTAATTATCAATACTATTGATATTCAATGATTATAGTTTGTAATACAAAACATATCATAGTTAGACTTGAATACAGGGCAAACAATTTACAAACAATGTTTTGAGAAAAAAATTAGTTATTCTTCCTATAATCCTATGTCCGTCTTTTCCATGTAGATGTGATAATTTAATAATATTACTGTTTGTTAAAGGTGCATTATGTAAGAGCTAAATCTGCATTTCAGTTCTATATTTTAGCTTCAAATGTTATATAAATTATTATTTAGACATCTATTCACATGGCAAGCCTATAATCAACTCACTATAGATCTCCGAATGACCGAGATTTAATTCGATTGTCTAGTACCGTTCCTATGATAATAAATAATCAATGTCCCGTCTTGTCAAAACTTCAAACAATGATAACTTCGCTCAGAATGAAGTAATTTGAATGAAATTTTCAATATATTCATTTTTCATTATTTATTTTTAAACTATTATAGCCTGAACGACCAGCTCTTTATCTAAATCGTATATATGGCATATTTGATTAATTTTTATGTTAAACAATAAAGTGATAATTACAGTAACACGTTATATGTAGTGGTTTTACATAATGCCTTTTATTGTTCACACTTTCCGGTAGCTATTATTTCGTTTTTACATTTAGGATTTTTTGTCGGTTTTAAGTTCGTTGTTGTGTATATGGGTTTTATTTTAAATTCAGTTTCTTGAACTTTTAATTTAAAGGTGTGGTGTCTAAATTAAACATTTAATGATTGAAATATATTAACTGTGGTTTCTTAATAAATACAAAGAACAAATGTTAAAGATGTTAAAATATACCAAAAAACCATTGAGGTGTATATGCAGAAAACTCATTGATAGATGTCGATGGCACAAGATTTGAATTATGATAGACTGGGATTAAGGAATGGATAAATGTATTTGAACCATAAATGTAAATATAGAACAGTAATATAACTTATTATCATTATGGTTATAAATAGCCATTTCCTCATCGTCGTCGTATGTTGGGTGATGATCAGTTTGATTTTCGTCTTCATTCGCCCAGTCAGAGCAGAACAGTAGGACGTTAAACTCAATTTCATTTCATTTCAGTTTGATCTAAAAGCGTTTTTAAATGTCCCAGGAGAATTTTTTAATGTTTCTAATGGATGGCATTTTTAAATGACTACACAGAAATCAATAGCGGTATTTGTTCTTATTGATTTGACAAATTAAATTATTCATTATAACATTATAAACGTTACACCAGTAAAATAATGTTCCGCTCAAACGAACACCCAACTTTATCTTTCAGTAAATAATTAATTTGCTTCAAATAAAGTTCAGATAAAGATAAAGAACTGGAAATATAAAGGCATAATGTTAATCTGGCGGTGAAGACAAAATTTTATCAACGATGTGGATTTAATTAGATTTATCCTTCTCGTTCGTTATATTAATTCTTGATCATTCCAGCCCATATTATTGTCCCCGTGTTGACCACAACGAATATATCAAACTGTTCTATAACGGTAATGCAAACGCTTTCTTTTAGAACTGTACAAGATGACTAACCTTTAGTTCTACGTGTGATGATGCCACATCATATGACGTCGATAACACACTCTCCCGTTCCTTGATGATTTATGATTAAAACTGACAACTTTTGTGAGATGGGTTACTAACTTCCACTGATAAAGACATTAACTTTAAATCGAAACATTCTCATTGAATGCGTGACACCAATATATCACTCTAAGCGGAAGTTTAAAGTATAGCCCCCCCCCCCCCAATAAAAAAAACCCCACAAACCCATCGTCCACAGATATATTTATAAACTCATTGAAGTCTCGTGTCGACGTCAGTCTTCTGAACGACAGTCGTTTTACATGTTCAACCATAATATGTTATGTAGAATGACCGAATCATAAAGACAAAAATTGTTTAATTTTGCAGTGCATGGCATTGTTGATTCATAAACCGGTTGTATCGTTCCATAAGCTTTGACTAATATATTACACGAGGCAGGTTATGCTTATTATTTCCTATTTTAACACATTATTTATACTTTGACACATCTTAATACTTTCAGGTATATATTTTATATTCGTCTGTTTTATGCAACCAGTTGTAACAGGTAAAATTATTACTTTTCACTATAATTATTATATAAACACTTTATACAGTATAGGAGTTAGTAAGACGGTTTGGCCGATAAAATTCCTCGGTATTTTCCAGCCTGGTATGACAAGGAACAGTGTCTAGACGGATGGTATGAAAAACTCGGGTCCCTGGTACACGCTGGCGTGCACGTAAAAGAAATATTGACAGTTAGAATTCGATGAAGAGTAGGCGGAAACGTTGCCGCTCGTGCAAAATTCTCCACATAGATGGCGTATGCCCGTCTTTTCATTAGCTCGGTTCGTGCAGAAAAGTAGGGCGTTAAATCCCAGTTTCCTTTTATTTTGGATACAATATAAACACCCCAACCTGTCGATAACGTTTTAACTTCATGTTTCAAGAAGTCAGGAAATAAATTGCCTCAACCCAAGCAATAAAAGTACCCTGTATTGTGTATTATCTGTAGTATAATGAAGTAATTTGTTGTCGATCTTCATCCTATTTGAATAGTTTAAAATAGGTTGAATTGTAAAAACTAAATTTTCACATGTAGGTATTTTGATATCGGGTGTTGTGTATTGGGCAGGGTATGCATACCCTTTCTAGCAAGCCATCCACTGCTTCTCATTATTGTATCCTTTGGATTTTTGCTTTTGAAATGTAGCCTCTGTGTTTTATTTTTTAAAATAATTCATCTTTTATTTTCATAGGTTGTGGTGCCTTTCTAGGAGCGTCGACTTCTATTACGAATAACCTAGCGTCCCCTGGTGCTTATCCCAACAATACTCGATGTATCTGGTTAATAGAGGCTCCAGCAGAACATCGAGTCCAGATTAGTATAACATTTAAAGGAGAAAATGCCAACTCACAGTGTTCAGATTATATAGAGGTAAAACAAAAATATTAAAACTGTTGTAAAATACCTTTAAAAACCTTACATCACTTATGACGCAGGTCCAGTTATTGTGTCCTTGAATAGGGTTTCCCCCTGTCAGTAATGCTGGCTGGGGACCTGGCATGGAACAGGGTCTAGACGTTCGGATGGGACGAAAAACCGACGTCCGGCGTACACCTTAAGGTACACGTAAAAGAACCACTGACAGAGGGAATTCAGTTGTTGTCCGGACACAATTTTCCTCATATCACACTGCATGGTGTATGCCCGTCTCCGTTCTGAAACGGAACAGTAGGACGTTAAACCCCATATCATTCATTTATTCATCTATTTTAGCCCTTGAACAAGACACCTGAACAATGTGGGCTAAAATTGATGTAGCAAAAAATTATGTTTAATAGAGAGTGTGGTAAGACCATTAGAACATCACGTTATGTTCTACGCTCGGAGGGGGGGGTTGGATGGCTGAATGGTTAGCGTGCGCGCGCTGTATCATAAAGTCTGTCATTGAGTCGACTGGCGTGGTTTCGAATCCCCGGTTGTACGTGGCAAGGAGTAGGGTCGCCTGTCCAGCCTCGTGGGTTTTCTCCGGGTCCTCCGGTTTCCTCCCACTGCTAAAAACCCCTACGCGCAAGCGAATTATTGAAATAAAATTAAACCATATGTTAGTCCCGAAATGACCTAGTTTGTGTCGAGTGGACGTTAAACCCCATTTCTCTCTCTCTCTCTCTACGCTCGGAGTCTGTGGTAATAAAATGAAAATTTACTGGACGAAAGTTGTTACAATTCCATTTTAATTCAGAAGTGGTCTTGAATAAGACACTTTATCCCTATATATATTACAGCTATATCCAATTGTGTACCGTTAAAACACTACAATGTAAAATTAATGCCGCGCTAAAGTTCTGTATGAGTGATGAGAGAACGATGACCAATAAAGGTAGGTAAGAACACCTAAAAACTACCAGAGCTGGAAATGAAATGGGGTTTAACGTCCTACTGTTCTGCTCAGAGTTTGACATAATAATATAACGGTAAAAATAAACGTACTTTTAATCGGGAGAAAAAGGGACATTAACAATTAAAACTGAACTGTAATATAGAAAATGAAAGCTATATATAAATAATTTTGTATTGTCCTCAATTTATCCTTGTTACAGGTACGAGATGGGAGTATTTTATCAACATTATTATTATCAACTTGCTCATCAACAACATCTCTTATTAAAATATCAACAGCTAGATGGTTATGGCTGTTTTTTAAAAGTGATTATTATGGAGCAAATTCTGGTTTGACAGCATCATATTCTGCTGTTTATGCAGGTAAGCCCGCCGTTACGATTGGATAAAATGGACACCTGATTTCAAAGTACTAACCAAATTACATAATTATAGTAAGAACCTAGAAAAATGGCTTATAGTGTTGTGCATTGTCAGTATACTTACTAGTTCTTAGTGGGGCGGGGAATTATTCCATCGTGTGCTTGGTCCATGCACAAATACGCCCGTGATCAGGACGTTTACTATACTGCCCACGGGCGCAAGAAGGGGTCTCGAGTGTCTAAAGATCCATCTCCTTGATTATGCTAAGTTAATCGGTTTCGAATATTTATAGGATGTCCTACATACCAACGTTGTGACTGACGTGTACTCCCAATTAAATAGACGAATCCAGTTTCTGTATGTTGGATAACTTATTTCCGACGTTTTTATTAACTTCAAAGATCACAGCAATTTGCAGTGATTTCATTGGCTGATAAGTCTGTCAGCAGTTATTTGCCAGTTGTCATCGCTGAATCCGCGACAAAATAAAATCCTAAATTAAGAAAATAATTTGGGTATCTGTTTTGCAGGTTTTTCGCGCGTATGAGCTCGTTTCGGCAACTTTAGGAGCAGAACTGTAGGACGTTAAACCCCATTTCATTTCATTTCGTTTCGGCAACTTGGATACTTAATTGAATTTTTAGAAAAGGTTTTAGTCACAAGACCGATTGGTGGAACAAATAGTCATAAAAAATCTGGCCCAGCTTCTGGCCTATAATTAAGATAACTAGAACAAACTTCGATGTTAACTTCAACAAATACAAACAAATTTTAATATATCATGCGTATGGGTGGCTCAAGCAATGGGATCGATCGTGAAACGCCGAATGACATCATCAGTGCGCAGCGGAGTAACTCGAATTCTATTACGGAAATCGTGGACAGAAATATGCACCCCATACCCGATTGATCCGCGTAATTCTATTTTTCTAGTCAAAGGCTGAACTCTTCTTTCATACTCAGTAACGTACCGTCCTCAATACGCAGCCGTTTTGAAGGAGTAAAAAAATATCGTCATTCCCTACCCTAGGGGCTGTCGCTGAAAAGTATAGGCCTAGTGGGTCGCTGAGCGACTATGGCTACACTAGCCCACACTGATCCGCAGTGAATATTCGCTTGGTCGCTACAATCACTGATAAGGATGACATCGGTGAGACTTAATGACTACAAAATATTAACTTTTTTCTTTCGACAAATTAAATTCTGAAACATTTTGTTTTAGTATTAGAAAAATAAATAAAGGTGTTTGATGTATATCTTGATAAAAAATATTCCATATTTAGCGTAAATAGGTACAAAAAATAGTACGCGGAGGCATAAAATGGGTTAAACGATATAATTTTGCCCGTACCAGTTCATATTACTACGTTCGATGTAAACAACGCACGTGTGACCATCAATTTGACGTTTTTTTCTGTTTGTTTACTCTGAATTCTTTCAGAAGTACATTTTTTACCGTCTAATCTGGTTGACCTGCTTTATGGTGGCTGATAGTGGCCATGTTAAATCTCGCCCTTTTCATAACGCGACAACACGACATCACGACAGTATTGACGCAATCATACGACACTTTATTCTGTCGTATCATCGTGTTATTTTTATCGTAACGTCGAGATGTCGACTTATTGTCCTAGTCTCTTTCTACAAGTCACAAAAATACAGCTGTACTCATTACATCATATATAGGCCTAAGTAGTAGATTTGATAAATATAAAAGAGATAGCAGGAAAACGTTGATTAATTATTTGTTTTCTCAAAATAATGAAACATTTTGTGTCCACAAGTGAATTATATTTGGTATTATATTTAAAAAATCTAGAATTACAATAGCAGGACCAAAGTGAGTTAACTAAGTTAATTCCTTGAAGAAAAAGTGGTGTCGGGAGGTATCACACAAGTAAGCATTCATTGCCATGTGTACGACACCCACCAATATTTATAGATGACTGGAGCGATAGTTTAAAAATGATTTCAGAAGACAGGGTGGGAAGGGGATTGTAAAAAAACCAAATCGGGTCACATTCTTTAAAATCACAGCATTATCATAGTGCAGCACGTCACCCCAATAGTTGCAGGAGTCTTTTTTTTTTTGAATGAGGTGGAGAAAACGATTCAACTGGCGTGGTTTTGAATCCCCGGTTGTACGTGACAAGGTGTAGGGTCGCCTGTCAAACCTCGTGGGTTTTCTCCGGGTCCTCCGGTTTCCTCCCACTGCTAAAGACCCCTACGCGCAAACGATTTATTGAAATAAAATTAAACCATATGTTAGTCCCGAAATGACCTAATTTGTGTCGAGTGGACGTTAAACCCTCTCTCTCTCTCTCTCCCTCTCTCTCTCTCTCTCTCTCCCTCTCTCTCTCTCCCCCATTTGACATCACTAATGGAATTGAGGCCTAGATGAGTAAAAATAGGCCCAGTAATATCTTCAACTATGAACACACTCTAAAAGCCTCATACCCCCCCCCCCCCCACGTCACCCAAATAGATGCAGGAGTTTTTTTATGAGGTGGAGTAAACGATTCGCAGCCGTTATTGACCTTATCGCATATAGGCTTGCATCCGTTTGACATCACTGATGAGTAAAAAAAGGCCAAGTAATATCTTCAACTATGAATACACTCTAAAAGCCTCATACCCCACCCCACGTCTCTTATTTAGTTTTACAAATAATTCCAGAATCAATAAAATGGTATCAATGATGTTTGATACAACTGGAAAATAATATGTCAAAAATTGATTAAACATGAGAAATATTATTACATATTGAATCCGTATCAGTGATAACGTACATTTACTCAATATGTTCCTTCCAATGGATCATCATTTAACATGAAACAAGGAAAGCAGCGATCAAGAAAAAGATTTAAAAACACACACATTTCAATATGACAGTAGTGATTCGGTCATGCATTTACATTCGAGAGTGTCATGCTTTCTTTGAAAGTAATGATTGTGCCAAATTTGAACAAAGTCAGTTTACATTCGCGGTCTATAGGTAGAGTGTTGACAGATCAAACGTACAAAAAAACAAAGAAAAAACCAGACCTATAAAAATATATTTCTAAAACTCTTCTAATTTTGAAATAATATTGTTTTCGCGTGTGCTAAGTGTTTCAGCGAATACATGTAGTTACAGAAAGGGTCTTGTAGATTAAGACTATAGCGCATGTGCAGTTTCAAACTTCCGAGACGACAAGTCGACAAGTCGATGATACGACAAAACCAAACTGTCGTATCATCGACTTGTCGACTTGTCGTCTCGGAAGTTTGAAACTGCACATGCGCTATAGTCTTAATCTACAAGACCCTTTCTACAACTATTCGCTAAAACACTTATCACACGTGAAAACAATATAATTTCAAAATTAAAAAAGGTTTAGAAAATATATTTTCATAGATCTGTTTTTTTAAAGGTGTTATCTGTCAACCCTCTGGTATAACTACAGACTGCGGAACTAGATGTTCAAATTTGGCATAATCATTACTTTCAAAGACAGGATGGCATGAAATGAAATGAGATGGAGTTTAACGTCCTACTGTTCTCTCCTAAACTGGGCTAAAGACGACGGGCATACGCCATACAGTGTGCTATGAGGGAATTTTGCCCGGGAAGCGGCGCTACGGCCCGCTCTTATATCGAAATCCAACTGCCAAGGGATCTTTTACGTGCACGCCAATGTGTACACGGGACCTCGGTGTTTCGTCCCATCCGAACGACTAGACAGCTGTCATTGTCAGGCCCTCCGTCCCGCATCACTGACAAGGGGGAACCACGCCGGTAAATCTTGATGAATTTTGTCGGCCAATGCAGGGATCGAACCAATCTGTGAAAAAAGTCGTCTAATATCTCTGTTAAAGATGACTGTTTTCAACACATGCAATCACGTCACGCGGTGTCAATCATTGGACCAATGGCGCGTGCATTGTTTATATAAGACGTAACTGCTTCGGGTAGAATGATGCCTTTTACTCATTTTAATACCCATTTACGCTACATAGGAAATATTTTTTACCTACAAATACTTCAAATGTCTTTATTTATTTTTCTAATACATAAAAAAAAAATTTTTAGAATTAAATTTGTCGGAGGAATAATGTTAATATTGGGGACTCATTAAGTCGCATCGATGTCATTCTTATCAGAGGCCTAGCGAATATTCACTTCTGATCAGTGTGGGATCGAACACCCGACCTCCAGGCTAGCTAGCCAGCGTCTTGCCCACGTAGCCACGCGATCCTCTGAAAGGATGATACTCTCGGGTGTAAATACATGACCGAACCAGTACTGTCATATTGAAGACGGGCATACGCCATACTATGAGCGAAATTTTGCCAGGACAGCGCACTATGGCCTACCATTATATCGAATTCCAACTACCAAGGGATATTTTACGTGCCAGGCCCTCTGTCCAGCACAACTGACAAGACCTCGTCGGAAAATCTGGATGAACTTTCTCGTCCAACCAACGTCTTACCTGCCTAGACACTGCGACTCCCCCGCAAAATATCAAGCACCAAAAACAATGGATCGAGGCCTAGATGATTACACACTATGAAAGCCTCATACGCCCCCCCCCCCCCCACGTCTCTTATTTTGTTTTACAAATAATTTCAGAATCAATAAAATGATATCAATGATGTTTGATACGACTGAAAAATAACATGTATAGCATTGATTAAACAACATAGGTAGTAATGAGAAATATTACATATTGAATCCGTCTTAGTGATAGCGTAGATTTACTCAATACGTTCTTTCCAATAGATCATCATTTAACTTGAAACAAGGGAAACAGTCGATCGAAGAAAACAGATTTTTTAAAAAAAAAAAAACAGGTTTCAATGTGACAGTAGTGCTTCGGTCATGCATTTACCTCCGAGAGTGCCATCCTTTCTTTGAAAGTAATGATTGTGCCAAATTTGAACAAATTCCATCTAGATTCGCGGCCTGTAGGTAGAGTGTTGACAGATCAAATGTAAAAAAAACAAAAAAAACAAAAACCCCAGACCTATAAAAATATATTTTCTTAAACTCTTTTAACTTTGAAATTATATTGTTTTCATATGTGCTAAGTGTTTTAGCGAATATTTATAGAAGGGTCTTGTAGATAAAGACTATAGCGCATGTGCAGTTTTAAACTTCCGAGACGACAAGTCGACAAGTCGATGATACGACAGTTTAGTGTTTTGTCGTACCGTCGTATCATCGACTTGTCGTGGCGATAAGTCGATGATACGACAGCACGACAAAATAAGGTCGATGATACGACAAAATCAGACGATCTTACGACAGTTTGTTCTGTCGTAAGATCGCCCGATTTTATCGTAAGATCGTGTGATTTTATCGTAAGATCGTGTGATTTTGTCGTGCCGTCGTATCATCGACTTGTCGTGGCGATAAGTCGATGATACGACGACACGACAAAATCACACGATCTTACGACAAAATCACGCGATCTTACGACAGAACAAACTGTCGTAAGATCGCGTGATTTTGTCGTGTCATCGACCCGATTTTGTCGTGCCGTCGTATCATCGACTTATCGCCACGACAAGTCGATGATACGACGGCACGACAAAAAGCGAAACTGTCGTATCATCGACTTGTCGACTTGTCGTCTCGGAAGTTTAAAACTGCACAGTGCACATGCGCTATAGTCTTAATCTACAGGAACATTTTGAGTAAATGTATCATTGATACGGATTCAAAATGTAATATTTACTACCCTAAATCATTGATACGGATTCAAAATGTAATATTTACTACCCTATGTTGTTTAATCAATTTTAGACACATTAATTTCCAGTCGTGTCAAACATCATTGATAGGGACCTACCATTTTATTGATTCCGAAATTATTTGTTAAACAAAATAAGAGGGGGGGGGGTGCGTAGGGGACTTTCGGAGTGTGTTCATAGCTGAAGGCAATACTGGGCCTATTTTTAATCATCTAGGCCTCGATCCCATTAGTGATGCCAAACGGATGAATATGCGATAAGGTCAATAACAGCTGCAAATCGCTTTCTTCACCTCATAAAAAACCTCCCCTGCACTTATTGGGATGGCGTGCTACACCAATGCGGTGATTTTATGTGGTCTGATTTGAGGTTTTATATAATCCCCTTCCCACTCTAATAAAATAAATTGGAAATCTTCTGAAATCGCTTCTAAACTATCGCTTCAGTAATCTATAAGTATTGGTGGGTGTCGTACACGAGGCAATGCATACTTGTTCGATACCTACCGACACCACTTCTTATTCAAGGAATTAACATAGCTGACTCACTTTTGTCCTGCTATTATGATTCTAGATTTTTTGAATGTAATACCAAATATAATTCAATTTTGGGCGCAAAATGTTTCATTGTTTTTTAGAAAACGAATCAACGTTTTCCTATTATCTCTTTTGACGAGTCTTATTTATATGTATCTATGTATATGTATCTGATGTAATGAGTACAGCTGTATTTTTGTGACTTGTAGAAAGAGACTAGGACAATAAGTCGACATCTCGACGTTACGATAAAAATAACACGATGATACGACAGAGTTAAGTGTCGTATGATTGCGTCAATACTGTCGTGATGTCGTGTTGTCGCGCTATGAAAAGGGCGAGATTTAACATGGCCACTATCAGCCACCATACCTGCTCGTGTTTGTTTTAAAACAACAAAAACAAGCCACAGAAGTAATCATTTTTGGCGTTATCGATGCCATCTTGCTTTGTTGGTAAACATTGTGACGTGACGTCACCCTTAGAACTACAGCGGTCTGACCTTTTAAAGGTCAGTCATCTTGGACAGAGATAAAAGACGGATGTCGCATTAGGTCTGTAAAACAGATTGACACTCGCCATGTGGGACTAGGCGTTCAGGATACGAATACTTTTGACAATTTGTAGGAGTATTAACGTATAATTCGAGCCATGGATGTAATCTGTATTTGCCACAGTGAACAGTGAGAATATCCTCTTAAAGATTCATTATGGGAGATTCGGTAACGAGTTGGCAGTTCTCACTATAATAGTTAAAAACTAGATAATATAAAGGCAATTTCGTGAAAATTTCAGTCAAATTGATCCACCGTGAACCGAGAACTAAGCGACCGAAATTCCCATAAGCCTTGGTCATCATTACTGAAGTTGGGACGATAAACAGCATAGTCTCGATTATCCATTTAATCGTTTAATTGAGAAGGAAAGTTATGCAGTAATCGGCTTACAATCCACTAAAGATCGCAGGCTAGCGCTGCCATCTAGAGTTGATTATGGCCTGGATAGGTTAATTAATGTCTAATTAATAATTTAGATAACATTTCAGGCCTAAAGAAAGACCTGCAATAGGCAGATTTAGCTCTTGCATAATGTATGTTTAGTAAGATCTAAGATGGAAGCTGTTTGGGAGGTTGTTTTAAAAATAATATTAATTTGCTGTATTATATTATAGGTGCCAGTATAAATAATATCAGTTCACCTGTAGCAAGTAAGTACAAAACATACATAGTCTCTTGTAATTCAAATTCATATTTATCAGAAATCAAATTGTTTTGTTCGGGAACATTTAAATCATCGGAATATTAAACTAATTTTAACTTACGTGTACGAGCAAGCAAGCGGCTGACATTCTTAAGCTCGAAACTTTGTAAATAATTGTAATTTAGTAACTGTTTTGGATATGTTGACTAGTTCTCTGTAAAAACATATAAGTTACCGGCAGACTAAAAATGTGAGATTATTGAGGTTTCTCAAGACCCGCGGTGGCTCAGTGAGTAAGACGTGAGCTAACCAGGAGGTAACGTGTTTAATCCCAGTGCTAGCCGAAAAAAGTTCATGGTGACTTTTCGACGTGGTTCCCCTTGTCACTGGTAGAATGGAGGGTCTAGCAAGGGACAATGTATAGTAAGTAGTTCTGATATCACGAAAAACCGAGGTCCTATACATGAAAGCATGTATGTAAAATAACTCTTGACAATTGGAATACGAAATAAGAGTAGGCCGTAATGCCGCAAAATTTATCCCATAGCACACTGTAGGGCGTATTCCCGTCTTCATTAGCCAAGTCGGAGCAGAATAGTAGGACGTTAAACTCCATTTCATTTCATCTAGTTTTCTCCTTTGTTAATACAGAAACAGTCATATATCTATATTTATTGTGTTTTTCAGAATGTAGAAGTCATGAGTTTGATTGTTCTAATAAAGAATGTATATCTATGTCCTATAAATGCGATGACTATAATGACTGTGGTTGTACTTCCGGTTGTGATGAAGATGACTGTAAAGGATTAGACATGAGTGAGTCACATTACTAACTTAATTATACATTAATATCCTGGTGAAAAACATAACATATTGTCTAATAGGCCTACAGTAGTTAATCGTGACTCCGTAACCAATGTGGTTCGGTTCCATACCGGTTTGGTCCTGTTGTTTTTGGAGCCGCGATGGTTTATGATCCTCGGGATTTTCCAACATGCTTTCACCTTGTCAATGGTATAAGAGTCTAGTCGTTCGGTTGGGACGATAAACCAAGGTCCCGTGTACACATTGTATGCACGTAAAAGATTCCCTGATAGTACTGTTGGAACCTTAAATAAGAATAGGCCGTAGTGCCGTTGTCCGGGCCAAATCTCCTTCATAGCACACACTGTATGGCGTATGGCGTATGCCCTTTTAATTATCCCAGTCGGTGCAGAAAAAAAAGACGTTAAACCCAATTTCATTTCATTTTGATTCTGTTTTCTTACGGTAATTATTTTATAACAGCCAAGTAGCTGGTTTAATGAATCTATGTTAAAAAGATGGTGAGGTTGGTTTACAGAGTAGACACATTGCCACTGGGATTTATCTAAGTTGCCCCTTAAACCGATTACATATTTATATATTTATTATTATTTACAGCTCTTGGTGTTATGTATGCTATAGGAAGCTGTGTTGCTTTAATTGTGTTTTTGACAATTTGTATGGGTGTATACGTATTTGAAAGGAAATTCCATTGGGCACATATAAAAAAACTGGAAAGCTCGGCAAAACTTCAAAATGGCAGAGGAAAGTGAGCAATGCTAGTTCCACCTGGCATTGATTATGCATTTATTTCAAGGACAATACTCGTTTTTTGTTTTTATATATATGGAGTGAATAAAAACTTCAAAATGAAAATGGTTTGACTTATTTATTTTAAAGATAACCTCTCAGTGTTTTTCTATTTCTGTTTGGTGTTTACCATCTGAGGCTTCTGTCAGCGAACTTTAGTCCAGGGGCCAAGTGAAGGGGTTTTAGCTCTTGAGTTTTGTACCTTAGTATAAAATTGACAGATTCTGACCTGGCTTAGATATGCTACAAATCGACTCTTTATTATAGCATGTTCAAAGCAGTGTAGTAATTCTCGGAGAGTTACCCCCCTCTTCCATTGACGATACATAAAATTGTTGTTTGTGCCCCGCTCGGCATCTTGTTCCGCATACAATATCAGCGATCATCACACCACTGCTTCAAGTGCGGCATACCAATGGTATTTTATGGGATCAAACTGTTTAATCCTAAAAGTATGCAATAGAAATCGTAGCCGTATTTTATCTCAACAGAGCAATGAAACATCGTAAACTGTAATGATCATTCGGCTACATAAAATCACAACAAAACTTTTTTGTTAAGTAACATCGTTAGAACTTTATTATGTATGATACACATCGTAAAGGTATAAATTTATCCTCAAAAATAAAAAAATCAAATATTATGACAAAAGACAAAAAAGAACATGGACATATTCTATCCCATTGTGACGAAGGTTTACTTTTTATCATAAGGCACAAAACATATGGCTACTTAAGAAAGTAATAATGTATATAAGCTATCGCGACTAGAAACGAATAATGGCGGATTATGAAAAATGCAAAAATATATACTATTGCCTAAAGCTCTGTGCACACAAAACACCATTTGTCGCCGACAGACGATTTCTATTCGCCGATTCCCGATAACGGCTTCAACAAACAATCTCAATCTGATTAAAACACAGATCCTATTTCGTTTTACTTGTCTTTACTACACTAGGATCAGGAAGAGTTGTTATATAACCCGCGTTCTGGTTGATGTGAGGGATTAGCCAAATAAACGGTCTGCAGCAGAGAGTTCTTGGCGTGCGAGGCACGGAACTGTGGGTGTCCCACTAGGAACATCAACGCTGGTTAATCAAATTCTGACTCATAGGGTCAAAAGCCGCTCGTATAACCCCTGAAGCGATCTCTCACTACAACTTGCAAGATCTTAATGTGGTAGAGGGCATCGAAAGTATAAAAAAAAAAACGAAACGAAATATAGATCTGTATTTTAATCAGATTGCAAACAATCTCCGCTGTAACCATGGCACAACCATGGTTGTATAATTAATTGACTGCTGACCAATGATTATCTGTTGGTGAGAGAAAATCGACGACAAATAACCCTTTGTGTGAGCAGACCTCTGTTAATTAGAATTTAAATATTCAATATCCATTTAAGGCACGGTCATTATCATTCAAAAATTAACTGAGTCACTTAATTAGCTACCGGATTCCCTCAATTTCTCTCACAAGTCCCATAGGCTTTAACTTTAAAAGATCCACGGAGATAAACTGATTATTTGAAACATTTTGGACTGATATTGCTTTCACAATATTGTAAGTGATTCCTATAGTGCTAAAATGATGCATCGGGACTTTAAACGCACGAGCGCAAGCCAAACAGATTCAAACCACAAATGCCTCAGTAAATACTGAATAGATTTAACTCAAATAAATGCAATAATTCATAATCATTATTATGTCCCTTTATATAAAATGGAAAAACAAAAGAGAACCTCTTAAAATAGCTAGCCCTCTTTGATCTGGATCAAAATAGAATTGTCGATTTTACTGAACTTCATGTCTTGATTATATTGTAGATGACAATCCCCCTTGTTCAGATTTTATTTTACCTAAATGAAAGTGCCCTTAATATTGCCTGTCTTCATAAGCCCAGTCGGTGCAGAAAAGTAGGACGTTAAACACCATTTCATTCCTTTACTATTTTATAAATAAAGTATATAATAAATATATAATCTATTTATGTGACTCTAGTGCTCAATCAAACACACCATTGTTTCTGTGAGTATTACAGTCTAAAATATATATATATATAACACAGGCCTCTTATATAAAAGTGTAGATGGTTTACCACTGTATCCTAGTTTACAGCCCCTCCCCCACCTCCTTTTATCCCCAGGACCACAGGACCCACTAATACCGGAGGAATACTATTATTATTAGATGTGATAAAATAACATGAAACTGATGAGACTAGAAATGTTACGCATTTCTATATAAGTACGTTCCAAGTGTTTATCAAGATGTCAAAAAACAAAAACAGATATAAAATGAGCAAAGACTAAAACAGCCACGTGGAATGCTAAAGATAGAATATTAAGTAATGTAGCCAGGGCTTGAGTTAAGATCTGGAATAGATCTGAATATGGAATGTACGAATCTCCATTGGTTGAAGAATTATATTAAAAGGTGCATCCAGATGTAAAGTACTTTGTTCTGAACCTGAAAAGAGAAATTACCACATAGTCAACTTGGGATATTCTATTGTACGAAATACATTTATCGGATTTCGGTGTAAATGAATTTAATTTAAGTCATTTGGAAAGTTAACAGTCACCTCCACCCTAGAGAATTCATTCTAACAAAGGTTTCACAAGTTTTCATTGTCTTTCATATAAAGTGCAGGAGGACCGCAAAACACACTTGTAAAAATTTCATGGGCTAAGGGGGCCTTTTAGTGCCACTAAAATGAAAAAAAGGTACTCAACCAAACCATGACACCAGGATGGCCAGATACCTACTATTCGTGTTGATCGTTACTAAGATTTAGACTGGAAATCGGTTCCAGTCGTGACTCTTATTTTATGACCATAAGGAAAGTATTCAATTCTAAAGACATAACTAAAATATTGTCAAAATTTATTTTAAAACAATGTACCTATTTGTTCTGGCGTTAATAAGCCATCATCGGTTTTCCATTGCATACGTTTTACTTCGTTTGCCTTGAAATTAGCACCCAGACTAAGTTCACTTATAGCTATTATGTCAAAAGATTCAAAAAGATTCTGAAAGAAATAGAAATATAGTCATTAACAACGATTGCTCCTCAATGTGAAGTCAAATAACAGGTTTATTATTATCATAATGTACATCAGATAACATGTGTTTGTTCAGTTTCCAGTTTTATCAATGTTGCACCATGCAATATGTATTTGAAGTGGGAATATCGAGGGATTTCGGTTGGAAAACCACATACAAAAGCTACATTGGACAACTATTCATAGGCCGGAAAAGCATGAAGACGGGTTTGCCGAAGTCTTCATTTTCAAAATTTTCTGAAATAAGCTTTCGTAGTTCTGGGTCGACCTTTAGGGAATTATTTCAGCCCACCAAAATTCGTCGACTCGTACACCTATGTATATTGTCTTGTATCTTTCCTGATTAGGCCACGTGATCATACACGTAGTGCTCACATACGAATGCACACCATATCTAATCAATATCTGCCAGTGAAAGTAGAGATGGTTTACTTGTTGAGCGCTCGAACAGGGGCAAACAAAGATTTTCTCACGCGCGAAGGCGGAAATATTCCTGCTTCAGCACTTATGCGGAAAGATGACAAAAATCTCATGACATTGTACACGACATATTAAATTTAAAATAGAGAGAGAGAAATGGGTTTAACGTCCACTCGACACAAACTAGGTCATTTCGGGACTAACATATGGTTTAATTTTATTTCAATAATTCGCTTGCGCGTAGGGGTCTTTAGCAGTGGAAGGAAACCGGAGGACCAGGAGAACCGGGGATTCGAAACCACGCCAGTTGACTCAATTACAGGCTTTATGATACAGCGCACACGTGCTAACCATTCGGCCATCCAACCCCCCTGACATATTTAAAATAATAAAGACGTATTAATACATACCTCTAATTGTAATGACGCTGATTGTGAATATAATTTATGTTCATTTACTTCATATAAATGTTCTATTCTTAACAGATATATTTCACGTTCACCTTTTTTAGTTTGATCTAATGTTAATACATGTAAATTAGGTGGAATAACATTACGTAAGCCAGACCACTGTAAATATAAAGAGTAGAATTACGTTTATTATTGTTTTAAATCAACACAAATTATCGACTATTTGTAAAGTTGGTAGGGTGCTTTAAATTCTCGATCTAAATGTAACTCCACAAATAGGTTTAAAAATATACATTAAACACTAAAATGGCCGACAAAAAGTTTCACCGTTCACAAGTGGTGTTAGATTTGTTTAAACCCGACACTCGCATAGATTCAGATAGTTTTACAGGATCGCAGAGATTCAGATAGTGTACAGTAGAGGTGCAGATAGTTGTACAGTACCACATAGATTCAGATACTTGTACAATACCACAGAGATTCAGATAGTTGTACAGTACCATAGAGATTCAGATAGTGGTACAGTACCACAGAGATTTAGATAGCTGTACAATACCACAGAGATTCAGATAGTTGTACAGTATCACAGAGATTCAGATACGTGTAGTTTGCAGTACCAAGGAGATTCGGGTGGCTTTACATAAGTGGGATACAACTCTCTAAGAATCATGATACAGAATTTACGTGCGTTTGAGCAACTAAAATATATCTGGCACGGCTCCTTTAAAGAAAACATATTTGGTATGCAACTGCTGATGGAAATCTTTTGGTAAAAATGGAGGCAATTAATAAGAATAACGTGACACCTAAAGAAAAAAAATATAAGAATACAGCAGGTGCATTTCAATTAGATACTGACACTAATAACGGCTGTGTTCCGGAAGCTAGAAGCTAGAAGATTTTTCAAGTAAGGTTTGCAACTTGAGAATAAATCGGACGGATGTCATGTTGAAAGAGTTAGAGGCAACTTGTAACTTGGTTCTCAAATAACAAAGACACATTCTATGGTTGTAAGTTTGATACAATGTAGAATTAATTGCCTACCTTTGTATTATAAAGATTTGTCCATTCACTGTAACTTTTGGTAGTTTGCATAAAACTCAGGGTTGGAGGCAAATGTAATTCTAGAGCCATATCACGAGCCATCTTGGCAGAGTTTTCTTTAGTGTCGACAAATAGGTAATGTTTACCTGAAACAGAAAAAAACCCATTCACTAGTGTGTTTTGTCCGCTCTTTTTCTTATTGTCATTTTATTTTCATTTTGAGATATCTGTGTACATTATGTATCGTGTCCGCAGGTTTGTCTTGTGTATTTTGTGTGGCGCGGTCCCCCTGCACTTACAAAAAACTGTCTCCTGTTACATGAAATACGTCAGAAGAAAATTTCCCCCGGATCAACCAACTCCCTCTCTCCTGTTGAAATATGACACGAGTTTTTGTATGTGTACTTCGTTTCTACAGAGATGGAAATGAAATGGAATGATGGGTTTTACGTCCCACCGGGCTTAAGAAGATGGGTACACGGGTGGGCGTTTATTTCATACCGTACGAACGAATGGAAGACTTTCCTTGTGAGACTTGAAGGCGGTATCCATCGCCAGAGAGAATTGGTATTCTGCTCGGCTTACGTCACGATTCGTAATAGGTAGCAGAGAGTTTATTTCACTAATAATGGATCGATTACGTCATCCCAGAATCAATGATAAATAATAATAGGACAAGAGACAAAACTATCATATATCACCCTTATACCTTTATAAGTTATACCCTTATTATCTACATCTAGTTCATTCAGATTTTCAGACACGCCTAAACCATCATCTCTAAACAGTCGTCTGTGTACCTGTAAAAAAAACCCAACAATAATCCCTGTTCAAGTTTCACCAAAATCGGATGCAAATTTTGACGTCTAGAATGCCTGCAAGCTAAAAACGTGATTCTTCGTATAATCAGGGGCCATTATCCATGAAGTTACTGTCCGATACATGCCAATATCGAAAGGAACCGGGATCTTTGGGAGGTAAATCTATATTTCACGTTTCGTCAAAAATCGGATAAAAATTTTGACCTGTAGACTGTCCACAAACAAATTGTGGACGGACGGACGGACGACGGACTGGAGCGACGACAATATACGTCCAAATAAAAATATGGGCGTATAAAAAATGACCAACGACAATATACGTCCAAATAAAAATATGGGCGTATAAAAAAAATGACCAACAATTTATCTCAATGTCTGTGTGACCTTGTTTCGTGGGGATGTGCAGTACTTATAAGAAAATAGAAGATTTCTACTTCCGATATGTTTCCGTCGATTTCAAACGATGCATGAAAGGACAGGGAACACTAAATTATTACCATTTTAACTTAAACGTTATAGTTATCTGATAAGAGATGAAGTACAAAAAAAAAAGTAAACTAACCATTAATTCCATGGCGCCATCTTGTATACTGCCACCAGCTTGACACCTGTCAGTCATAAGTGTTATTCTAGTGTCACGACTATCATCTTGTATAAACATTCTACTTGTAATAGGATAGTAATTACCAGAAACAGGTTCTATAACATCTAGTTTCCATGTTTCTCTTTTATCTCTCCTGTAACACAAATAATTAAACATAATTTACTTGTCTAAATAAAGAAATAACTTACACAACTATGGAAGTCTATAACTCTCATTCGTAATTTCTACTTTTCGCCCCTTCAAAAAAAACAAAGTCGAAAAGTAGATGTATTAATTTCCTAATTTCTACTTTTCGAGTTGCATTTTGGCTTGGTATGCGTGTTGGCGCCTTCTTATTGACATAAATAAATACAAAAATATGACAAATTCGGCAAGACGGTATACAAGTCGAAAGTAAACAAGGCGGTATACAAGCCAAAATGAATTTGAAAATTAGAAATTAGGAAAAAACGAGGGGCTTTATTATTGTTGTGTATTATTTCTTAATTTCCTATTTTCGAGTCGATTTTGGCTTGTATATCGTGCTGTCGCCTCACATTTTCCTCACATTTTGTCGTAACTTCTACTTTTCGTCTTTTGTGTGCCGAAGTGGAGTAAAGTAGAAATTATGAATGGTTGTTATAGGCTTCCATACACAACTACATACAAGTGTCAATTCGCGCTTCAGGATATGTTTGTTTTTAAATGTCTATTTTAATCTCTGATACTTGGTTGTATCTCATTTCAATATCAATTCCTGCATAATAGTGGGATATATTACATAAGTAACCTGGTTCGTTAAGCCAGAACAACAAGCTAGATGTTTGACAACTCATTATCTTTGTCTGAAGAATCCTATTTATTACATATTTGTAGGTATCAAGAATGTTTTTATTTGATCAGGTTTATCCGTGTCTAAGTGGGAGCCGCGGTGACTCCGTGAGTAAGACTTTGGTCCGGTTTTCGATCCTGTGTTGGCCGAGAAAGGTCAACGGAATTTTTCGGCGTGGTTCCTCCTTGTCAGGACATAGGGCCTGGCAAGGGATAATCGTTCAGATTGGACGGACATCTGAGATCCCGTAGTATACATTGGCATGCACGTAAAATAACTCTTGACAGTTGGAATTCGAAATAAGAGTAGGACAAGTGCTACTGTGCGGGAAAAGTTTCCTTCATAGCACGCTGTATGGAATATGCACGTCTTCATTAGCCCGGATGGAGCAGAACAGTATAGGACGTTAAACCCCATTTCACTTCACTTCCGTTTCTATCTAGAAACTAAGTAATGATCTTTGCTAAAACCTATTTGTTTACACAAAGTAACACACCAGGGCCTGTTTCTCGAAATCTTAACACAAGATAAAATCCAATTTTAGTAGATACTTAAATTTTGATTGGCTAAGCACTTAAATCAATCTAATATTATCCAATCAAATTACTCAAATTTGGATTTAATCTTAGTTAAAATTTCGTGAAAAGGGCCCCAGACTAACGATCATTCCATGTTTTTGTAGTCACGGTCTATTTATAGATGACTATTGATAACACATTAAATGTATAACACTCACGTTCTTTTCAGCATTTCTCTACCATTTGAATCTGTGTAGAAATGGCCTTCCGATTTTATATCTGTTTTAAAATGTGAGATAACTTCTCGACCTTCATAACCTCTGTAAAATATTGTTAAAGATGCCATGAAAGAGGTAATATACTCCCTGATTATAATATTTACAAAACAACAAGTTTATCATTCCGCATAAGATAAGTATAACAAGCCTGCCTATACGGTAAGATTAAACTTGATTAGGATCTACAAAAAATCGTCGATTTCATTTGAATTTAGATGTTGATTTGTATTGTAGGATAACATCTGGTCTTCGTTGAAAATTATATCTCCGCAGTGAGATATAACCGATTTTGTATCGACACAATAAGCGTCAATAGGCATATGCCAAAAATCAGTATACACTTCCGCTTAATCGATCAAAACAAAAAGTAATCAATCATACTTCATCACTAATCTTAATGACACACCAGATCAACCACAATCAATACTTTATTTTCAAATAATTCAAGAAGCTCCTTTATAATCAACCGCGATTCCATACGGTCTTAATAAAAACTATAAAAATCATATTACTGGTTAGGTATAGGTCCAACTTGCCACTCTAATTCCACATATTTAGCTGTATCATAAAGTCGTATTATCTGTGTAACCCAGTCGCTGAATGCTTGACGTATTTCTTGTACATGTTCTCCCTTGAAAATAACAAATCTATCTTTATACGGGGCATCGGTTTTCTGTCCTATCCGAACGACTAGACATACGTGTCCAGAAGACCTGGGGACGGACTTGGAAAATCCCACGTCAGAATGTAAATCCGATTCACAACAAGTGAGGGGATAGGGGAAGGTGGACCGAGAGAGCGGGGCCAGACGCCCCCCTCCACATTTAAACAGACATAAATGGCTAATGCTGCATGGGCACCTGCAAATGTTTCAGAACACTGCTGAATAGGGGTCCAGGGAAGGGAGACCTGAGGGTCAGTTCCTTGTCTTACACCCCTTAAAACATCTAGTTTCTTTTTTAATCCATACATGTTGAAAAGTAACAAAGTAAAACATTTACTAAACAGCCCAATTAGAAAACCGAATGCTCCTTTTCCCGTGATTATTTATAATTCGCATCGCACCGCTATTTTTCAGTTCACCCACGAACCCTACAAAAAAATCCTGGATCTATGCTTGCAGAATTCAAAAACCTTTACTTAAAAATCAAGTAAAGGATCGCACTATGGACCAGGAACTAATTCACCAAATCGATGCAGAATTGTTCAAAGAAGAAGCATGTCGATCGGACTTACATTGATGGAGCTTTAGGCTTTTTCGAAGAGCGCCACCCCAAGAAGAACAATATGAATAGCGGTAGTTCCTGGTCCAAAAACGATTTCCATGATAGTTTGTCACTGTTTTAATTCTAATTGTTTATTGAATGCATTAAAATCACATCTGTGATTGCGTGCATATTAGTCCCATGGGACAATTTTGGAAATCTCTTTACTTGGTCTACCGGTTTGAATGGATCTTCGTGAATAATTTGTCTCAAAACTAATCTCAATGTACAACTACCGCCGTCAATTTGAAAGAGATAAATGTAGAAATTGATTGTTAGGGCTATTCAATGTCATTGAAACAACAGTTTGTCCCGTAGAGGCCAATTTAATTATTAAAGACTTGCACAGACCGAGCAATATAGTCATTCGTCTGCGGTGAATTACACAGCTCGGCAGATAGTATAAACTTTTCGTTAGTTATGATGTGCATCCCCGACAAACCGCTGACGTTGATGTATCTATTTAAATATGTACTCTTTTATAATGGAGATGGTTTAAGACTGGCAGTCACGATGGCTTTGTGAGGTCCCGTGATTTCTCACTTTGGTTTCCCCTTGTCAGGGTGCAAGAAACTGTGTCCAGCAGTTCGGATGGGACGACAACTGGGGTCCCGTGTACACGTTGGCGTGCACTAAAGAAGACTTGAGGAAAAATAGGAAGAAACGCAATTGTCCGTGCAAAATTCCTCTCATAGCAGACTGCATGGCGTCTTCATTATCCCGGTTGGTGTAGAAAAGTAGGACGTTAAACCCTATTTCATGTTTAGTTTTGTATAAATTAACTGTTGGGCGCTTTAATAGACATTACCATGTAACTAAGAAGGCGGTGGGGGAATTCTTATGTATTAGGCCAGTATCCACCCCGACCCAATCTTTGGCGATAAATCGACAATCCGAACTTGGTTTGGTACCGTGTTTTGCTGGGAAGATATCCCCCACGTAATAAGAAATAGGCCTATCGAAAACAAATTATAATCATTAGGTAGTGCAGACCTGTACCAAGACTCTGCAATTGTCATATATATGTACCTTGAATAATTCAACTTTAACAGGATTCTGTCCTCTCACTTTAGTGGGATCTTTAAATTTTGGAATGAAGACGTAAGCGCCCGATGCTCTCATACCCATATCACCAATATAGTAATAAAAATCTTGTTCCATTTTGACTTCCATACCATTTTTTATATTCTGTACTGATTTGAGTATACCATCTGTACCAAAGCTAACCTTTATATGCTGTACAAAAAATAAACAATGAAGAAGAAAAAATATGATTATCTGCGATATGGGCATTAGTAGATATATAATCTTCTGGATAACAGCACCTGTTGTTTTAAGCGAGGAAATGTCAAAACGAAGCTAGACTGTACAGTAGAGCTAGTCACATCATAATACCAGTAGCAATATGTTATTTAAGTGACCTTTCAACAGGACATATCAGAGCTGCCTGGACTTAAAAGTCATTAAATATAAACTATTTTAAAATCATTACACCAGCCCAATTACCTCATTTTGAATAGTAAATTCTTCTCCATTCATAGTTTTAAGGGGTTTTGCCCTTTCTCCTTCTGTAAATATAAATTGTGGACTAAAATGTGCAAATAAATTTAATATGAACCTAATAAAATCAGTTAATTCAAAACAGGCTATTTTAAATTAATGAGAAGCACGAGTCCTAAAACTGGAATAAAGGGGGGTGTTAATCGTCCACTAAATAAAAACTAGGTTATTTCGGGACTGACACAGTGGGTTTTTTCACATTGAGAGGAAACAAGATTGGGCAGGCAACTCTACTCCTTGCCATGTATATGCACAATGCCGAATTCTAGACCATTTACATCCACAGCAGACTTTATCAACGTTTGACCCTTGTACTTCAAAAATTTCCCTCATAGACCTCTGCATGGTGTATGCTCATCTTCATTAGCCAAATTGGAACAGAAAAGTAGAACGTTAAACCCCATCTCATTTCTAATGTTGGCACGCTGCAATCAGCCATTATAAAGGCATTTCGTATCGTTCATAAAATTCACGAATTCTTACCTGTAGTACTTTTGACATAGAAACTACCGTAACCTAGGGGAGATAATTTAGCCGGGAACACCAGTTCATATTCTGCTTTAGATTTTCTACCAGGAAGGGTTTTAGTTTTATCATCAACAGGAAGTATCTGGTAATATAAGAACACAAATTGTTCCAATAACAGACGTTATACACAACACTTTGGAATTGCTTTAAATGAACGCCGTCATTCACTTCGAAAGCCTTAGATAAAACAGAAACCATGCACCTTATAACAGATTTTTAGCTCCATGGAAAAACTATTATTTTCACATCCAGGTATAATCTTTTCCCAATTTTTTCAGCGTTTTTTGTCCAAACAGCTTAAAAGATTATATCGACTGCCCAAATCTGACAACACTCTTATACAATTACAGTCTGATTAAAATACAGATTAATATTCCGTTTCGTTTTTATACTTTCTTTAGTCTCCACTACATGAAGATATGATCGGTTGTGGTGGAAGGTAGCATCAGGTGCGGCTTTTGACTCTATGTGTTCAGTCATTGGATTAACCAATCAGCGTCGATGTTTTGCTTTGATTTGTTTTCTATCTCTTCGATTGTCTACCTACAGTTCCACGCTCCTCACGCAAAGAACTCGACCCAACAGAACATTTGATTGGCTAATATCTTACATCAACCAGAACGCGGGATATTTAACAACTCTTCCAGATACCGGTGCAGTGAAGACAAACAAAACGAAATTCTGAACTATAAAAAACGAAACGAAATAGGTTCGGTAGTAGCACAATTAAAATTACGAAATGAAATGTTTTTGAATGTTATAATTAATTTGAAACTTACATCTAGTTTAAGTTGTTGAGAGTTAGGATCTGTAACTGTATATGATGTAGAAGAGACGGGTAAACGTACCCAATAATTCACATGACGGGATAAAGGATTGTATAGGTTCACAACAAACTGAAATAGCATATTACATATTACAGCTGGTATCAGGTGTGTGTGTGAGTGTGTCTGTGTGTTGGGTGGGGGAGGGGGTATACTATGAAACTAATGAAGCTTAAGCTTTCAGGGTCCCTAATCCTAGTGAGTCCCCAGACGCGACTTCTGTCCACATTACTTAACAATTGAAGGTGTACTGCGTGGGTCGTTGCTACACAGAATCGGGAACTGTATTATCACAAGATGTATTGGTATTATCCCAGGTAGACTGAGGACGAGTGTGGGGTTTTGGAGAAGATAGCGTTGGTAAGTAAGACTTCGTTGGAGGGGGGAGGGGGGAGAGTAGTTTAAGCTTCAGGTCCGAAACTTCCAAAATGTGTTACTCATGACAAATAAGAAGTATATATAATCAAGTGTTCTGAAAAACAAAGTAGGTATATACTACTAGACTCTTCTCAAAAAGTGAAACAATGATTTACTCTTTTTATCTGTTACAAAAAGATGTCGATACCAACCCGTGATTATTATGATAAGCTATATACCTGTTGTGAGTTTTCTGTTGATGAACATTCTGATATATTCAGATTATAACAAAATTCTTGTTGTGGTGGTTTAACACTGGTCTGTGGTAACATTATTTTATAAGCCTCATCTATCACAGACTGCAATGCAAAATTGTCCAATACACCACCCATGAATCTATGGATTTCTAAAACTAGAACTGCAGTGCAGTGCTGACAGATTTCACAGTTTAAGATTTAAAAGATGCTATAAAAAATGAAAGAAAACATGACGCAAGACTTAACATATCTTAAATCAAAATAGCTAGACACTTTAAAGTTGGATTCTCATTATAAAGCTAAATGTTATGTACCATTGAGTCCATCTTGAAGAAACACGTTTATCTGAAAAAGAAATCCCTCTTCTATGCAAATACAAACACATACAAATTTATTTCCTTGGATAATGCACCTTTTGACATTGAGCAAAACTCAAAATAAAAAATGTCTTTACCTGACACTGTACTTCACCTTCACTCAGTAAATGATTATAATCATTAGCAACATGTTCCTTTTCTGTACCTCTATAATAATGTTATAATTATTACTACAAATATCAAAACATGTTCTGTACCTCTATAATAATGTTATAATTATTACTACAAATATCAAAACATGTTCTGTACCTCTATAATAATGTTATAATCATAACTACAAATATCAAAAAATGTATCGCTCTAATTTTATAATTATTACTTAAAGTATCCAAACATGTTCTTTATTATGCACTAAAATGTTATAATTATTACTAAAAATATCAAAACATGCTCCTTATTATGCACTATAAATTAAAACTAACACATTTGATAACGTAATTGTAAAGCTCACAATAAATTTTGCTGCGTTGTGTATGATGAAACCCGACTTACCCATCCATGTCTTTGCTTATCATTGTTATTGCTTTATTTATGTCTAAGGGAATATTAAACATATTTCATGGATATATTCGTTCTAAATTTAGCTGAAATTCATCAGCAAGCAATCTAATTAAAATATAGATCTATATTTCGTTTCGTTTTTTATACTTTCGATGGCCTATACTACATGTAGATCTAACAAGTTATAGTGGGGGTTCACGTTCTATGACGGCAGGTACCAAGCAAGCGACATTTGACCCGATTACGTCAGTCATTCGATTAACCAATTAGCGACCGCCATGTATTTTTTATCTACTTTTGCTTAGTTTTGATTTCTATTGCCGCTAATGTCTACCCACAGTTCCGCGCAAAAAAGGTCAAACGCTCTAATCGACAGACCATTTGATTGGCTGACCCCTCATTTCAAGCAGAACACGAGTTAAATAACAACGCTTCCAGATCCAAGTGTAGTAAAGACAAGTAAAATCGAAATTTTGAACTATAAAAACGAAATGAAATTGGATCTGTGTTTTAATCAGATTGATCAGCAAGTTTAGTAGAGGTTTTTAATTGGGTCTAAATTTCTTTAGGGACCAAGCATCTTCAATAGAAGGCTTGATCTCGCTTTAAATCCATACATTTTATCACGGTCTTCCCGTAATACCCTACATTTTTCGGCACTAATTTCGATTGGTTCCTTTCCCAGCTGGGGACCTCTCTGATTCCTCGATAGAAAATATCATCGCGAATACCAAGTCACTCACTTTCCTACTGAAATGTCTAGCTGTGATAATCGAGTTGCAAAGTTCAAGGTTCGTTCAAGGTCAAGGTTGCTGGAGCTTTCCGTTTTACGGCTATGATTTTGCTATGACCCACTTCACATCATAGTCCAAACCTTTCTAATTTACTTTTTTTTCTTCCATTATGCTAGTAAGGCTGCTTTTCTTTGGTTTTCCGTGGGTTTTCCTATTCCTTTACGTGTTTGTATCACGTGTCTTTGGTAAAAGGAGATAACTACCTAAAAGTTTGTGAATTTCACACCAACTAATAGGAACGGAATATGGGGGACCAAGGAACTTTATTTGAACAATCTGGAAGTCCGTCAATTAGTTTAGAAGATCAAACATATACACACTTGCCTATTGCATCGAGCAGCTTTAATTTGTCGAAATTTGAATTGCCGCAATCTAAACAATATCCATAACTATTTTTATCCAAATCCTTCAAGTAATTTTAGAGAAGAAATCAAGTTTGGGGGGATTAAGAGTGTTTTCGATAATTGGTAAAGTCGTTTTTAAGGGAGGTCTATATTTCCGACTTTAAGTGAAGATGTCTCAATTAATTTGAATTGATTTCAATTAAATTGCTGTTATAAGTATGGTAAACACTGACTTTTAAGTGCATAATATTGTTCTGGTCATTTTAGGTGCTCTTTAAATGTGTCTCTCTTTCGTGCCCCATCTAGCTACACATCTATTGTTAATTTTAACAAACCTTTATCTTTATCAGCTAAGAACAATTCCTACCAAATTTGAAAATTCTGAAGAATTGTTGTTTTTTTTAAATATTAGGCTTGTCTTAATTTACACCTTGAACAAATCTGAATCAACAACACTTCCAACTTACCTACGCGATTCTTAGAAATACATCAAACGTTATAGAAGTGAATTGTTAACTCCGAGTAGACATACAAGCGACGGACAACAGTGGAGTGAAAAGCTTAGAACTTACGTGATTGCATCGTGATGCTGCAAAATTCCTTGTGCTCTCTCTATAAATAAGAATAAATCACACTATTTAGCCAAGGCATACAGTCATTGACATATAAACTTCAATATCAACATCGCAAAGTTTATGTTTGCTATTGTGTTTAAGGTTAAACACATATTTGTATGTAATTGATCTACTTTAGATTCAATATCAATGGTATTAATTTTCCCTATAATAATAATCGGTTGGCTAATAACACTTTATTGTTAGTGATATAATTGTAGATGAAATGTATATTTTGTTCTAAATTAGCTGCTTTCCAATAGTTGTCCTTACAATTAAATAAGGGCATCTATCCATATTGCACTGTTATTAGTATAAACAATATATTTATTAGTTTATTACAAGAAAATAAATCATAAAACGAGAAAAAAATCAAATTGTGAAAAAAATTTTTTATGGCAAAAGTGGTCTGCCCTTGGAATGTGAGAAAAACATTGGCGACGGCTTAATGCCAAAGTATATTGTAAAGTCATATTAAAGATACATTATGTAAGATTTAGATAAAGAGCTAGCTAGTCTTGCCTTAATAGTTCGAAAATAGACAATGTAAAATGAATAATTTGCAAATTTCATTCAAATTACTCTATTGCGAGTGAGGTGTTGGTCTTTGAAGGTTTGACAAGACGTGTGCAATAATTTCAACCACCGCACTGGTTCTTCGAAGCTAAGTCTCGCTCCTCCATTTTTAGCTTAAATCATTAAATCAAAAGATCGCTGAACTGTTCTAATCTATTTAATATCGGTGAAATCCGATGCCATCGAGAGTTGATTATGGCCTGGATAAGTTAATTAATGTCAAATTAATAATTTAGAAAACATTTCAGGCCCAAAGAAAGACCTGCAATAGGCAGATTTAGCTCTTGCATAATGTATGTTTAATGTTTCGGTTACAAGTGTCGTGTGTAATGTATTCATCTAGAACACCTGCTGGAGGTCATATTGTTATTCAGATCTGAATAGAGATAAAGGCACAGGTATAACCTATATTAAACCCCTGTCCCTGCATATAGTGAACCATAAGTAATATCGATAGGACCATCGTCTTACAGCCGATAACCTTAGACTGTATTTTTCTGTTCCTTTGTTACAATGTGCAACCTACATCGCTAATTCAATTGCAATAAATCGATCAATTTTAATGATTTTCAAAGCAGAGTTGTTTTTTTAAATCCAAATTTATGATCGTCATTTGTCGAAAGTTTACAATATAAATATCCAAAAATGGTTCAATCCCGTTCCGTATTTACTCAGATATAACGAAGTAAAGTAAAAATTTGTCAATATTTGACATCCTCCTCACTGTGCCACATATTGCCGATGATGTGACTTTGGTGAATGCGGAGGTTATAACGCTATTTCGCACCCTGTGGACAACCAATCTGTTTTTGGAATAATTAATCTTACTTACTTAAAACATTGACTTTATCAAATGCATTTGGCAGTCTATTGAAAACATTGAGCTCTTTACAGGTCTGAAATTACAGTTAAAAATATACATTTTATTTGGCGATGCAACATTAGCAGCTTTGTAATTAACCGACTTACAGAAGGCTGTCGTTCAAGGTGTGGTAGAGTGGTTTGACCTGGCTAAAACACATTATAAATAAACCGTCCCAGTATAATTCCACAAAATAGACTGGTTAATTATATTTCAACGAAAAAAAGTGGGTTTGTTCAGGCATGAACTCTTACAAGCTGCATATCTTCAGCTGAACTGCTTTGTTTATATGACATGTCCATCGACCATACACAGGGGCGTACATAACGATTTTGTTTGGGGGGTGTTTAGCGAAAATGCGACCGACTGATACCCGTACCCCTAGTACGAGTGACGCAATCAGGAACCGAGCACCACAGGTGCGAGTTTTGTAGGGGCCATGTGAAGTAGCGGATCTAGATAGGGGTGGGGGGGGTCCAAAGCTAGGGCGCCACCTCAGCCACAATCCCACCCCACAATGAATGTCAACAAAATACTGGCTATAACATTAAGCGTCCCGGTAGACCTTAGATGGTATTGTATAATTATATAGTTGTTTGCCGATCGTTGTCTCGCTGGAAAGCAGTTTTATTTAAGTTGACATAAAGTTTATGTCATATATGATTGTGCCTATAACACTGAGCAACCTGAGAAAATTTTGAAAAATTGAGTCAATATCTTGGCATTTGAGGTCATTGCTGGGAGAAATGTGAGTCAATTAGACAAAATCTCGAGATCTGCCCCTGTCAATTCCGCCTGTTTTGCAAGAGTTGACAGAACTTTTGTATAGTCTGACGCCCCACGACCCACACACCAGTGCCAGTGGTACTACTAACATAACTAGGCAGTTCAGTATAACCGTGAATATGATAGTGCTGAAACAGTATAAGACAACAGAGGAGTGGAAGAATGATGTTATAATGGAATCGAGCGCCGCAGGCGCGAAAACATTTGAGATGTGTAACCGAGCTTTTAATTTTTGGGACTGAACCTGACAATTTTAGTCAATGTCATGGCAAATGGATCCAAATTCTCGTTAACGAGAGGATAAGAAATGGGACAGAATCTTGAGGCCTATCTGCAGAAATTCGCCCGTATATCCGTTATCACTCGTCACATCAGTCAGTTATATAGAGAGATGACTTGTGTTTTCCTTTGGCGTTCGTCACTTCCGATTCTGGAAAACTATATTACTCAGCTATCGTAGCAATGATCTCTGTGTTAAAATTATATTTGGAATGTGTTTAACCAGCTCTATCACATATTTGATAATGACTGGCACCAATATTGTCCTTTAAAAGCCTACAATAATTATATATATTGGCTTCGTTGGCGTTCATATAATTATTAGCGGCGTCGATGACCATTTCATACACATCTTGTTTTAATCGGAAGCCTTTTATTGTAGGTGTATTGTTTGCTTACTACAATATATTCTGGTTAGAATGATACAAGAATATGGCTACAGCAAATGTATTGGTCATGGAATTTATGAAACAAATTCTAAAGTTAAATCACTCTCTGAACCTATGCTAATTTGCCGCGCTGAATTCCTACGTAAAACAATTATTCCGTAGTAAATTGTTTTATAAGGAATTAAAATTTCTAATATATACTATTCAAAAAAAGTAGGGGATATTTGATTTTTAAGTGTTATTAAAGTCACCTAATGAAACTGACGAAGAAACAAATGACAAAATGAAATGAAGTTCACATTCATCGATTTATTCCAAATGATCGTTAGACTAAGTAAGGCACAGACTGACCATTATAAGGGTAAAATGATACCCGGGGTCAAACAGCAAAGTTACCACAGCATCACAACCAAGTCAGTAACGGGTAAATCCTCCTCTGTTTGCCAAACAAGCATTGATCCGACGTGGCATACTCCTAATGAGACGTCTAAGGTCATTTTGGTCCAGATTGTCCCATTCCTGTTGCAACGCAGCAGCAAGTTCTTGGACATTGGCAGGACGTTGTTGACGTTGACGTAACCTCTGTCCAAGCATGTCCCAGACATGCTCGATGGGGGAGAGGTCGGGACTCAGTGCTGGCCAAGGTAATGTGGTGATGTTCTGTTGTTGGAGGTAACCTGTAACGATCCTGGCCCTGTGACATCTTGCGTTGTCATCCTGGAAGATGAAACGGCGGCCATGACGTCGTGCGAACGGCACAACATGGACTGCCAAGATGTTGTCCCGGTAGTACTGGCCTGTAACACGCCCTGCAACAACATGTAAAGCCGTTCTTCCAGCAACAGTGATGCCTCCCCACACCATAACAGAACCACCCCCAAATCGATCATGTCTGATGACGTTAACGTCTTGGAAGCGCTCGTTTCGACGACGCCACACCCTCCTACGTCTGTCCAAAAAATCAACAGTGAACCTTGACTCATCTGAAAACATCACATTGCTCCAGCGTCGATTATCCCAGTGTTGACGATCCCTACACCAACGACGTCTTGTCTGAATGTGATGATCTCTCAAACAAGGGATCACGCGAGGACGTCGGGCGCGAAGGTGACCCCTATGCAGTCGATTCCGAATCGTCTGGCCACTCACTCTCACACCAGTGTCTGTTTGAAGACGAGCGCTGATCTGATTTGCTGTGATGACACGATTTCTCAAGGCCAAGGTACGGATAAATCGATCCTGGGCTTGAGTTGTCGCCCTTGGTCGACCTGAGCGTGGTCTGTCCTGTACAGATTGTGTATCACGGTATCTGGACCATAGCCTGCTTATGACAGACTGAGAAACATTCATCGTCCGCGCCACAACCGCCTGTGTTGTGCCGATCTGTAGCATGCCAAGGGCACGTAACCTTTCATTTTGGGTAAGCCGACGCATATCAAAATTTGTTTTCTGGTCACTAAAACAATTAAACTGATGTTTCCACCCTGGAATTCAATGCCACAATGACTGTAACATTCAAAGTCAGAGTCGTGCAAATCTTGGGTTGGACCCCCATGATGATCCCAAGCATCACCTGCATTCCATGCGGTAGCTATTGGTGCGTTTGGGCGTCACATGTAACTGGAAATGTTTCTTCTGTTAGGTTCTATAGTGACTTTTTTCGTAGTCATTTGCATATTTTAGTATTATGCCCCCAAAATCAAATATCCCCTACTTTTTTTGAATAGTATACATTCGGTAACCGTGACGTCACTGGAGTTTTTTCGATAATTGGTAACGTCGTTTTCACGGGGGGGGGGGGCTATATTTGCGACTTTGAGTAAAGATGGCTCAATAATTTTAATCAGATTGGTGTGAACCTGCCGTCAAGTATATATAGTAACCTCTGGCATAAGTACATAAAATTTTGTTTGGCCATTTCATGTGCTCTTTAAGTATTCACCTTTCGGCACATTTTCACATTTTCTTAATCTGAAGGTAAACGATATTCCATTAAAAACTATAATGCAATTTACATTGTGTATGTACATTACACATAAAAAACAACTTACTGGTAAGATAGAACAATAATTACATTGTTGACTAACCGCACGATTAACAGCAATTAAAATGTTTAGCCATTTACAAAAAAAACCCTGTTTTTGCCGGTTATATTATGTGGGTAAAAGACTTTTTGATTATGATAATTATTCAATATTAATTACATTTACTTTCTAGTTGCGATAGTGATAATTCCTTTAAATATATTCTAAAGGATGGTTAAATATGAAAAGAAAGAACATGATTTTGTACTGTCAATGTAGGTTTTATTTAGTCAGTATTCGGGTATGTCTTTTTTTAAAAAGAAAATTAGCCCAATCCCACAATCTTCAAATGTACCTAATTACAAGACAATATGTCATCTAATTTAATTAATGTATATGAATATTACAAATTGCAGTGATAAAACCGAGTGTCAAAATGTTATTTGTCATGTTCGAAATAAAGTCATCTAAGTTTCCACTTACTTGTAACATAGCCCCAGCTTTTTTAACGTGAAGTTTGAGTCCAGCACGACTGGTAAAATAACCTGTCCAGTAAGCCTTGGGAGGAATTGCATACGGGAAAAAATCGTCTGATTTGGTAGGAAAGGTTTGTTTTTCTTTATTGACATGATAAAGATAACATGACGGAGTCGAGTAGAGAAGGTTAATTTTAGAACCATCTGCTTGCTGAAATAAATATATATCAATTATAATGTCAAATCAGATGAAACTAGAATAATGCTAGTCTTACTAGAAATCTATTTTCACTCAAATTCATATCCACTCCTTGTGTGATTTAGGACTGGTCTAAGTGGCAAGAAAAGCCATCATGTGGAGGGCTACAGTCATTCTTTAAAAGGTTAGAGCCACGACTGGCAGTAAGTTGCAGAGGTTTTTCATCGCCGACGGATAATCGTAGGAGTGAACCAAATAATTATAAAATTCAACAGATTATTGTATTCATGATCAACAACTCATCAACGATAATCTACCTAATTCATGCACAGTTTGCTTACGACGACGTTTAGGGCTGAGTTTATACGGGGCTTGGGATGGCGTTGGGGGGAGGGGGGACTCGGGGTTTTTAATCACAGCATTGACCAATATATCAAGGAGATGGCGAATTCTAATAAGCAATAATGCACGACATCTAATAACCCATAAAACATTAGAATTGGTCTCTTCCAGAGTGATCTATAATGGTACCAAACCCACTCAAATTCTATTGGTTTCTTCCCGACCCATCTATCGCAGTACCAACCCTACTTAAATTAATATTTGTCTCTTTCGGACCAATCTATCACAGTACCAACCCCACCCAGATTACCGTTTGCCTATTCCTCATTTCCAAAGGTATTCTAGAAGTTACTTACACGTAAATTAGTATGTTTTATTAAGGCATCCATGTTAGCAAACCATTCATTTGCCTTCTTATAGGCAAAATCAGCTCCCATCGGAAACATCAGATGATTTGTTTTAAACACGGCAGCCTAGAGAATATATAACAAAATGTATATTGGTTATTTATATTACAAAATACTGATGCACACTCCACTAATATTATGACCGGTATATCCTTCGTATTTTAGCAATGTAGGACTTAAGAAAAATAACGTTTCAATAATACAATGGGTATAACCAGTCACCAGTGGAAGGTTATATTAACCAACAGCTCAATGTTTGCTTTCAGTGATGTCTATGGCACAACGGGGACTAACTCGATGACCGTTCATTTTAAGCATTGAAATCAGAGAAGTTTTGTCCAACACAATCTAATTAAACTCCAAATCTAAATTTCGTTTTGGTGTTGTTTGTTTGTTGTCGTTGTTTTTTTGTACATGTACTTTCAAATGCCGTTTGTCCTGTCGTCGACTGTTTATTTTAATTAAATGTTGTCTACCCCTCCACAAGTATGTCCCATAACTTTAAGCAAACATTGCGTAAAGCTAGACTGAACCGGTCATTGCATTGGCTAATCACTATCCTATCATCAAAGAGATCGCGGTTTATTTAAAAACAATCCCTGAACTGTTGCGAAGGAAACTATAAAAACGAAACGAAAGTGTCAAATCAATCATAGAAGTCTGTGCTGATAATATTTTGCCAGAGATGAAAACGTAATAATGAAAGAAGAGTGGCAGGAATTATTGTGGCAAGTCGGATTAAGTGGAAAATTAAAGCGGCCCTACAATATTACAGGGATGATGCATCAATTAAGATCCACTCACAATAATTCTGGCTTTATGCCTCAGTCATAAGACAAGTTTATACATGGGCACCAAACTACAAAAAAATAACATCACCCATACAATTTCCGTTTTATTTCAGACGGCACGAGTTTCTTAACTCTGTGAATAATGGTGTATCCCAAAGTATGCATTCCCAGTTACGGAACGAGTTATTTTCGTCTAGTTCCATAGCAAATCAAAATATTGCATTATAAGTTTGCTTGTGTCATAGTAAAACCAATCAAATACTTCACATAGATTCATGCATGATTATACCTCACTGATAATGTTGTAGGGATTGGCTGCAATAGCAAAAGAAATGATTTTTTGGGGTTTATTTTTTTTGGAGTTGTTAACTTCTTTATGTTATTAGATAATACAGTGAATGTAAAGCCCTACATGCTGTTAATATAACATAAACATACCCTTTCCTTGGCAATTCTCATCATATCTGCGACATATCGTTGGACGGAAGCATCCTATAAAAATAATAAAAAAATCATCAATAGTTCAAAATGATGGGTAAATTTGTGCGGGCATCACAGCCTGTAACTCATCAAAACAAATTAGCGATGATGTATAGTGGGATTAACATGAACCATATAACTGGCTAAGGCTGGTACCGTGAATGTGGGCGTATAAAAATTAATTATACTCATTCTATTGACAGAGTGATAAAATTTCTTTAATTGAAGTATCTGCATTGGAACTACAAATGAGAGGATATTTATTTATAATTTGTATTATTTATATTCACTTATTCGAAGTACTAAATTAAACCAACTTTGTAAGAAAGTTATATTATGTTTTAAGGGTAGAGCTGTATACTTACAACAGTTCCGGCAGAGCGGCCTTCAAATTGTAATTCTCTTGGAGCATAATAACCATCATATGATACATGTGTAAATAAAGAAGATTTACTGCCTGAAACACCAATAGTTTATATAGATAAATGTCTACATGTGTTACATCGTGTATTATATCTTATGGCTGCTGATATTGTGAGGACAATCTAATAATATGCCCTACACCTGTATTTCACAAGTCGAAGGTAGTAAAGAAGATGGCTTCCGAACCAAAGTCACCAGTCTTTGGGTCGTTTAAATAAAGCAAAGTGCAACAAAACATTATGATTAGAAGTTCTGGAGAAAACAAGCACAACATGTCTCGTTTACAACACCCGTCAGTACTTACAACAACCAACGGTGTGAAAGTCACAAGTAATCCACAGCCAAAGGTTTTAAATACAGATTTGAAGATAAGCATGTGACCAAAGACCACGAGCGGAGTCAACTGACAAGTGGTTTAAATAAAAATGAGCACCTTTAGATGAGAAGCATATTAAATATTCTATAACACGGTATACGTCAATATGCCATGCCGTATTAACGGGTTTCCCAGAATACATATATTGTTAATTAAAATGTTATGTTACTTTTAACAATATAGTATACATACCTAAACTTGCACTACTTTTCCATAAAAATTCCATCTTTTTATGTTCATGCCTGTCAGTATAATCTTGAAAATCTATTCTACCCACTATTAAACCCTCAAACCCCATCTAAAATAGAATCAGTTATATATAATATGTGACAGATACAGGCTAATAATCTATTCTACCCATTAACTTCTCAAAACCCAACTAAAAAAGAATCAGTTACATATAATATGTGACGGATACAGGCTAATAATCTATTCTACACATTAACTTCTCAAAACCCAACTAAAAAAGAATCAGTTATATATAATATGTGACGGATACAGGATTATAATCTATTCTATACCCAGAATTAACCCCTCAAACCCTATCTAAAATAGAAGCATGTGACAAATACAGGCAAATAATATGTTCAAACTCTCCGGATATGCATACAGAGATAATTTAGACTAATAATTTCCAGTTCTTGTTGACCGAGAAATACGTATTATAACATTGCTTTGAGTGGATGGATTTGAACATGATCTGGTCAATGTTTTAAAATATTGTTTTCCCGTCGTCGAAGTAAATATCTGGAGTCTATTCTGTCACATTTAATTTGATTTGTAAATGATTCTTAAAATATTAAGAGCCCTGGGCGAAAAAGCAATAATTTACCTCACCTGTGCAAAAATGGATGAATGTTCTCTGGAATGTCCAAACTGATCAACATGCCATCCTACCCTAGACTGACCACATTTACCAAAATGCTGATCAATAAAATCAAATCCCAGTGTATGTTGATCTATTATATCATTATAAAATGTTGTAGCTGCATCACTCATACACCATCCTCCTATAGCTATTTCTAATTTTCCTGTAATGTATAAAATAATAATACAGAAAAACTGGCATATCATAATGTAGGCACATCGATAAGACATTACAGCAATCTACTTTTAAAATGTAAGTTTATTCGGTTGGTACGATCTCAAAGGCCTGTTTAAGAAAGTCTCGATAAAACTCTTTCATTAAATTGTCTGTATCGCGGGGTTTGATTGGTAGGTTAATTTGGATTCGACCATTTACAATTTGCGCATTGGTGAAGGAACGTGTTCTAAAGATTAATGTCTTTGGGTATTAGAATCATTTGAACACACAGCGGACGACTTCAATCGCGGTAACTAATAGAAATACAGATTCGATAAGCAATATTAGCAACACACATGCATTTAAAAAATAAACACAAAGTTATATGGATAACAATTACTATATTTCTATTAAAGCTACGTTTCAACAATGATTCTCTTGTCGTTTTCAAGCACAATACTGATACAGGTAGAAGGAATGAGATATATATACTATGTACAATCACAACATTCAATGAAAACATAATTAGGAAAACAGTGACCCTTGTTCTTATAATGAAACCATATAGATTGACAAAAGCATTTAATTGTAATGTACACTAGGTAGAAACCACTTATTAATATAAGGTTATTGCCTTGATGTATTTTAATTACCATAACAATAGATAAAAGGCGAGGCCATTTTATTAACTCTAGTAATTATAATACTAACCGTGAAACTGTATGCTAATATTTATGTGTTTATAGGTTACAGAAAAAATTAATGAATATCTTATTGTTTGTTTTTTATAAATTATAAGTACTATAATAATTATGTGCTGCATATAATGTAACAATACATTAAACTAAACTGCTAAACTGAGTAAAAGATACTAAGAATTTATGTGAAAGTAAAGTCTATGTTAATTATTAATTTAGTCTGTTTTAATTAATTCATCATAGGCTCTGGGGATATATAAACCACTGTCTCTGTTAAGTTCTGGTTGATGTCTCTTTATTTGTACTCCCTCCATTAATTTTCTAGTTTTCTTTTGATTGATGTTGATATTAAGGGTATTTACAGCTGACCAGTTCACTCTGTGGCGGGGGTTGTTTTTCAGGTGTTCTGATACAGCTGATTCATTGGTGGTGCCTTTAGACTGGTGCTCTTTGAGACGGATATCTAATGGACGCTTACTTTCACCTATGTAAAATTTCTTGCAGGAGCAGGTAATCTGGTAAACACTTCCCTTTGGTTGCAGAGGTATTGTTGGTCGGCATTTACCATTTGCGCTGAGGATATCTTTTATTGTAGAACCAGTGTAGAAGCTGGTGTCTATTCCCGCTGGCTTAAGGAGCCTCCGGATTTGGTAGGATAGCTTGTTGTGGAATGGTATAGAGATGCGAATTTGTGAATCTTGTTTAGTCTTAGCTAGTTTAGGTTCATTGCTGGTAGCGGTGTTGATGACTTTCTTGACTAACTGTTCAGGATATTGGTTGAGGTTGCAGAATGTATGTTTTATATGTTCTAGTTCTTTATTGAGGAGTTCAGGATTGCAGATTTTCTTGGCTCTGTGGGTGAGGGTTGAAATGATAGCTGCTTTGACTTTGATGGGATGGTTAGATTGATAATGTATGTATTGATCGGTGTGTGTGGGCTTCCGATATACACTTGTTTGGATGGTACCGCCATTTCTGTTCACAAGGACATCTAGGAAGGGGATGGTTCCACAGTTTTCTTTCTCCATCGTAAATTTGATTCTAGGGTGCTGGTTGTTTAGGTGTTGTAGAAGGCAGTTAGGGTCATCTTCTTCTTTCAGCATTACAAACGTATCGTCGACCTTTCTATAATAGCATATAGGAGTTATTGGTGAGGACTGTAGAGCTTTTTCTTCCAGGGAGGTCATATAAACTTCGGTTAGTAGTGGAGATAGGGGGCTCCCCATCGGTAGGCCATGTATCTGTTGGTATAAATCATCACCCCATGTGAAGTAGGTGGTGTTGACACAGTCTGTTACTAATTTTATTATACTGTCTGTGGTGAGATGAGTATTTAAAGGTGATTGAAGTTTGTCTAGGCGGTGGCGGAGAACTTCTATAGCTTCAGATCTGGGGACATTTGTGAATAGGTCAACAACATCATATGAAACTATTTTACCTGGGTTTTGTATATTTTTGATTTCGTCACAAAATTCTGATGAGTCACGGATGAAGGATTTAGCGGACTTGCCTAGAGATGATAGGAGTTTTGAGAGGTGTTGGGCTGTGTTGTAGTGGACGGAATCTCGTGAGCAGACTAGTAAGCGAGCTTTAATGGGATCTTTATGAACCAGAACTTAACAGAGACAGTGGTTTATATATCCCCAGAGCCTATGATGAATTAATTAAAACAGACTAAATTAATAATTAACATAGACTTTACTTTCACATAAATTCTTAGTATCTTTTACTCAGTTTAGCAGTTTAGTTTAATGTATTGTTACATTATATGCAGCACATAATTATTATAGTACTTATAATTTATAAAAAAACAAACAATAAGATATTCATTAATTTTTTCTGTAACCTATAAACACATAAATATTAGCATACAGTTTCACGGTTAGTATTATAATTACTAGAGTTAATAAAATGGCCTCGCCTTTTATCTATTGTTATGGTAATTAAAATACATCAAGGCAATAACCTTATATTAATAAGTGGTTTCTACCTAGTGTACATTACAATTAAATGCTTTTGTCAATCTATATGGTTTCATTATAAGAACAAGGGTCACTGTTTTCCTAATTATGTTTTCATTGAATGTTGTGATTGTACATAGTATATATATCTCATTCCTTCTACCTGTATCAGTATTGTGCTTGAAAACGACAAGAGAATCATTGTTGAAACGTAGCTTTAATAGAAATATAGTAATTGTTATCCATATAACTTTGTGTTTATTTTTTAATGTGCTCAATTACTAAATGCCATTCAAACAGTACACATGCATTTGTTAATTATATACTTACTATCTTTAATAAGTTGTTTTATTTTTTGTTTAACTTCGTCATTAATCTCATCCCAAAATCGAGATAAAAATGCCATTTCAATAAATATAAATCTTCTTTCTGGGTTAGCTAGTAAAAGAGGTATAGTTGTATTTAACACACATCGAACACATTCCGTACCCGGATGTTGAGATCTACCTGCAAAAAGAAAATACAAGTCAACAATCAAATCGAGAATACATGCATTCCATTAAGATAAATCAACAATATAATACATGTATTACAATAAGATAAATCTACAATATATAATAAGTGTATTATATTTAAGATAAATCAACAATATAAATGTATTTTATTTAAGATAAATCAACAATATAATACATGTATTGCATTAAGATAAATCTACAATATATAATAAGTGTATTATATTTAAGATAAAATGAAATGGAGTTTAACGTCCTACTGTTCTGCTCCTAACCTGGGCTAATGAGGACGGTATATTTAAGATAAATCAACAATATAAATCTATTTTATTTAAGATAAATCAACAATATAATAAGTGTTTTATATTAAATACATCAACAGTATATTATAAGTGTATTATATTCAAAATAGCTCAACAATATATTATATAAATCAAATAATAAGTGTTTTAGATTAGATAACTCAACAATATATAATAATATATAATAAGTGTATTATATTTAAGATAACTCAACAATATAAGTGTATTATATTAGATAAATCAATAATAAGTATATTATGTGTTACACAAATCATTCAACAATATATAATATAAGTGTATTATATGAGAGAGAGAGAGAGAGAGAGAGAGAGAGAGAGAGGGGGGGGGACCGGAGGACCCGGAAAACCCCCACCAGACGACCCTACTCCTTGTCAGTACAACCGGGAAATGGAAACCACGCCAGCTGACTCAATGATAGACCTTACGATACAGCGCGCACGTGCTAACCATTTGCCCCCCTCCCCATATTATTTATCTTAAATATAATACACTCATTATATATTGTTTATTTATGTAATATATCATATTAGAATGTATTATAATATTATATACATTAACAATATATAATAAGTGCATTATCATTTAAGATAAATGAACAATATATAATAAGTGTATTATATTAGAATGTATTATATTACATAAATGAACAATATATAATAAGTGTATTATATTTAAGATAAATTAACGAAATTCAGTATATCGAGTTTTCCTACCGATATCAAATAAATTAGAGTGTATAAACGTTAATCAAATAAATCAATGTTTATAAATGTAAATCAAATACATCAATATATAGCTTACCATTTGACATGGCTTTTTCTCCTGTAAAATACTGTTCAGCGGTTTTTAACCAGCCCACGTCATCGTGGCTGTGAGGAATTAAATGAACATTCAACATCCCATCTTTAACGGGGTTACATTTCTGTAAAAGAAATAACAAGAAATCGTTTGGAAATCGAGCTTAATAATGTTGTCGATAGCAAGGCAGTTCAATTCTTTTTAAAATTCTTATATAAATTCTTTTAATTTTTTTTTTATATATAAATTCTTATTTAAACTGACGCGCAAGCATAATACACAACAATCTGTAAAATGATAAATTTTTGAGAAGATATTTTGTTGTGGACCAACAGTTTTAACGAAGACCAATTTGTTAATCCATTTTCTAAGTCAGAACAAATTTAGTTACAGACGAAAACTTAAACTAAGATACAATCGAAATTTTAAGAAATACTGCAATTCGATTGGCTGACCAATATGCAAATTGGATATATGCAAATTGATTTTACTGGTCAGCCAATCGAATTGCAGTATTTCTTAAAATTTCGATTGTATCTTAGTTTAATTTTTCGTGAATAAGGGCCCGGGGTTTTACAACCAAGGGAAAAACATTTTAAAACCTTTCTAAATAATGCAGTGAATAGGTATATTTCATTTGCTATATATAGAGAGTGAAATGGGATTTAACCACAGGAATCTGACCTTCTAATCGTATATATATATATATGCATACACCATACCGAACTAGACAATATATAATAAAAAAAGAACAGGAATGCAATGCCTGTTGAAGCCTCGATTTTACCTGCTCTCGCTTCGGCTCGTTTTTTTTTTTCAACAATTCGTAATGTCAGGCAATCAAACCTCTGTCGATTCACTCAGATATGTTTTTTCTTCAATCTAGCCGTTTGATGTGCATAAATACTCCCCACAAAAAGATATCATAGCCACTTGTTTCCAATATTTACATTATTTTCGTTCGTTGACGTTTGTCATTGAATCCATGCGCTGACGTCACACAAAAACCTAACCAAACTCTGAAGTCCCGTATACTTCCGCCTCAAGATGATGAATATAATATTCACCAAAGCCTAGCAGAAAATGTATATTCAAACCCTCTTCTTCGATTCTACACCCAAAAGTCAACAAAAATCGCCATGTAAAAGGGGGGAAATGGAAAGGGAGAGAAAAACTACAAATATCTTTGGCCTTTGTTTCAATGGTCTAGTCACTGCGGATTGATTTTGTGTGACGTCAGCGCATGGATGCAATGACAGGCATTGCATTCCTGTTCTTTTTTTTATTATATATTGTCTAGTTCGGTATGGTGAATGCATATGTATACGGATAGAAGGTCAGATTCCTGTGGTTTAACGTCCAGTCGACACAAACTCGGTCATTTCGGGACAACACATGATTCAATTTTATTTCAATAATTCGCTTGCGCGTCGGGGTCTTTAGCAGTGGGAGGAAACCAGGGGACCCGGAGAAAACCCACGAGGTTGGACAGGCGACTCTACTCCTTGTCACGTACACTACAACTGGGAAATCGAAACCACGCCAGTTGACTCAATGACAGACTTTATGATAAAGCGCGCTCATGCTAACCATTCGCGCCCCCCCCCCCCTTAATTTGATATAAGTTCGCTATATAATATTTAACTATTAAAGTTAACTTACATTATAATCACAAGAACCATCTTCTATAACATTTTCTTCTAACTTCTGTTGCATAATAAAAACATTTCTAGTGTGTTTTGGCTTATTTAGCTTCCAAAAATATAAAACTACTTGAACTGTCACTATCATGGCTATTGCCAACACCAATTTTTGAAGTGAAAACCTCATGATGGTCTTAATATACTATAATTAGATGACTTGTAGCTTATCTTCTATATTGAAAGGATACATCTTTTAATTCACACACACCAACTCACTGAAATAAATTTTAAAAAAAGAAGAAACAACTGACTCTAAGTATCATTAACGAGTAATGGAAAACATAGACAATTAGAGAATGTAACAATTCCTTACTGATCATTTTAGTGCAATTTGGGGGTGGGGGTGCAGCAAATACCTCGATGGGCACGAAATGCAATGAAATGAAGTTTAGCGGTCTACTTTGCTGAGCCGACTGGATTAATGAAGACGGGATAACGGCATGCAGTATGATGGAAGTATTGCGGGCAACATCAATATTACGTTACCACGTACTAGAACTATACTAATGTCCAAAAGAAAGTATACACTGTGCATTTCGTCCTGCTTCAAACAAAGTCGTTTTTCCATTGTATGCGGTATTTGGGTACAATGTCCATTTGTTTTGCCGTTTATTTGCTTAGAAATATTGAGTTTGGACGCACGAGACATGTTCAGTGTAGTTTTATCACATTTATTTTTACTTTAAACAAAACTTAGTCATATTTTTAGTGTGTATACTTTCTTTTGGACATTAGTATATTATATACTAATTTATTTGATAGTTGACGCATCTTGGTAACATGGTTTAAAACAATATTTACCCTACTAAAAAAAAAAAAATATTGTAGACATTGTTATTTTCTGATTATAATGGAAGTGGGCAAGTGGCTATACTGGAGGTGGCTATAATGATTTCGCGATTATTCGAAGATACTTTCTGCAGCTTTAAGTCCGTTCAATAGCGAAACTAAACAACATATGTTACAGACCTGAACCGGGTACTTAAATCCTCATTCCACGTTCTCGTACAACACGTGGTATTTAATAACACTTTATTAAAGATTATATTGCTTATATCGAATCATTAATAAAGCCAAGTGCACGCTATGGAATTCTGTGTCGGATTCTCTATCTTTTAATTTTGTAGGTTTGTTGGGTATAGTGCAGGGTGTTGCGTTTGTTCACAATACAAAATAACTGCCAATAATCCGTTCAAAAAGTAACACAGTAGAGACAGTAAAATAATAGGCTTACTTTGCATAAGATCGTTATTAATTCACCAAAACAGTTGGTTATTATTGAAAATGTTGCGACTGTTCACTATAACATACAGGCCATTAATCCGATAAAATAAGCCGTGCAGTGTGCTATTAGGTCTAGTTTTATAAGACCGTTATTAATTCACTAAAATAATTGGTTATTATTGATAATAATAATCGAGTTAATAGCTCTCTTGACATTTTGACTAAACTCAGTTGTGCGACACTTTATATGCTGTGTGTATTCATAACATTTTATATACAATGGTGAACTTTATTCTCAGTTTTGATATATTTTAGGCCTGTATATGATTTTATATTTTGTAATAAACAAAATATTATACAAAGACATAATGAAAAAATCTATTTCCATGTCATGTGTTAAAAGCTATTGTAGAAAAAGAGAAATTGTGATTACATAATTAGAAAAAAAATCTTTGGGCCGGTATAGAAATAATCTACATTGATTGATACCAATCAAGATACGCCGATATTATAGCAAAAGATGGACAGGGAACAATCTAAACACAAATGCGATTTTTTGTACAATGGGGGGGGGGCTAATCCAGGAAGTGACGTTCGGATATGCGCGAATAGCCACTGGACCGAGATCTTTGGGACATAAACATATATGATAAAAAAATTGTGACTTCTAGAGGATTCACACCCTTGATAGACCATATTTTTGTTTCACTATTTGCGTACGCAGGGCGGCCATTTTGTCAGTTAGTTTCGGTCTGATTTTCACGAAATTCGAACTCAACTATCATTAGCGTGTAGCGGCGAATTAAAAGTTTTTAATAGTCAAATAAAAATTGTGACCTCTAGAGGGTCCACAAGCTAAAAACGTGATTTTTCGTACAAATCGAAGACCATAACCCGGAAAGTTATGGTCCGATATCTAAAGGAACAAAGATCTTTGGATTAAAAACATACATGTCAAGTTTCATCAAAATAGGATAACAGTTTTGACTTCTACTTCTCGTGTGTCCACAACCTCGGTATTACATACTTTTACACAATTTGCGTACAAGGAGAAGCCATTTTGTACGGCAGTTTCGATCAGATTTTTACGAAAATCGGACTCAACATTCATTATGTGTAACGGTGATATATTTAAAAGTTTTCCAAAATTGAATACAAATTGTGACTTCTAGCGGGTAATAATTTTAACAGTGCATATTTAGCGGACAATAGATTATATTTTGCAATATTTTAAAATACTACAGTTGTTAATAATGTTAAATGTAATCCGATATTATTATTTGCCATGGATATTACATATGGAAACCAAGAGGCTGTCATTAAATATATATTCCCTCTAGTACACTGTATTAGTGGATTAAAATTTGGATGTCTTAAAACTGCAGGTTCTACGTAATTACAGTATATAATGGAACATTGGGATAACTTGAACCGATAAATTTATCATTTGATTAATGGTAAAGTTTTTTTTTTTAAATAAATGTCAGCATCATAAAGAACGAGATGCCAATCAAGTTTTAGATACTTTTGATGATTACTTCAACATACATTATGCAAGAGTCAAATCTGCGTATTGCAGGTCTTTCTTTTGGCCTGAAATGTTATCTAAATTATTAATTAGACATTAATTAACTTATCCAGACCATAATCAACTCTCGATGTGATCGGTACTCTGCGACATTTGCTGGATTAGGATCCGATTTGCAGTTCATCTTTCATTCATGATTAAAGGGTGAACTGGATAATCGAGACTATGCTTTTTATCGTACCGACTTTATTAATGATGATCTAGGCTATGCCAAAATTTCAATCGCTAAATTCTCGGTTCAGAGTGGATCAATTTAGCTGAAATTTTCAGCAAATTGCTTTAACATTATTTAGTTTTTAACTATTATAGTTAGAAATGCCAGCACTTTATCTAATATCCCATAATGTATCTTTAATGGGTTGTTACTCTTGATCAGGATTTAGTGCCAGTAAATGTTCCCATCAGGCCTACCTTGTGGACTGTACGGGCGACTTAACTGCCGCGAGCAAATGTTTCGTTGCCGCCAACTTGTCTTTTAAAACATGTTGTTAAATCAAGAAAATGAGATGGCTTAAATTGTAGACATCCGTCTTTTTACTAAGCGAAATATTCAATGCATGCGATAGGCCGGTAAGTACCCCCTACATGTATATCATCTTGAACTCAACTTGGATCTATGTTTTCCTTTAAACGTTTTGAAGATTCTTTTAGAGTGCTATTATTTTGCGACAGTCAAAATATTTTCAAAATGCATTCCATAGTCATCTGGCCATTTCCTCTATAATGATCCTTTGGGACATTTTAATAGGGCAACTCACCAGCCCTGCACTGTTGATCAAGTTTTAATATCCATTTCACAGACTGACTGATTAGCACGCAGATGGTGATTCATTTCACCGTAGGGTTGAAACATCAATGAACAAATGTAATTTTCTTAACATCATGGTAATAATGATACTAATGTGCTGATTCTTTGCTGTAATGTCGCATTATGCCGTCACCCCTGTCCGTCAGCACGTCCCCCCATCCGTCCATATAATATGTTTGTGGAAACTTTACAGGTCACAATTTTTATCCGATTTTGACCAAACTTGAAATATAGGCTAGGTCTATCTTCCAAAGATCTCGGATCCTTTCGATATTGGCATGTATCGGCCCATAACTTCATGGATTATGACCCCTGATTGTACGAAAAATCACGTTTTTAGCTTGTGGACACTCCTAGAGGTCACAATTTTTATCCGATATAGTTTAAACTTGAAATGTATGATTATAACCCAAAGATCTTGGTTCCTTTCGATATTCGCGCATATCGGAACGTAACTTCCTGAAATATGGCCCCTGATTGTACGAAAAATCGCGTTTTTAGCTTGTGGACCCTATAGAGGTCATCATTTTTATCCGATTTTAAAAAACCGTATTATTATATAACCGTCAAACCCTAAGGACGGCTGAGTTCGAATTTCGTGAAAATCGGCCCCAAACTGACAGTCAAATAGCGTAAAAATATGGTATATCAAGGTTGTGGACCCTATAACCCAAAGATCGTGGTTCCTTTCAATATTTGCGCATATCGGACCGTAACTTCCTGGTTGTGGACCCTATAGAGGTCACAATTTTTATCTGGTTTTGTTGAAACTTGAAATGCATGTTTATAACCCAAAGATCCTGGCCCCTTTCGATATTCGCGCATATCGCATCGTAACTTGCTGAATTATGACCCCTAATTGTTTGAAAAATTGCGTTTTTAGTTTGTCGTCCCTCTAGAGGTCACAATTATTATCCGATTTTAAAAATAAACGTTCGAATATATCACCGTTACATCGAAATGTGGGTCGAGTTCGAATTTCTTGAAAATCGGACCGAAACTGCCGAACAAAATGGACGCCCATAGTACGCAAATAGTGTAAAAAAAAATGTGGTATATCAAGGTCGTGGACCCTCTAGAGATCACAGTTTTGATTCGATTTTGATGAAACTTGAAACACATGTTTATAACCCACAGATCTTGGTTCCTGTCGATATTCGCGTATATCGGATCATAATCTCCTAAATTATGGCCCTTGACTGTATGAAAAGTCGCGGTTTTAGTCTCCCTTGAGTCACAATTTTTATTCGATTTAAAAACCGTTTGAATATATAACCGTTACACCCTAATTGTGGTTGAGTTTGAATTTTGTGAATATCTGACCAAAACTGCCGGACAAAATGGCCGCACCTCGTACGCAAATAGTGTAAAAACATGGTATATCAAGGTTGTGGACACTCTAGAGGCCACAATTTTGATCTGATTTTGATGAAACTTTAAATTTATGTTTATATTATCACAAAGATCTTGGTTCCTTTTGGATAATCGCGCATATCGGAACGTAATTTCCCCTGGTTGTTCGAAAAATATCTTTTTAGCTTGTGGACCCGCTAGAATTTTGTGCACGCGCCCTCGAGCCAATGATAGTTCAGGCA